CCCTACATTTGAACCCTAAAGTTCAAAGTGGGGATCCAGCCTTGACAACCCAAGTGCTGAATTTCAAGGCAAGAGCAACTTACAGATCCCACTGTGTGGTGACTTCTGTGTGGGTGAAAGGACTGAGCTGGATTCTGCAGTTTCAGTTCATTTCCTGTACTGTAGCTGAGGTTTTACAGTGAATCGTTGCTTCTGAATTCCCTCTAGTATGTACAAGCCTGCATGACAAAACCACAATTCTTAAAAATAGAATGTCCAGAAAAACTCCCATCTATAAATAGGGAATGGATTTTATGCAGAAAAGATTCAGTTTTACCTCTGCTAGTTCTGATTTCTTTTTCAGATTAAATCGGCATTGTTTGTGGACTGACTTGAAAGCTTTTTCCGTCTGTTCTTGGACACTGTCGGTTTGCTGGAAATGTGGGTTCTAGTGGTTTCTCCTTAACTTAGGGTTCCGATGGCTGTATAGGCAGAACGTTTTGGGGATGATTCGCAGGTAGTTGCTTGAGCTATTTTCAGTGGTCTGGGTAGAGGTATCTGCTTCCATACACTGCTGTTAGTTACAGTTGACTAGCGCTGAATTTATATTCACTTTGAAGGGTTTTGTAGCCCCACTTATAAAATCCTGTAGACTCCACCTCAAATAAATTATAAACACCAAATCTGGCTTACAGAGATCAAGTGATGTACTTACACATTTTATTTTTAATCTTAGAGGCATCAAAGATTACAAAGGGCAACCAATGCCTATCAACACACACACAGAACCTGGCATAAAGTAAAATCTTTCCCACAGTGGCAAAGAACTTCCAGAAGAGTATTTATTAAGCCATACCTAGTTCTGGGTTTTTTATGGAGGAGCGTAGTTTAATTTCGGTCTTCAGACTTTCTGCAATGAAACAACTTCCTTGAAATCTCAAAAATGCTATTGAAAAATTTCTTTTTGAAACTTGATTCTAGACCGTTGTCATGTATTTTGGGAAATGCAGTTTGCGTGAGGCTTGGCCAGCAGTCTAGTGAGGAAAATATTGATTCTCGATTGTGTGATTCGTTAGTTGCTGTCATGTTGCATGTAAAATTTGCTGCCACCACCTCCTATGGAATAATTGTAGGGGTCAATAAGCCTTTCTGATTTAAGAGTAGCTTGTAGTGCTGTCTCCATTGTGGCTCTCCATGCCTTATACTTGTGTGTGAAGTATTTCTGCATACCAGTGTGAACTTGGGCAGTGTAAGCTTCCTGATTCCTCGTATTCCCAGCTGGCTTCAGTGATAAGTTTGTTGCCATCACAGTGGGTCTCTGCTCAGCCTGTATCTGTGTAGGTCACGCTGCAGGACATAGTAAGCAAAGACCTTCTGTGTGCTTGCATGGTGCTGCTCAGCTCCTGTAGGATGCAGATGAATAACTTAAAAAAGCAACCCTTAAAAATGCATTTCACATAGGTAGCTGCTTTTGGAAATGGCTAGGGAAGTGCTTTAAAATGTCTTTCCTTTGGGGAAGGTTTCCATTCCTCTTCAAGATCAAATTACTGCAGTTCATGGTTGCTAAGTTAAAGTTCAGTCTGCATGATCTGCTAGGAATTCTTGTACAAGCTGACTCCACTGAGATGAATAGGCAGTGACAAACTGTTGAATTTTTTGGGAAATGCCGCTGCAAACTGTCTGGCTTTTATGCAAGGGCTTTTGCAACCTTGTGAAGATTCAGTGTTTTATCATGAAGTAAATAAGTGAAATCATCTTATCTTCCTGGAACCTGTGGTCATTTTGGCTTTGGATGGTGGTAATATGGAGTTCCTCATAAAATTCTGGTAATACTCAAGAGGATTTTCTTTGTCTGAGATGACAGTGTGTGTCAGGGCAGATCAAAATTACAGGGTTGCATGTTGGCCCTGAGGGACTAACCATTCCTCAAAGATATGAGGAGTTTGAACTGTTCTTTGAAACTTTTTTTTTTGTAAAAGTGTTTCCTGCAACTCATTTTCCAGTTACACTTTGTAGCTTCAGTGAGTGAAACCGTGACTTCCTCCTTCCAATCCCTTATGCTCTCTGTGACGCTGTATGTTAGCTGCAGTTTCTTCCCATTCAGTTTTCAGCTCCTATATTTTATCTGAGGCATACTTCAGCACTTGGCAGCTTTCTCTGGGTTTTTCAGTGAGGGGAGTTCCTGGATTGTGGTGTTTCTGGCTTGCAGCATTATGCATTCAGTGGCTTTGCTAGGACTGGTGTTCGGTGCTTTGGGTGTTATACATTTTGTTCTGGATCAGTCCTAAAGTACTTGGTTTATTAAAAATGTGGATTCAAAAATGTGTCTTAAAGGCCACACACAGTTGTGAAAGTGGTTATAAAGCTCTTGGATTGGATTATAAGAAGTGTGTGTGTGCGGGGGGACGGGGGGACGACACAAATCAGAGTGGCTATAACAGAACGGAAAACAGCGTTTGGCCACAGTGAAGCTGATGTTTGTGTAGTAAAGGCAGTGAGGAGGAGTGATTTGTCCCAGAGTTGGCAGAGAGCCTTTGGAAAGCTGAGTTAGAATGGGGGATCCTAGGAGTTAGCGCCCTGCATTTGTTACTCTAGTGCAGGGGTAGGCAACCTATGGCACACGTGTCGAAGGTGGCACGCGAGCTGATTTTCAGTGGCACTCACACTGCCCGGGTCCTGGCCACCGGTCCGAGGGGCTCTGCATTTTAATTTAATTTTAAAGGAAGCTTCTTAAACATTTTAAAAACCTTATTTACTTTGCATACAACAATAGTTTGGTTATATATTATAGACTTGTAGAAAGAGACCTTCTAAAAATGTTAAAATGTATGACTGGCACGCGAAACCTTAAATTAGAGTGAATAAATGAAGACTCGGCACACCACTTCTGAAAGGTTGCCAACCCCTAAGTGTCTCTTTCTGCTCTCAGTGCCATTCATTGTCTTTCTTCCTCTCTTTGCATGTCTGCTCTGCTGCCCCTCAGGGAGCCTCTCCCTTTGTGGAATCCAGGGGAGTCACTGATATTCAGGTCTGCCTTCCTCTCTTTTGCTCGTAGTTTCCTTCCACATGTAGCTCTGGTAATCCTGCTGTGACAGACAGAGGTGAAAGGCAGTCTTAACATCCCTGAGATGTGTAATGCTGCAGGCCCACTTGCATAGACTTACAGACTTTAAGGCCAGAAGGGACCATCATGATCATCGAGGCTGACATCCTGCACATAGCAGGCCACAGAACCTCACCCACCCCTCCTGTAATAGACCCCGAACCTCTTGCTGAGTTACTGACGTCCTCAAATCATGATTTAAAGACTTCAAGTTACTGAGAATCCACCATTTACACTCCTTTAAACCGGCAAGTGACCCATGCCCCATGCTACAATGGAAGGTGAAAACCCCTGAGGGTCTCTGCCAATCTGGCCCGAGGGGAAATTCCTTCCCGACTCCAAATATGGCGATCAATTAGACCCTGAGCATGTGGGCAAGACCAACCGGCCATACCCCTGAGAAGGAATTCTCTGTAGTAACTCGGAGTCCTCCCCATCTAGTGTTCCATCACCAGCCTTTGGGGATATTTGCTGCTAGCAGTCGCAGATTGGCTATATGCTATTATAGGCAGTCTTATCATACCATCCCCTCCATAAATTTATGAAGCTTGAAACCAGTTAGATTTTTTGCCCCCCACTGCTCCCATTGGAAGGCTGTTCCAGAGCTCACTCCTCTGATGGTTAGAAACCTTCGTATAATTTCAAGCCTGAACTTGTTGATGGCCAGTTTCTGTCCATTTGTTCTTGTGTCCATATTGGCGTTTGAATTAAGTAACTCCTCTCCCTCCCTGGTGTGGGGAAAAAGAACTAGGTGGCCTTTATAACAACCAGAGTAACACCGAAGGCCCACATTCAGGCCCTCTGACAGAAGCTGACTGCACAGACGGCCTTTACATAAAGCAGTACAGGCCAGAGCCTGAACAAAGCTAAGCTGTACAAATCCCTGCCAAATATGGTCATGGGCCATGACCAGAGGAGAGAGGAGAAGGAAGCCATACGAAAGGCCTTAGCAACATGATAACCGCTTGTTGATGGAAAAACATGATAACTGCTTCTTTGCGAAAGAAACATGATAACTGCTTATTGATGAAACGTAGTAACGGCTTATATGAAGAAATTGCTTCTAGTAAGGGCTAACTCCTCCTATAGTTCTAGCTACCTGCCACTAGCCAATCATATATCATCTTTGGGCGTCCTGTGATAAACTCCTATGCCCCCCCCGGAGAACACTATGTATCCTGACGAGAAACAACACCCCAACTGATGCCAAGTACCACCCATGTCAAAACCACCAAGAAACCCCCCCCCACCCAATAGGCACCCAATTCTCGTAAATAATGAGGAAGCTACCGGGAAAAAGCAACAGACCCCTACTCTTATTTTCACATAAATGACGTATTATTTGTAATATGCTTGTGGTTTGACGGAATAAAGCAGCCTGCGAGCTGCTGCTGGGTGTGACAGTCTTCGGACCGTTACCCCAATGCATTGGTGTGTATTGCAATAAAATGGCCTCAGGCTTGGGTCTGTGAACTAAAATCAATGCGTGGGTGACTTTTTCCACGACACTGGTATTTATCCTTCTGATGTATTTATAGAGAGCGATCAGCTCTCCCCTCAGCCTTTGTTTGGTTAGACTAAACAAGCCAAGGTCTTCGAGTCTCCTCTCCTAAGGGAGGTTTTCCATTCCTCGGATCACTCTAGTAGCTCTTCTCTGCACCTGTTGCAGTTTGAAATAACCTTTCTTAAACATGTAGGACCAGAACCGCACATAGTATTCCAGATGAGGTCTCACCAGTGCCTTCTATAATGGCACTAACAATTCCCTGTTTCTACTGGAAATACCTCGCCTGATGCACCCTTTGCTCATGTACCTGGACGGTGTTTGTAGGAAACTGCAATTCCATCATGCAGAATTCCTCAATCTGTCTTTCCTTTGCCAGATCATCATGGCTGCTGCTGGCCCCATTGCTCACCCCTGCGGTTCCTCAGGTCACAGCCCCATCATTCTGCGTTTGTCCTGAGGCGGCGCACAGGTTCCAGTGGATCAGGAACCTGGTTCCAGAGTTTGGGGTCTCCAGCTCTCACATCCGGGTGCTCTCCTCCCCAACTGAATTCTATGAGCTCATGAAGGTGAGTTGTGTGCTTCCAGCATGCATGTGGGGAGGCGGGGGCAGCTGTTAATGTGGCTGGTATGCAGGTTCCATAATGTATCTCTCCTCAGACATGCAACAGGGCTGGTATGAGAATTTCCTTGCTCAGTTTGATTGTTTGGATCTCGTCACTGTTAAAATTAGCAACCCTACATTTCAGAAATTCTCAAATGTAGGGATGCGGAGTTCTTAAAATGACAGTGTTAGGATTGCCTTATGACTTGTAAGTTATTGGGGAACAGGATTGGCCAGACCAATGAATGAGTCAGTAGGACCTCCAGGAGCTTCCACAGACAGGCCTTCCTTTGTAAAGTCAGTGCTGGAGGAGAGATGCTACTGGCAAATGCCACATTTAACCTCTGTGTGGGACAAGTGAAAGCACCCAGAGGCATAGGCGCTGACTCCGTGGGTGGAGAACCCACAGGAAAAAATGGTGGGTGCTCTTCCTCCCCCCAGCACCTTCTGCCCACCTGCGGCCCCACAGATCAGCACCCACCCCCAGTGCTTGCCGCAAATGAGCTGTTTCGTGGCATCAGGAGGCGCTGGGGGGGAGGAGCGAGGGCACAGTGCGCTCGGGAGAGGGGCAGAACTGGGTGGGAAGATGCGGAGCGGGAAGAGGCAGGGCGGGAGTGGGAAGAAGCAGGGGTGGGACGGGGCTGGGGCAGGGCCTGGGGGAGCACTGCCGGGCAGATTAGAAACTCTAATGCCCAGAGGCATGGAGGCTCAGTCTCTGGGCAGGATGGAAACTTGAGCCCTTGAAGGGGCGGAGACAGGACTATCAAGCTCACTGGCTGGTCCTGGCCAAGGAGTGCAGCAGCATTGAATCCTGGGGAAGACATGAATCTTGCCCTCTTGGCCAGAAACAAAGCGTTAGGATAGGAATCAAGGGAGTCAAAATGACCCCAGAAGGAAAAGGTCTCGCTCTGTTGAAGTTCCAGGCGGTGCAGAGTGCCTCCTGTGCCCTGAATGCTTAGTGGTAGTAGCGCCAGGGAGCAAGTTACCCACTTTTCCGGAGGCTGCATTGATTTCCTGCTTATTTCTGGATGGGAATGTGGATGTAAAGGTGTTGAAATTGCTCTATAAAGCCCCTACGTGATTTGCATCCTGGCCGCCCAAGACCTGCCTTTCTCCTTGCATTTCCCCACTGCACTGAGTGAGGGCTTTCCTGAAGAGTCCCTAGATAAGGGGTTCTCAAATGTCATTGCACTGTGACTCCTTTCTGACAACAAAAATTACTACACGACCCCAGAAGTGGGGACAGAACCCTGAGGCCGTCCGAGCCCTGCTGCCCCGGGGGGAGGGGGAACCAAAGCTGAAGTCCAAGGGCTTCAGTCTTGGGCAGGGGACCTGTAGCCTGAGTCCTGTCACCAAGGGCTGAAGCCAAAGAAGCCCATGGACTTCAGTCCCAGGGAGTGGGACTCGGGCTTTGGCTTCAGCTCTGGACCCCAGCAAGTCTAACGCCAGCCCTGGTGACCCCATTAAAATGGGGTTGCTATCCACCTTGGGGTCCTGACCCACAGTATGAGAACTGCTGTCCTATATGGATGTCTGTGGGCGGGAGGTGTATAATATCCTTGCTAGAATGTTCCTGTTCGTCTGACAGAGCCTGTGATGACCTTCTCAGACTTTCACCTGAGTGAGGTAGTTTGGGGTTGGGGTTTGCAGATGGGGAAGAGCCTATTTTTCACACATTCTTGTTTTGACACTTAGCAATTGGTGCCTTTATGAATTGGAGAATAAAAATAAATACTTGGGTAACACTGAAGGAGGGAAAGTCAAACCCCTCTAAACTGGTTGAAGTTAAATGTGTCCCATCGTGGACCTCTGCTGCTTGTCTGTGGCTTAATTCTGTAGCTGACAGGGCTACGAAAGGGATTTGGTGTTCTCTGTAGAACCAAGAGTGTTTATGAAATCACAGCTCAGCCTGTGAACGTGCACTTGTTTTCCTCTTCCACTGTCCTCAGGAACAGATAAAGACAGCCAAGCAGCGAGTGGTGGTGGCTTCGCTGTACCTTGGAACAGGACTCCTAGAACAGGAGCTGGTAAGTGTGGATGGAGGCTTGAAAAAATACCTACTTGGGTAGGTGCCCCATGCATTCACCTTTGCTCTAGCTGGAATGGGGTGTCCATCTGAGCACCTGGATTCAGACTTTCCCTATGCTTCCGTCCTCTCGCTTGGGAGCCTTTCAGCATGGCTTCAGACTGCACATAGTCTTGGCATGCAGAAAGGGCACTTGAAGGACAAGCTCAGGGAGCATGTGGTGTAAACCTATTACTGATCTAAGGTACTGTCACGCATGCCACGAATCTGGATGGGTAGAATCATAGAATATCAGGGTTGGAAGGGACCTCAGGAGGTCATCTAGTCCAACCCCCTGCTCAAAGCAGGACCAATTCCCAACTAAATCATCCCAGCCAGGGCTTTGTCAAGCCGGCCCTTAAAAACCTCCAAGGAAGGAGATTCCACCACCTCCCTAGGTAATGCATTCCAGTGCTTCACCACCCTCCTAGTGAAATAGTGTTTCCTAATATCCAGCCTAGACCTCCCCCACTTCAACTTGAGACCATTGCTCCTTGTTCTGTCATCTGCCACCACTGAGAACAGCCGAGCTCCATCCTCTTTGGAACCTCCCTTCAGGTAGTTGAAAGCAGCTATCAAATCCCCCCTCATTTTTCTCTTCTGGAGACTAAACAATCCCAGTTCCCTCAGCCTCTCCTCATAAGTCATGTGCTCCAGACCCCTAATCATTTTTGTTGCCCTCCACTGGACTCTTTCCAATATTTCCACATCCTTCTTGTAGTGTGGGGCCCAAAATGGGGTTAAAAGTTATTGGCACAGTTTCTGCAGATTTTCTCCTACTGTAGGGTTGCTGGTACCCACACATTAGCACTTGCCTTCAAAAGAGTGGAAGTAGTTTGTGATGCTAATGTGGTAGTCTGTATCGTGTGTCCCCTGTGTACTGCATGCAGGTGCAGTGAGTGTGATCTGTATGCATACAACTTCTTGTCAGCCTGTCGTAGCAAGGGGGAGGTCACTGTTTTGCCTCATGTTGCTTTACCTTCTCTGCTCCCTGTCTTTCCCTACTGGAAACAAGGCTTTTCTCTACAAAGAGCTTTGAGCAGAAATCTTGAGCCCTGAAATTATTCTGTAGCTTGAAATACAAATTCCACTATGAGGACAAGTCCAGCAGGTGGGCAGATTGTCTTGGATGTTGATTTGTTTGGCTTCCTCTGTGGATCTGTAACTGATTTAAGGCTTGTACACAGGACTTTAATCTGCTCATAATAGGAGCAGGACAGGTTCTGCAGCTCATGGGAGCTGCTCCCTCCCCTTTTGGATGGCAGTGGAAGTCTCTGATCTAGGAGTGAGGTTGGATGACTCTCTGCTGTGCATAACTGGAGTTCAGAGGCTTGAATCATGGCTTTGTGTGCAGACAAAATCTATACCCTTGTTGTTTTTGATGCCCGAGATGTTGTTAGTGCTTGATATATTAAAAAAGAGGCAGGGTCACTGCCCCAAAGAGGTTAGGTCTAAATCAGAAAGATTGATCACTGGAAAGTTTCACTTTCTCTGGATAATGTGCAGTGTGACTCTTTCCCCTCAGGTGGATTGCATAGAAGAAACACTGGAGAGGTCACTGCAGGCAAGTGGGCCCTCTGACTTCAGAGTTTCCATTCTCCTAGATTTCACAAGGGGATCTCGAGGTAGGTATTATGGGGTGTCCCTCCTGCCCACTTCAAAGGCTCGTTTACAGCAAGCAAACTGGATTGGTCAGATGAGCTTGGAGGTCCTCGCTCTAAAAATTAGCTTATCAGACCCAAAGGTTTAAAATCTGCCCTCTTCTAAAACCTGCTCTGTTTTGCTATGAACCACAGGTCATCAAAATACAGTCGCTTTGTATTCTCAGGTAACTTTCCAACATGGTAGTATTGCTTCAGAAAATAAATGACAGGAACGTTAAACTAGCTGTGTCAAATCCTGCCCTCAGTTACACCCAAGCAGCCCCACCAAAGCCAGTTCCTGTCAGTGGCATTTGCTCCCTCCCCCCCACCTTTTCTGCTCCTTCACCTTGTAAAGGAGGGTTGGAGTTGGCAGAAGTGGTGGTGCTGTAAATCCTCACTCCAGTTCAGTTACTGTTACATGTAGCCAGGGGAAGAAGCATGAATGTGATCATCCTGCTAAGTAGTTTATAAAGCCCACCCACCAGTGGCCTTGGAATGCTGGTTACATCATGATAACATTAATATAAAATGCAAATAAATCCTCTCTTAAAACAAGAAACCCTCTCAAAATGTCAAGCAAATAAAGCAACAGATCCTAGGGAAGGCAGCTTCCAGCTTGGGGGGGGGAGAAGGAGGGGTCTATTTTGCCCTCTTGTTGGGGTCCTGGCTGGCAGATCTGGTGGTGTGGTAGAAAAGTGGCTCCATGTATAACTATTCCCATCTGTCTCGCAGGCAGGAAGAACTCTCGAACCATGTTACTTCCACTGCTGAGAAGGTTTCCAGAGCAAGTCCGTGTATCCCTCTTCCACACTCCAAATCTGCGTGGGCTTCTCAAACGCTTAATCCCTGAGCGTTTCAACGAAACCATCGGGCTGCAGCACATCAAGGTTTACCTCTTTGATGATAACGTGATCCTGAGTGGGTGAGTCCTGGCTCTGTCCATCCTTATAAGTATTTTGTGCCGCATTTGGGTGAGGAGGAATTCCTGTCGTCCTGACTAGAGTTACAGAAAGAGGTCCAGTCAGGGATGTGGTAAAGAAGCAGCACTGTTAGAGCTGAAAATGCATATTGCTGGTCTTGAGACACATGCTGATAGCATTGTTTTCACTTGGAACCTGTTTGTACCTTAGTGAGCGCTATGGTGTTGCAACTGTCCCAGGATTCAGAGGGAAACCTCTTTGCATCTTGCTTTTGTGGCTCTCTTCCACATGAGCTGCACCAAGTTAGGAGTGCGTTGTAAGCTGTTTAGGCCAGTCATCCTGTTCTGTGTTTGTACAGTGCCTAGCGCAATGGTGTCCAGGTCAATGAATAGGGCTCCTAGGTGCTAGGATAATACAAAAAATAAATATCACTCTTGTTGGGGAATGTTCTTTAAAAAGTGAAATCAGGGCATTTTGTATTGTAATTCTTCAGCTGTATCTAGGCCTGTGCAATGAGATACGTGATGAGGATCATGTGGTTGTTCTCTTTATCCTGGCATTCTTACCTTCCTCTCCTCCGCTCCCCCAGCGCAAACTTGAGTGACTCGTACTTCACCAATCGGCAGGACCGCTATGTGTTCCTACAGGACTCTCCGGAGATCGCCGATTTCTTCACTGAACTAGTGGATGCAATTGGAGATGTGTCGCTGCAGTTACAGCCAGATGATACAGTCCAGATGATGGAGGGGATGGTGCATCCTTACCAAGGTATGATAGTCATCTGACCTGTAATATGAGGGTGATGTGGTCCAGGTGAAGGAGGGAATAACAATGGGAAGAGATGGGTGGGGTGGGGCTGACTCCAAATACTTTATGGATCACTGAGGGTTTGATGTTGGTCAGCTGGGTGTGGGGAATCGCCTTCAGCCCACCTGTTGCAAACCCAGATTACTAGGAATGGCCAGACTGGATCTGCCTGGAGGTCTGTCTGGCCCAGTATCTTATCTCTGACAGCAGCCAGTACTAGCTGTGTCAGAGGAAGATGCAGGGAACCGCAGAAGTAGGGCGCATTTCTTCCTAACCCCACTAGTTAGTAATTGATTTAGGCCCTGAAGCAAGAGGGATCGTATCCTGTCCAAGATTCTTAGCTATATTAATATAGTTCCCTATAGATATCCTGAGTGTATGTATGACTCCAGTCTGTTTTCAGTGAATAGTATTTTGCGCTCAAATGTGTTCTTGGCTTTCAGATAAGTGCCCAATTGGAAGGAGGCAGGGACCCTATGGTGGAGGAATGGGCAGACAGGAGGGGAGAATATTTCAGATGACATGTGGTACTCTGGTAACAGGGTGTGTGTGGGTAAAGCTTATGCTGTGGACAGGAATACTTACTGCATAGTGCATTGTTCAGAGCATTGGACCCCTGTGTCTTATGGAAGCAGTACTAAACATAAGTCGGTCTCAAGTACAAGGCACACAGGACGGTTGCTATGTTCCATGGGGAAGCCTAGTTCAAGAACTGCCGACTAGCAAAGCTGCTTCCTGGCAGCAGGATGTCTTAAATGTCAGTAACATTCCGATGTGGTGCTTCCAAAGCTAAATGTAATAGAAGTAGGTGGATCCAGTGAGCAATGACAACCCTCCAGCAGGCTGATTTTGTGTGGAATAATCCTGGAGGCAAACATGCCTGATAAAGAACCGACCCCTTCTCAGGTTTTAGCTGGGAGCTTCTTTTTGGCGGGTAGCATGCAAATATTTGTTTGCTGTGTCTAATCAGATAAATAGTCTTTTACAGTAAGACTCCTTAGTGTGTTTATCATTCACAGGCCTAACACCCCACTGACGAGTTGCCTAGACACAGCTCTTTTACACTTGGAAACTTGCTTCCAATGGGTATAGATTACTTTAGTACTTGAGCTAGTTGTTTGGAGCAAGTATACACCCTCTGGGCCCTGTCAACCTTCATCAGCTTGCTTTACAGGTTAGTCCCTGCTAGGAGTCTGGGACTAATCTTTAAGCCCAAGAGAGAAGCCTGAGCATTCTTCAGTGGGTAGTTAGTGTTAAAGAGCTATATGAAATGTAGTGTGTAGCTCCCAGAACGGTGGTAGCAAAGGGTGCTTTCAGCTCATCCTGCCCACAGTGACGTAGAAGATGGGCCAAACCTACCAAAGGAGGATCAAAAAGAAAGGTCTCTCTTGGACGAAGGATGCACATCTCCTCACTTTGTAGCTCCCTGTTACCTTCCGCAATGGCTTGATAGGTCAACTTAATGCTTATTGCTGCTGTTCCTAAACTGGGCAGCAGGGGTCACTGAAAGTGACCTAAGGGTCACCTTCCCCTTGAGAGAGGAACAGGCCATGTCTGCAGCTGTTTAATGTTTCTTCCCCAGCCCATGGAGATCTGGGAACTGCCCTTCTGCTTAGGGGCATGTTATTCTGTGGCACTACGGTGTGGAGAATACCAGACATGGGGAACTGAGTGAAATCAAAGGGAGACTCTTTGAATTGAGCCACACTGAAATACTGTAGTCAGGCCTTCATCCATATGACATGATGTGGTTGGGTCTCTGGGTGTGAGCGCGTGTAATGGGTGACAGTGCTATCCAGTGGGGGTGTAGAGGGTGCTCTTGCATTTCCTCATAGGACAGGTAAAATTGCTGAGTCAAATCACAGGCTCTAAGTAATGGGATTCAGCAGGAGAGGAAGGTGGAACAAACGTGTCTCCTTCACAAACCCACAGTTCAAATTGCGATGAGATTCACAGATCCACCATAGGCTTGTTAAGGCTGCACGTGTGTGTTTCCCCAGTTCTAGTCCCAGCAGAAGAGACTGGAGATCCCTTTGTTATAAAGTACAGTAGAAAGTTGCTGTGATCCTTTGACTGGAGCAAATTTCAGTCCCTAAGGAAAGCCTCAGTCTGATTCAGAAGGGATTGTTCTGCTCTGCAGTGAAGTTGTGGGTGGTGTATCAGATCTGCATCTGGCACTGCACTCTTGGTAAACAGCACTTTACAGGCACTCAGATACCACAGTGAGGGGTGCAGTGTAAGAACCTGAGCAGAATAGGGTGGCATCAGTTGAGTACTGTTCTGTGGGGCAGATGGGGCTGGTGTCTGCACTCTGCAGGTGAGAGAGAACCTTTTGTACAAAAGTAAATGAGCGGCTCTTAGTTCCCTCCGGCATTTGCCTAAAATCCCCATCTGGAAATTCCACTGGCATTTGGTTCCTGAGGGTTCCCCCACTAAACCACCTGTGCAAATAGATAGACTGTGCGAATATAGGCTGCCTTTGGCACCTTCCAGTCCTCTTTAGAGGCCAGTTGTGGTGCAGAGCTTTCCTGGACAGCCATTCTGCCCCAGCCCTGCTTGGAGGCTTTTCACTTCCCACTGAGCATGAAGTGCTGCCCATGTTCAAGTCTTCCCTCTATGAAGTGACTATTCTCCCTCTGTCATGTGCTGCCCTAGCTGTGCTAACGTCCACATTTCGGTCTTGGAGAGGCAACAGATTATGCGGTCTCCATGGCGGTAGTTTCTTTGGGTTGCTTCCACTGTGGTCCTGTCTGTGTGTAGTTTCCCTACTAGGCAATAGCTACTACATAGCTCCATATCACTGATACTCAGACCTCAGTGGTTCAGGAGCCAAACTAGAAAACAATGTTACCCAAAAGAGTCACAGAAGTGTGAATTCATTGCTTCATTTACCATAGTGCTGTGTAGTCATATTTAAACAGCATGCAGGGAACAGTTAGTTTTTATATTATATATATTATTCTCACAGCAAAATGACTGACCAAGCATTATTATTTTATCAACTACAATTGGTTAATAACATAATAAAAGCATCCTGATTGGTTAATAACTTAGGTTGGTTAATAATAAAATCACACAGTGATTTAATACCATGTGCTGCAAAGAGCCGCGGGAGACACCTCAAAGAGCCAAAGACACCTCAGCCTGAGGGTCACCGCTCTATATCTTCTGTTAGTCATTCCTTGTTTTCACTCAGGAGACAAGACGGCATATTGTGAAGTGGCAAATAGGAGAGTAATGGAAGTGATCAATGCTGCCAGGACACGACAAGAACTTCACTCGCAGACTTTTCATGGAAGGCGATCAGAAGGAGATCCGTTATTGCCCCAGCGAGACCCTAATGCAGGAGGGGACCAAAAACCAGAACCGGACACCTGGATTTATCCACTAATTCAAATGAAACCCTTTGGGATTCAAATAGATGAGAGAGTCACGGAGACGTTGCTGACAGAGGCAGAGCGAGGTGCCAGAATATACCTCACCACTGGCTACTTCAACCTCACGCAAGCCTACATGGATCTCGTTCTGGGCACCAGAGCAGAGTATCAGATCCTGCTGGCCTCACCGGAGGTGAATGGGTTCTTTGGTGCCAAAGGGGTGGCAGGTGCCATTCCTGCTGCCTATGTGTACATTGCACATCAGTTTTACAGCGAGGTGTGCTGCCTTGGCCAGCAAGACAGGGTCCGACTGCAGGAGTACTCCAGGAATGGATGGACTTTCCACGCTAAAGGTGAGACAGCCTGTCCTTAGGAGGCCTTCTGTAGAGAGATTGAAGGTTAGCATAGATACAGAGCATCAGGCCAGTGGGAGGCTGGGTGGGGGCTTCATCCAGTTCTAAGCCATATGTCCCTGTCACAATATACTAGGTCCAAAACATGCATACATCTGGATGGTTCAGGGGACTGAGGATGGAAATTGGTCTCTCATCTCTAGGATTCTGGTTCAGTTCCAGTCCAGTCCCAAGTCAGTAGTGACTAGAAGCAATTATTATTTAACAGTTCTTAATTATTTGCACTTTGAGTAAAAGTCAAGGATGGACTGAGCTCCCTGCTCCTTTGAGCTGGCCTCTTCAGAGAAGTTTAGGGTAGAGGAATCATGGTGTAGGGAAATCGTGCACTGTATTAAATTACAAAATTACTTTACCGCTCACAGACATGTGGGTGGGGGGGAAGAGAGTGGTTCAGACTACACTTGGTGGGGGAGAAGAGGCATCTGGTTCTACTCATGACAGTGGTAGCAGTTCTGATTCATAGTTTCCTGTTGCACTGATCTAACCGGTTTACAGAACAGGAAGTGATGCAATTAGTCCTGTTGTAAGGATGTGAAAGGGATTGGAGTGCAGGAAATTGGCAGGATCTTCAGTGTAAACAGGAGTCACAGTGAGCCAGCAGTGACTCCAATGTTCTGGGGTATCTAGGCCCCCATGAGGATGGGTCCCTGACCATCTTTACAAACCTAATGGAGGGCTGGATATACATAGGAGCATCTCCCTCTGCTGTACAAGAGAGTTCAGCACACAGAGACCAGCATGGCAGAATACGTAGAGATGAGTAGGCAAATACATGTGATCTCTTAAAGGGAGTCCCTGAGAGATTGCTTCCACAGTGCCGCTGCAAGGAGTCATGTGCCAACCCGTGTGGCCACAGAACTTTTCTGAGCAGTAGTTGGTAGCTGCGGGCATGTCCAATTCCCACAAGTCCAACACTGCTCAGATTGGGGCATAAATTCCTCACTTTCTTCAGCTCCTCTGTAGTCTCCTGCCAGAGCAGTGAGACCCATACTCTCCTGCTCTCCAAGTAGTTGTACCTACGTAGTTGTAAATTGTTTGCAATTCATGAGTGGTTTTCATAGTTGAGTGTCGGTAGGAAGTCTAATTGTTGTGTGCTTTGGTACGTAGGACTGCTGTGTGTGGAGTTGAGCTCACCTCTTTGCAAACAGCTTTTCTGTCTCTCTAGGTTATTATACAGCTCTATCCCATAGCATCTGACCTCACAAATATTCATGACTTATCTTTGCAGCATCCCTGTGATGTAGGAAAGTATTAGATCCATCTTGCACATGGGGAATATAGGCCCAGAGAGATTAAGCCACAGTCACACAGGAAATCTTTGATATCCCTGCTATTCAAGTCCTTGGTTTCACTCCGCTCTGCTGATGGCCTTCAGCCCCAATCCACAGCACCCGCTGCTATTCCAGTCCTCCTCAAGTACAGCTGGCAGTGGGGCACCCTCCCCTCGAGACAACTACAGGGTCATTGCATGCAAGATCTAGTCCGGTGTTCATGTTTGTTTCAAGAGTCAGTTTTGCACTCTGCTGAGGGGCCTGCACATCGTCTGCAGCATAAATCCCATTAGAACAGTGGAATGGTGCAGTTAGTCCCTTGAGCCAGTAACACGACCTCCCAAAGGCCAGGGCCTGCAGTTCTTGGAGGATGTCTGCCTGTCTGAAGACACTGGCTGTTAATGATTGTGGGAATGCCACTATCTACCCTGGTTCCTGCAGGGCTGCTCGGAAGAGGGTTCAGAGGTGATGGGAGAGGAAGCTGCTGACTAAAGCCTTCCCTTGACTAAGAAATGTGTGTTTTTCCATATCTGGGCTACCAGTGGTGAGAGCATTAGTGGAGACAGCTGCAGACCTTTTTAGCAGCATGTCCTCTAACCTGTGTATGCAATACCTGTGCCACAGCTTACACTGCTTGTAGTACCTGTACAGGAGAAGGCTTACAGATGGTCCTAGAGTAGATGCACCCGTTCAGAAGAACCTGAGCCTGCTTGACTGGGAAGCGGTGGGTGTTTTGATTTCCAGGAATTACATGCTCAGGTGTCTATGGAATACTCATGCTGCTGGACAATGTAAGTCTGCAAGTGAGATTCCCCAGGACAGGCATAGAGTGGTGAGCTAGGAAGGAATGCATTGCTTTTCCAAGGAACCAAAATGTTCCTGTGGAGCAGTTCTTTACCACATGGGATTTGCCTTCTTAGAAAGAAGCCAAAACCTTTCCATGCACCTGGGCTTTAGAGGTCGATTTGTTATGTTATCATATGTGCAGGAGCAAAGGAGTCTCCTGAGCTTCAGCAGGATCAGTGCTGGGGAAGATGTAAACCTGAAGAAACGTGGCGTGTCAGCCATTTAGATCTTGTTTTCCCTTCTGGGTGCTAGAGGGGCCGTCTACAGTCCCCATTTCTGGTCTGGTTCACCCTTTGGCTGACGTGTGATTCACCTGACTTGTTCTACTGTGACCCTAGGCAGCAGAATGATGCTCAGGACTGAGAGTGGGCTGAAAGAGGAGAAGCAGGAGGGGACCTCCGAGGCAGAGTTTGAAATAATCAAGCTTAGAGTTTGGGTCTTGGAACAGGGTGTGGGATCAACCCCAATTCTCCCTGCTTCTCAGCAGCAGCTGGGCATCTTACTTCCTTTGTCAGCCTTCAGAGGAAGGCACCCTTTAACCTCTTATAGGACCTGGCACTTCTATGCTACTGTGTTTTGGCCGGGCAAGCCCCGGTTAAACACTTGGTGTCCATACAGACAATGTTGCACAAGCTTTCCCACTGCTGCTGTGATTGAACTTGCCCTGAGTAAGGCTGAGTGCTCTTATAGCTTACACAGTTGCAGCGCCAGTGTGCATGGGAAATGTCAGTGTTGTACCTAAGGAGATTTCCATGGCCCGTGCCTGAGTGCAAACACGCAGCGGTGGCAGTTCCTGACCTGGTGAGATGAGGAGCTGTTGTCTCCTGCTCCAGTGTCAGGTGATCAGGTGCCAGGTGTGTCCCCTTTGGGACCTAGATGAAGGTGCTTTATTGCCAGAGGGTTGGGAAACTCTGCCTTTCCCCTCCTGGAAAAGTGAGTCATTGTGTGAGCAATCTCCTCCTGGCACAGTCACAAAGCCAAGGCCACAACGAGGGCTGCAGGGTTCCCTCCCTTGGCTACATGAGAGAGGGAGGTGACTATAGTCTTCCCTTAATCACGACCCCAGCTTGGCAGGTGGGTTCCTGCCATCAATTTCTTGCCCCAACCCCAGCTCTGGATCCCATATCTGCTGTTACCAGACCGGCCCTATCTGGGAATCTGCTCTAGTAAATCAAAAATGATTGTGGGACGTGCTGGATCTCTGCACAGCTCATGTGTTTCTTTGTGGATTTCAGGGGCTCCCTGTGTGGACAGTGTCCAGAAATTCCTACCAGGCCCAGTGGGTGTGGCAGGCTTGGGGAGCAGCCTCCAATCAGGCTGTGGTATGGGCAGCTGCCATTCTTGAACTGGAAGGTGTAACTGAAAGTGGCACGGGGGAGGCGGCTGGCTTTGTGGTGCTGTGGGGGTGGGGCGTGTGTTACAGGAACAGGCGGTGAATCGGCAGCCTCTTACTCAAGGCATTCTTGGAAGTGCTCTTGGTCTGAATTAGGAAACCTGTGTCTATTCAGGGACTAGGTGGTTTTTAAGCTATAGCTTCTCTGCTGTGTTCTTTGTGTGACTTGTGGGCTGGGAAAATGCATCTGTTAGGACTCACATGTGCCCTGCTTAGCAGAGAGCAAGCAGCTCCCTTACATCAGCTTCTGTCCAGCGAGTGGCCTGTCAGGCTCCCTTCAGCCATAGCTTAATAGCACCTCTGGGCGCTCTTCCACCCTCCATCTTACAAACGCTATGACGTGCCTGAGAACCAGGCCTGGGCTTGTGGACTGCCTTCCTGGTTGCATGACACCAGACCCTAATTCCGTTTATATCTGGCAGGGTTTGGGCTTCCCTGGGGCTTTAGGGTATGTTTCTCTTGTGACTAGAGTTGGAAGAATGAAGAGGAGCTCTCCAGTAACTTTGTTTGGGGACTGAGAGTCCCAGGAAATTGGATTGTGCTGTGCTATAAATAGGAGCAGTTTAATTTACTCTCTGGTGATGTTCAAGGGAAAGAGTGGGTGTGATCATTTGTACCTGCCCTATTGGTAACAATCTTGTAGGAATTCACCGGCCAGAGCCAGCCAATGCCATTGTTCAGAGTCTTCATGATGCCATCTCTTGCAGACTCTGCCCTCAGGACTGGGTAATGTGACTTACCCGCTCTCAGTCCAAGAGGTTTTTAGAGGTAACCTGCGGGGGGGAAATTGGGCTTGTGCCCCTGCTATGGTATGGTTTTTTTTCTTGCCTGGTGGAGAAGGTCTGAAAGCCATTATAAGCTGCAGAGAAAAGGCAAGGCCGTCTGCACACATGCACTGATTCCATTCAAAGTTTGTGGAGAACTCAAATGAAAAAGTTACAGAACTTCCCAACCACAAAAACCAGGGAAAAGTCTGAGAGGGAAAAGAGCTCGTGCTAAAGATGAGGCTGTTCTTTGCCAGGGTGTCTGCTGGTTACTTAAAGAAACACAAAGACTTAGAGAAATTGGAGGGATGTTGTTCAAACCCTTTCATAACAGCTGACACCAGTGACCTGGTTACCACAGTGCACGATATTACCTTTAGATAGTGATGCACTGAGCCAATTTCCCTTGCACTCACAAGCTACCGGCAGTTGAGAGATACGATAAGGGAGCTGCTCGCTCCCACCTGTAGTAAGGAGAAACAGAAGTGTAAAAATAACACAGGGGTGTGGTCCAGAATGGTGCTTAGTCCTGTTGCTGCCAGTGGAGTAGGCCTTTGGCTCCATGCAGGGAGGAACAGCCCCTCAGTGCAGGCTTGGCACGGCGCAGAATATGCTGCATAGTCCTCTGTTTCAAGAGGGCAGATCTGCTAGAAGGTGGGAGGGGCAGCATTAAGGATGATTGTTTTGTAGATGGACAGATTTTTGGGTTGCATGTTGCTGTTCAGATGTGATCTCTCTCTAGGGGAGCATTGAAATAGCCATGTTTCCAGAATATCTGTCTGTGTTGGGGGTAGGGGGGAATGGAAACTGAGTCAGGATTGCTGTGCAGATCTCCAGGGCCCAGGGGATCGAGAGCTCTCTTTCCAGTCACTGAAGAGAATGCTGCAGACACATCTCTCCAAGGTATTTCCTGTGTGGCCTTTCTTTACTGGGTACTAGCCATTTAGGGTTATGTTTGGAGTCTTCACGGGTAGAGCTGCTGTGTACAGTTCATTAGGCTTTAAAAATGATAGTGCTTACCCTTGGGAGTGTCGCCGATGAGATCCACCTCAGAGTGCCAAAGCCACGTTGTCCCCCAGAGCACACAAAGTAACAAGTGTAGAGCGCCAGAGCCAGGTGTGGCAGAGGGCTCTCCAGGGCTGTGCCGGGCTCCGCAAGGCTAAGCTGTCCATAAGGAAGCGTCTCTGTTTCCTGACCGGTTGCTTTGTGTCATGACTATTTGCAATTCCTGTAAATCTAATAAAGCGTTTAAAAGAAATGAAAATCATTGAATAAGAGCAAGTGTTGGAGGCTACCATGGTCACTTCCTTTGTCTGCCATATTTCCTTTCCCCCTCTTTTCCTGCAGGCCTCTGGCTGTACTTGGCAGGAAGCAGTCTACCCTGCCTGACTCTGATTGGCTCTCCTAATTTTGGGTACAGGTCGGTTCATCGGGACCTGGAAGCTCAGGTTGCAATAGTGACAGAAAATCGTGACCTGCAGCAGCAGCTCCATCAGGTTGGTGGCAAATAGGAGGAGGTTTCATAGGGTGGGGGAGTGTTGGTGAGATGATTGCTTTAAAAATCTTCAACTACTAGAACTTCAAACCTTCACCTAGCACAGGAGAACTTGAGGAACTGTCAGTTAAGTGGCTATTGGTGAGCTGTTGGCTACAAGTGCCCACTTCTGGGAACTAGAGGCCATAATGAGAATGGACAGCTGAATTTGGCCCTGGAGATTAACCAAACACAGATGAGCCATTCAGAGTAAAGCTACTTATTCTCATATACGCTGCACATTCATGCCTTGCCTCCATGGCTTGGGCATCTGAGCTTGCGGAAATGGAATTCAGGTTCACTGAGTTGCTGACCTCTCACCTGTAAAGTGCTTTGGATCTTAATTGCTTTTATCAATCTACTTGCAACCAAAAGTGTCTCTAACCCCATGTAAATATTTATATAAACCCCACCCTGGCTGCCTTCAGATAACTTCTTTTTTCACAGGATTTGGGGGCTGGAGAAGGGAAGGGGATCTGCACTCAGCATCTCCTTTACAGTAAGAGAATTTCTGTCCTTCTCTCAGGGAGAAATGTGGTCCTGTTTTTAATCCTGACCGTAGGCTCTTTTTCAGTGGTTTAAAGACCAGTGTTCCAGTTTAGTGTATAGTCAGCTGTAAAGGGGTGGGCAGCTTGGGTTGTTTGGTATCTTCTTGTCTCCTCTCTTAGATAGTTTTCTCCAACTGTCCTGCTTTTCAATCTAGTCCTGGAATTGGCATCACCCTGAGTAATTCCCGTGATACCAAAGTGTTCAGCAGTGAAGCAAATTGGATCAATGCATGAGTTTCATGTGAAGCTTTGCAAAACACATATTGGATAAAACTCAGGCTTGGCATAAGGCTCAGCCTGCATAAAAATCAATGGGAATTGCACCTCTTACCCCAGAGCTGAATTTGGCCCACTGAGTCAGCCTCATATCTAATCCAGCAGGGTTCTGTGTCTTACTGGAAGAGTCACATGAATGTTTCACTTTATTTGGCCTGTATTTGTTTTTATCTGTAATGAGAAAAATCTGTGAAAAATATTTTTGTAACAAAGGGATTGTGTAAATCTGAGAAGGATGACTGCAATGACCCAACAAAGCATTTTAGCTAAATGCCTATGGCTGAATCTCCCCAGTATACTAGAAGTGATCTGGAATGTGACCACCTGTTTCATTGCTGTTTGTGATCTTTGTGTGGAGACTGTTCTGTGCTGAGATGAAATCTAACAGACCCTCTAAGGAATCCGTCTCTCGCTTCGTCCTTCCATTGTACGCTGGTTGGGATGGTTGGGACAAGTGTTAGAGACATTGTGCTGTTCTGTGAACCCTATGCAAAGCTCTCAATGAAGACTTCATTTCCAAATCTATGAACAGTGGAGGGGTTTGGATCTCCCTGTATTGTGAACCCTAGCATTAAAAAAACATGAGAACCTAAACTGTATTTAAAATATCTTTGCCTTCTCTTCTTTGAGCCGGCAAGGTTCATGTTTTCATGCTTTTCTTCACAACCAAGAGGGTAGAGACTTCTTCGTTTAAATGAAAGCTGAGATTTTTCCACTTCCAAGGTGCAGCTTTAAGAGCAACAGATATTGTGAGCTGGTAGTACTGTTCATTTGTGAAACTCCCGTCCAGTGTGAATCGTTTCTCTGTCATCTGCCTTGACTTGATGTGGGGGGGCCCGGCTGGCATTATGGGAGATAAATCACCTGTCTCACATATGGTAACTAAGATCTTGTAGTCCTATCTGTAAGTAGGGCTAACAGAAAAACTACAGCCTCTGGGGCTACATAGTATTTGTCACTTTTAGTTGGTTTCCTTTGCTGCTGCTTTTGTCAAATAACAAATTAGACAAACAGTCTCCTGTTAGCACAGGGGCTGGTGATACAAATGCCTGACTAATGTACACTCCTCAAACGACTGACTTTTGGGTACCAGTAGGGTGGGGGCTGCTGTGGAACTCCGTATGACTACCCAGGCCTTTCATTACTGCAGTCCTATACATTGTATTGTTTGAGATGTTTCCAGTGCAGATTCCTTTAGTCTGAAGGAAATTGGTGATACATTTTAATAACCACTCTACACCTGTATTGTAATTGACAGCATGGACTAGAACCCACATTAAGCACTTTGCAACATTGTTGCAAAACATATGCACCAATCACTTTTCAAACTAACTCATCTCCGGCCATGTTTTTCAAACCAAACCAAGGTCAGGGGTTAGCCCATGTTGAAGTCCAACTTCCACTTCAAAAAGGAATGCTGGAGAAGTGCTGAGCAGTCCCAGATGGCTTTCTGGCTGCTGCAATGAGTGAACCAAAGTAAATAATAGTTTGTTACAAGTTTTGAGTCTCAGTACAAATAACTGAACTGAACCTAGACTATCGGCATTAAATGATTGACACCCTGCCTCTAACGGAGGGTTTATAGTGGGCTTTGCAACACTCTTCATTTCTAAAAGCAGGCTCGTTACTGCCGGCATCTTTTACATTCAGCCCTTTGTGTTTATTTCCCATAATTTGTGGTTCCTTTCCTGATGTGTCAAAATTCAGAGTGCTTGCGGACTCTCTCACAGGGAAAGATTTCTGTAATCTGTGGAGTAGAAATTGAGGTATTTTGCTACAACTGACAAACGTCCTGCTTCTTGTTTGCATGTAGAGTAAAACCAGAAACCTTGCTAGTTTTGCAGAAAGAGCCACTTCTGCCTTTGATCAAACCACTACTTTTCATGTGCTATGTGAAATGTCTATTGTAACAGAGATGGTTCACTTCCTCTTCCAGTTGTATTGTTTATACTTTAAAGGCACTTAAGCATTTCTGGTAATTTAATTGAAATCATGACTGCATATTCATTTGAAAACACAACACTAGAGCTGTGTCTAGGATGAGTTCTGCAAACCAGTCTCTTGAGATTAAAGTCAGGTTTCCTTTTCAGGCAATTACAGCTAGGGGTTTGACTTACGTTCTTCCTATAACTGTAGTTTAGTTACGTAATTAGGGATAGCTGTAGGGACTGATCCTGCAAAGCCACCCACCTTGGGCCCTTTGAGTTCCAATGTTCAGGTTCTGAGTACATTTCTCCAGAATATGATGTGAATGTGGCTCTTCAGAATGCAGCGGTCAAGCCTCAGAATGTTGCTGCAGCAGTCACACCTCAGGGGCAGTTGCCATGTGACATTCCCCATGCTCACAGCTCAATGGCTGGGCTACTTGTCTACAATTCACATCACATGGAGGGGCAGGCTGGGTTCTTAGCCCCTGATGTGTGTTCAGCCCTGTGAGAGAAGGGTGAGATGCCTCTCTGGCCAGGCAAAAGCTGTGACTGTAGGTGCACCAAATCTGGCTAGGGTGCCAGATGATGTGAGGGCGCAATGGTGAAACTGGCTCTTGGGATTTTGTCTTGTAGGAGCAGGAGCAGCTTTACCTCAAGTCAGGCGTCGTGTCGTCGTCTACATTTGAACAGCCAACCCGCTATGTAAAGCTGTGGGTGAAGCTGGTAACGCCTCTGATTAAGAACTTCTTTTGAAAGGAGAAAGGATCCTCCTCTGGGTGAGTCTGAAGTTGTTTTGCTCCAGGAAGAACTAAAGCTGCAGGAAATGATACTGAGATAATTCCACTTATTAATGCAGCGGGAAGAATCAGCCCAGTGCTTCCCTTGCATGGGGAAGGTTTTCAGTGCAGTGTGAAGCTCTTTCCTGAGGGCCTATATTCGATTTCCATTTGAGTGGGTTATATCTCCAATGCATGTCGTAGTCTAGCAGTAACAGGATCCTTTTCAGGAAGGGGGAGGCAGGAGTCCAAGTTATCCCCATGCATTGATAAGACTTTCTCTTCTGCAATGGGGACTCAGCCTAGGGTCAGGCCTAGATTTTACCCTGGCCAGCCAATGGGAGACATTGTGGGGAAATCTAAGCTGCTCTCCTGCCTGAGTTGGGATTAAAGAGGGGAAAAAGTCAGCATTAGATGTTGGCTGACACAAGGCCATTTGCTATCTTTCTTCCTATGGTGGTGGACTCACTGATCCGGGACTTTTCACCCAGTTAATCCCCTAGACTTGGTGAAAATGCTGACTCAGACTTCAACTTTCGCCAATTTTCATTCCCAAGAGCCTTACTGCTGGAGCATGTGTATGTGTTTTCTGGTCCTTTACCTTCACTCAACCCTCTGGTTCTGGGAGCCCAGATTGCTTGCTCTGGGTAAGTGCCAGCCACCTGCCACATCAGGGTAACTGGTTCTAAACTTCCTCTGTATCCAGGGATTGAAGAACCAGCACTACTGAGGCCTCATAAATGGCCAGGTCAGCCCTGGACCACAAGCAGCCTGGCAGTTGCCTATTGCCCTAAGCATTCCTTCACAGCTCTCCCCTCTCGGCTAAAGTCACAGTGTTGAAATAGAAGATGCTGAAGCACTGGGGTTTTATCATTTTGTCTTCAGGCAGTTGAGTGCTGCTAGCAGATGTTAAATAGCAAACTGCTCCATACAAAAGGGAGAGGGGGGTTGGGTTCTTCGGGGTGGTCAGTGCTGAGCCTCCTGGCCAGGCAGCAATGGCAGTGGCATGAAGGCAAACCAAAATCCTTTATGCCCCAAACAGCTACACCAAGGGAGCTTGCTCCTGCTTCTGCCACAATGGTTCCCCTCGGGGGTGAGAGGGGCGTTCGCTTTCATGGTCCCTGCACACAGCACCAGCCGTGATGGGTCTCCTAGCCACTGGTGACAGGCCTTGCCACTCCTAGTGCTTTGGAGCGCACCATTTCTCACCTTTTTTCTGTCTCATTTCTCACGAGTCTTGTAACGACTCTGGCTGTATTTCAAAGGCTGGCTGTAGTGTGTGGCCTTGTCTGACACAACTGCACTTCTGGGAGCACAGGGACAGAGAGACATCACATTCTAGAAACAGAAGGACATGTGCTTCCTGACTGACTTCCCACCCAGCTAGAAAAATGGGTAGTAAACAGGGAGCATGGCCAGAGTGTATTCTTTATACAGCCCTGTGGGACAGGTGCTGGAAGGCTTAATAGCAGATGCTTAAAGGTTGATCGGGGTGACCTGTGTGCACGTTTCCACTGTTGGGAAGTAGAGGATGGCACAGAGCGGTAGCTAAGGCACTGGACAGTGTTGGTATCTGGGCTCTCTTCCTGGCTCTGTTTCTCCTTCCCTTTTTGTCTGGTCTGTTTACATTGGAAGCTCTTTGGGGAAGGGACTGGAACTCCAGCACATGGCCCAGTGGGTCCCTGCCCACATAGGAGCACCGAACAGGCACTGAGCGCTGTGGAATCCAGACGGCCACATACAAACATTGGGTGTCTTCACTACTAAATGTTAAAGCGCTTTAACGTGGCTGTATACTCACGGCACCAGCGCTGTGAGCACTGTAAAAACCCCACCCCTACGAGGGGAGTAGCTCCCAGCGCTGGTGCACTGTCTGCACTGCCACTTTCCAGCACGGAGGGGGGTGTTTTTTCACCCCCCTGAGCAAGAAAGTTTTAGCGCTGTAACGTGGCAGTGTAGACAAGGCCTTTACTTTGGCTTCCTCCATCTCTTTGGTGCTGGGCCTGTAGTGCTTTACTGTAACCTGCCTTGTGGAGTTCCCCACGGCTGGCACCTCTCTGATGTGTATTGTGACACCAATCCACCGCTGGCCAATTGTTTTATCCACCTGAGCACTAACACTTTCATTTCATGTTTATCTTTTATTGTCACTATTAAAATACTTTGGGGCAGACAAAAAGCTGGGTGGAGTTTCTGACTAATAGGATTAGTGTTGAGCTGGGTGGTACTTTGGCATGTGGAACAAGTGCTTTGCATAGGCAGTAAAAGTTTAAACTTGTAAGAGCAAAGCAACAGCAGCAAGAATCCACTTAGCTGGCTTCTCTTTTGTTTTCAGATTGAAGGTCCAGACGTAGGTGGGGCCTCGCATGCGAGTCTTGTAGACTGGGCACTCATAGACATTCTTGGTGTCCATACGGTCCACAGGGATGGCTCTGATGAAGATGACTGGCATCGAGGGCGTTAACTCCTTCAGCCGAGCGTCTGTGATGACACCACTAGGAATGTCCCACCGAGCACCTGCAGTGTTATGGCTTAGTCAGTATACCAGCTGCCATGGGGCTTTTTCCGTCAGAAGGTTCTATTTGCTGTATCTGCTGGGGGGAGAGTTCTCCTAGAAGCATGGTTAAGGGTCGGCTGGAGGACCAAAGGGCTGTACTGAAGTAGCCAGGGCTTAGTCACCCCTAACAATATTACTAGGGATAAGATCTCTAACTACAATGGTCAATTCTGTCCTTACTCTCCCCCACCTCTTCCCCCCCAGCGCCCATGTCGGGGAGGACTGCACAGTTTGGGGAAGAATGGGAAATATGGAAACTCTCCCATAGCATCTGCTGGGCATGGACCTAAGCTTGGCAGTAGAGTGATCCTGCCAGGGCCTCATCCCTCTGTGTTTATTAGCTGTAAGGGACCTCAAACTAAAGCTGAGAGAATATTCCCTTCTCACTTAGACTTCCTTATTTATATATGAGACCCAAATAGCATCAGCTGTCTCTGCTCTGAGGTTCACCTGTAGCTGTCTTAATTTCCAAAATAAATAAATACTAATGGTCCCTGTTTGTCTGTTAGATGAGGGCTGCCCTCTGCTGGCATGTTTCTGACAATGATAACGGCAGCTGCTACCCAAACTGAACCTGGCTGCTCTATGAATGGATTCTGTTTATTGCAAAATAAATGAGAGCTGGCTCTAGTTCACACTACACTCCTGCAGTGCTGACAGACATGACATCAGTTATTCCTCGACTACTGCTTGGGAAAGACTAATTGATACAGTACTCGGTGCATAAGTATTAACTAGGTAACTATCTGTAGGCTACCTTAAAGTTTAGCAGGGACACACTGGGTATTAAGCTGCAGGAAATATCAGCACTGAGAGAGCCCATTGTCAGGTACAGTGGAAGCTCTGAGTAGCGCTCACAGGTGGGGTGGAATCATTGTTGCAGCATTTGCCTTCAAGAAGGGGGAGGGATAGCTCAGTGGTTTGAGCATTGGCCTGCTAAACCCAGGGTTGTGAGTTCAATCCTTGAGGGGGCCATTTGGGGATTTAGATGGGGATTGGTCCTGCTTTGAGCGAGGGTGGGACTAGATGCCCTCCCGAGGTCCCTGCTAGTCTATGATTCTAAGTGTGTGCTGGGCTAATGGTTCAGGCATGGGTCTGCCAAAAAGAGGTGGTCCTGTACCTTCCATGAACAGCCCATGCACATAGGAGCCTTCTCGGGGTGGAGCCGTCATATCCTCCCGGTTTTTCTTGGTTACTTCCACTGAAAGACACATCTTGTCAAGTGGCCATTCATTCTTTCTGGCCATAGACTGCATGATAGCTGTGAGAAAAGACTGGGGATTGAAGAAGCCTGCCAGCCACACTGTGGTGGGGAGTGCAAAGTCAGTCGTCCAGGCCTCTAGTTCCTGAAAAATAAAGCAGCCGCAGTTTAAAGCCAAGTCCACAGGCCGTGGTGCATCTGTTGAATTGGTGGAGTGATACCAACATTGGACTTGTTACTGCATTTACTCCTGTCATCCATTTTGGGAGAACTGTCTTTACAGCCCCTCTGATTTAAGACGCCCATCTTCAGTGGATTGTGATTTCAGGAGGGACAAGTTGTGAAAGTAATGGCATGTGGCAGACAAAGAAACACCTGGAGTAAGTTTCCAAAGAACAACCCTATCTCAGCAGAGCCCCTCTTGGGTCTGCGATGCTGCAGGTGGACAGGGTAGTCACCAGGGAGAAGGGCACCAAGCTGAGACTCTTTGGAAAAACTAAGGCTTTGTCTTCAGTGGGGCTTTGCATCAATTGCAGCCATTGCTGCCGCTGCACCACTGCAAACCTCATGTGCAGGTGAAGAAGGTTGTGCTTTGCACCAGAAAAGCTTTGTTGGTGCAAAGTGCAGCTGTCATGAGCTACCTTTTGGGGTTTGTACTGATGCAGCTCCATTAAGTGGCTGGACATTAAATGCTGGAATCAGGGCAAATTTATAATGACGATTACAGATTTAGAATTAGGGTCCTTGCCCTTTCCTGTTTGGTTCTCCTACAGCACCTCCCCCACTGGTTTGTAATGCCAACTGTGTACGTGAGAGAAGAGCTACACGCCACCTTCCCTGCTGCTTCGAAAGCCCTGAATTCCAGGCACGGATTGAGGCAAGGGGGGCTTGCCATCTCGTTAGACCCTCCGATGAAGCTGTAGCCCTGGCTCCTACATGCACTTGGCCCGTATCACTTCAGCACTGTGCTTTCAAGCCATGGTGGTCTCAGCACCCCAGGTTCTTGCAAAGCCAGCTAGATTTTCTGGGCTTTTGAGAAGTGTTTGAGCTCTGATGCTCCTTTTAGTACATAATTTAGATCCTTGCAAGCAATGCAAAGCACCTTCACATGCCCAGCCCTGGCCAGACAGCAATATTTGTTCCATGAGCACCAGTTTGAAGAGAGATCTTTGGCCCATGAAGAGAGGCTGGAGGTGTAGCAGACTCACCCGGACCCGGAGCAGTAGGTCAGCATACCAGGCTCCCAAGCCAAGTAAGGAGGGGTAGGCCCGGTTTGTCCAGAATTCGGGCACATTGTCATAGAAGAGAGCATTAGACAAATCCTCCATGTCTGTTGTGATTGTCAGCTCCCCCTTTGAAAGGAAAAGAACCGTGGTTTAGTTAAGTGAGAGCTGGCCCATTGTGATGGAACCACCTTTGAGAGCAAAGCTCTAGCCAAGATGGCACACTGCATGTCAGTCACAAGGGACTCAGCGACTGTTTCTGGAGTTGTGAACATTAGAGCTTGATTTACTGACAGGGAGCAGTGCCAATTTTTGAAAAATAGGGCATTTTCCATCATTCCCGGGTCTGTCTTTAGTCTCCTCCAACAGAGAGGGGCCCCATCCCTTACACCTGGGGCTCTACAGCAAGTCCAGGGGAGTTCAAATTCCCGTTAGAGATTTCTCCCCCGAGAAGTATTGGCAGGGACACAGAGCAGCTTTTTTCAAAACAAGCCAGCATTTTAGGCAACTGGGACATAGCCTTTGAGTCCTTAGGTCAGCACTGAAAAGCCACATGTAAGACAGGCTATCTCAGCAGAAGCAACTGCCCCATCATCCCATGGCCTCTGCAATCCAGCTCAGTCTCCCTCAATGTAGGTGTTCGTCCCTTTATGCACGTGCACCCGCTCACTCAGCTTTTAGGCTGCCGCAAACCTGCAGGAGTCACAATGAAGGAAAGAGGAGTGTTGGCTGCCTTAGAATGACCCTGGAGTTAGAATGTACATTGTAGTGGGTGGCAGAAGAAGAGAAACTCATAGTAATCCAGCAGCTCACATTACCTTGGCACCAAACCTGAACTGAACATTTAGTTCCACTGACTTTGTTTGTAAAGGCTGGTATATTGAAAAAAACCCAAACACACACACAACCCAAGAACATTACCTAAGTTACTACCATGGTGTAAAACAGTAGCGATATCACACACCTTCAGCCCCAAATTTAACTCTTTCAAAGAGCGTCTCATTTCATTTGTCAAGATGTTCATTCTTTCACATTCCTGAAAGGCCACCACGACATACGGGGTCTTCTCCGCTGCTTTAGCCATGATTTCCAGCATATTAAATGGCTCGGGTAGCTTGTCGATGATTTCATCTAGGACTTGCTTGACCTGTAATACGTAACACCATCAAACATCTTTAGCAAGGGAACAAATTCCATGTACAGAGCTTTGACAGGGCATGTAAAATGTCGTTCTTCCACTGATTTAACATTTTCAGTCTCCTGAAAGAATTTATCACTAACCTTTAATAGCCTAGAATTAAATTGGCCAATGAACTTGGTCTGTAGAGTCCACCAGAGCCTTAGAATCAAGAGAGAGCAAACTGGGCAAGGCTGGAATTGCCCCTGCACAGGCTGGCGCTCAAACCCATCGAGGGTTGAAGTGGCTCCTGTTCCGTTAAGTAATGAAGCTGGTGCTGCTCCCATGACTCTGGCTGAGTGGCATGGTACAGCAAGAACCCAGCACAATACACCTTTCAGCTCATCCAGGGGAATGGCTGCAATACCCACTGCCTAATTAGCATACAGCCCACTCTGTGACCATATGCTTTGCATGGTTGTACGCGCCACATACCTGTTTATTGGCAGCCAAAGGGAGATGAGCAGAGGTCAACAAAGAAGTGGAATGCAGCCTTAAAGACAGAGGGTTCTGGGGAAGATTAGGTTTAGCAGCTGCCTGCATTTCATTTTTATGGTTACAAATTTCACCTGCTCATAATCAGCCCATAAGTACTCTGCCATCTACCTCAAAGTACAGTAACTGAGCAAACTCCCCACATCACTAGTAGTATTAATTATTTTACAGGTGCAGTGCTAGAATCATAGACTTGTAGGACTGGAATGGACCTTGAGAGGTCTTCCAGTCCCATCTCCTGCACTCCAGGCAGGACTAAGTATTATCTAGACCATCCGGTGTTTGTCTAACCTGCTCTTAAAAATCTCCAGTGATGGAGTCCACAACCTTGCTAGGCAATTTATTCCAGTGCTTAACCACCCTGACAGGAAGTTTTTCCTAATGTCCAACCTAAACCTCTCTTGCTACAATTTAAGCCCATTGCTTCTTGTCCTATCCTGAGAGGTTAAGAACAACCATTTTTCTCACTCCTCCTTGTAACAACCTTTTATGTACTTGAAAGCTGTTATCATGTTCCCCCTCCCGCCCCATTGTCTCTTCTCCAGACTAAACAAACCCAGTTTTTTTCAGTCTTCCCTCAGAGGTCATGTTTTCTAAACCTTTAATCATTTTTGTTACTCTTCCCTTAACTTTCTCCAATTTGTCCACAGCTTTCCTGAAATGTGGCGCCCAGAACTGGACACAATACTCCAGTTGAGGCCTAATCAGCGCAGAGTAGAGCGGAAGAATTACTTCTCGTGTCTTGCTTACAACACTCCTGCTATTACATCCCAGAAGGATGTTTGCTTTTTTTTGCAACAGTGTTACATTGTTGACTCATATTTGGCTTGTGATCCACTATGACCCCAGGTCCCTTTCCACAGTACTCCTTCCTAGGCAGTCATTTCTCATTTTGTATGTGTGCAACTGATTGTTCCTTCCTAAGTGGACTACTTTGCATTTGTCTTTCTTGAATTTCATCCTATTTACTTCAGACCATTTCTCCAGTTTGTCCAGATCATTTTGAATTTCAATCCTGTCCTCCAAAGCACTTGCAACCCCTCTCAGCTTGGTGTCGTCCGCAAACTTTATAAGTGTATTCTCTGTGCCATTATCTAAATCACTGATGAAGATAGTGAACAAAACCAGACCCAGAACTGATCCCTGCAGGACCGCACTTGATATGCCCTTCCCGCTAGTACAACTCCGGATCCAAAGCGCAGGGTGGATAATGTGCTTTGGAAACTCTGGTCCCACTGTCTCTTTACCCCCAGCGGTGGGGGTGAGCAGCTCCCAGGTGCTTTAGTGCAGGACCTGAGGCGATGGGAAGTGGCTGCCAGCCAGTGCAGCTGGAAGAGGAGGAGGAGGAGATGTAGCTTTGAAAAAAGGAAGCCAAAGAGATTAACCATTTCCTCTCTCTCCTGCCCTACTGAATAATGCAGGAGGCTGCAACTCTCTGCAGCCCTAGGCAGGCGTGCCCCTGTTCAGTTACTCTGCTAGTCCATGGTAGCGGTGGGAGGGAGAGCATGGTCAGGAGCACTGAGGCACAAATGTGCTTAAGAGACCGTTGGAGGTTCTGTCACTGGTGGGAGATGAGGCTGTTACAGTACGGAGCCTCCCCTTAGTTGGTATGTTTGTTTCTTCGAGAACAAACCCGCAGCAGATGAATTCCTGGTTAGCACCGAAGGACAGAAACGTTTCCTACCTTTTCCTCTCGGGACACACCCGTCCCGCCTCCAGCATCAGACTCCTTAGGCTGCATCTCCAGAACTGTACGGAAAAGCTTTTCAGACGTGACAGTGAGGAAGCCAATTTCGGCATTGGGGTGGAGCCCGTAAAGGTACGGGCTCTCTGGGGGAAGGTTCTCATCAATGTATTCATGATAACCCTAAAAGACAGGGCAGATAGCAAACACTGAGTGACTAGACCCCTATTCCTAGACAAGGCTTTTAAGACCTTTGGGCTCATCTAGCCCCACTCCATCATGGACTAGGAGTCTTTGGTGTTCCCGCCTGGAGAATATCTAAACCATCTCTCAATCTCCCACTCAGGGTGCCGTAGACCTACTGCCCTCCCTCACTAAGAAGTTTTTACTCATGTCCTTCCTCAGCTTTGTCCTGGTTTATTACTGAACTGCTTTTTCTTGTCCTGCCACTCTCCCCCTGGGAATCTCTCCAGGTTTCCATGGACTCTCCCCAATGTCTCCTTATGTCATCTTTACGGGGTTCTTTCCAGGTTTTGCAAGGCGGTGCTCTTATCACACATACATCCCCAAGAGAGCCACAGCCTTTTGACAGCTGCAGTGAACTGTGGAGCTCTCCCCCCATAGAAGAGAAGAGCCTTTCCTCACCTTGTAATCCGAGTTGGGTGGAACTAAAAACCCTGGAGCCAAGGTCATTTCTCCCTCCAGCATCTCCACCCGGATGTATTCTCTCAGGTAAGTTCTACACAACCTGCGATCCCAGTCATCTGTGATGTGTCCCCCATACATAATTTCACCAAAGAGATAGCGAAGATCGTCCCATGGAACCTAGACGAGATGCCGACTCAGTGCAAAGTGATTTCTATAGAATGCATGTTCTGAAAAGTCCCAGACAGCAGCGGGAAGCTTCACATGTCAAGTTAGCTTTGCTGTGCCCTCACCATGCAAGGAGCGAGCCCTTGGAGTCAGTCACACATGAGCAGCTCAGCATCAACATCGGGGGGGAAGAGCAGCATGGAGCCCGTCACTTTCTTGACCATGTTCACTGGGGATTTCACCCCTTCCCCAGCACAAAGACAGCCCCCCAGAGTGGCGGATGAGCCTTGCCTCTAGATCATGTCTCTTTTCATCCCAACTGAATTTAATTAAGCTTTTGCTACTTCCATAAGGCCTGGAGCAAGGAGCGTGCTTAGGGTTCCCATCCGTCCGTATTTCCCTGGACATGTCCGGCTTTTTTGTCTTTAAATAACCATCCAGGAGGAATTGGTAATAAGGGTAAAAGGTCCGGGATTGTTCCCCCTCTCCTCCCCTTTCCCCCATGCAGAGTGCGGCGCGGCTGATTGGGCGGCTGGGCCTGATTGAGCTGCTCCCATTGGCCTCCAGCAGCCAGAGCCCCCCCCCCCCGCTGCCTCAGCACTCTGCAGGGGTGGGGCGGTGCGCTCTGCAGCCTAGCAGCTGTTTTGCCTCCACGTGGAGCCAGCGGCTCGAGCGGCATGGTGGTAAGGGGAGAGGATTGGATGAGTCGGGAGTTCTGGGGGGCCTGTCAGGGGGCAGGGGTGTGGAGAGGGATCGGAGCAGTCGGGACAGGGGGCGGGTTGGATGGGTCGGGACTTCTGGGGGGGGGTCTGTCAGGGGGCGGGGAGTGGTTGGATGGGGCGTGGGAGTCCCGGGGGTCTGTCTGGGGGCGGGGGTGTGGATAAGGGTTGGGGCAGTCAGGGGACAAGGAGCCCCCGGCAGAGCCTTCTTCAGTCCAAAGGTTGTTGGAGCCCTGTGCTTCCACAATGCTCCCCCCACCCAGGAATCATAGAATATCAGGGTTGGAAGGGACCTTGGGGTCATCTAATCCAACCCCCTGCTCAAAGCAGGGCCAATCCCCAACTAAATCATCCCAGCCAGGGCTTTGTCAAGCCTGACCTTAAAAACCTCTAAGGCAGGAGGCTGGGAGGGGGGCACGAAGGGGAGGTCTAAGCAGCACCCTGCGTTTCCCCTGTAGTGCTGCTTTTTGTAACCTGGGGACAATCACTCTGACTTGCCGATGTTAAACAAGCACGTTCTAACCTTGACATTAGCCTCCAGGTAATTATACAGCACGTTGATGGATATAGTCAGATCTCCATTGTTGAAAGGATAAGACCGATTCCAGCCCTGCGCACCAAACTTACGCCTTTCAGCTACCACCGCATGAAAGTAGCAGAGAGCAAACAAGATGCACTTGAATTCAATTTCTTTGGTGCACATTTCTAAAGTATCCTAAAGCAGAAGAAAGAGGAAAAGAACATGCTTGCGTGCAGAAGAGGAAATGTCCCCAATGGGTGTCTGAATATAAAAAACAACTTCTCACAACTAGCCAGCAAAGACGGAGCTGAACCTTCTTTACCACAAAGTGCACGTAGGTGTCTCAGCTTACGCACGCTCTCAAAAGCTCACGTGTAGTCTCAGCAACATTCACTGCTGCTTGCCCAGAATTTACTCAGAGTACATTGAAATGTGTGAGAGGGAAACTCCTGGCCTCGTCCACACACCTTAATGTGATGTGTTTATAATCTGATGAGAAATGACCTCTTAATTCTAACTGTCTGCTCGTTTTAAACTCTTGCACTCTATCAGTGAGTTAAAAATAACCAAAATATCAATAATAGTAATTACTACTACAGCTACTGGTCACATGGCTCTGTAAAAGGTTAGTTGTGGTGCTGCAGAAGCAGGCAGTAGAGGCGTATTTTGATCAGGCTTCTTCCTAGAACTGCATTATCTGTATTGTCTCTGATACTTATGCACACCAGGGTGACCTACAATTCTTAATTTCAGAAGCTCATCTTTTGCACCAGGCCCAACAGATGTAGGAAAAAAGCATAAGTATAAACCCTGCCATGTTTTCTTCTAAGCAAGTCCAAGTTACCTAGTCATTCCTCTGCTCTTCTAGCCAGTACCTAGCTTACACTGTATCATGTAGTATGAAACCAATTCAGACAGGTTTGAAGAACACCAGTAAGCGAAACACCTGTACAATCCCAAAACACTCAACAAGAATGCTGCGCTCTATTAATAAATTGGAGACCTCATCTGTGGTGAAGGGCCCTTCCCTGCACTTAGTACCTATGTCTTTGAGGGCCAAGGGCAGTAGGGCCCTTAAAAAGCTTCACCTGGTGGAAAGATTCTACCAGTTCTGGAACTGGCTGTGGAACATTCTAAAGGTACACACCATAGCATGCTGCAATTTTCCATTATTTACAGGCAGAGAAGAAATGACTCTTGCAATGACAGACTATAGTATATTAGCCTACAAATAGAAACTTGCAGCCAAGCAAAACACACAGCTGCAGTAGAGTGCTTCTATAATCAGACACGCTTGGCATGACCTCACCTCTTAACATCCCCATCACTAGCAGCTTTACATTTAATTATTTTTTAATATTGCTGAACAGGACTGTAAGGATTACAAATTTGCTCTGTCCCTAGTAAAATCTTATGTTATGGGAACACTGATAGGAACACCCGGAGATCTTTAGTGGACATCACAAGGGTACCTTTTCCACTACAATGCAGAAAGCACGCAAAAACCTTTGAAAAAGCCCTGTAATTAATGCCAATGTGGCGAAGATGCCTTTATGAAGGGCATCAGTATGAACTAGTGCACTGAAAAGAACAGAGCTAAGAGGAGTCAGACTAGATGACTTAGGGGTAAACTATGAATCTAGACTCTAAGAAATCCATTTCCTAGGCAGGCTGCACTCTCTCTCCTGGGGAGAAAAGCCTGAAAAGAGAGAGGCCTTACAACTTCTAATAAAGAGCTGTGACTGCAGAAAAAAGTTTAAAACAACAACAGAACAAACCCAAATAGCTTAAAAAAAAACAACCAAAAAATCAATCCTGTCATCAATACCTGAGTAAAGAGATCCAGTGCTTTGTGCAAGTTAGCATGCATGCCAGTCGGTGGCTCATTGGTAATTTTAATGGCATTTTCCAGGAGTCCTTGAGGAATAATATGCGCGTCTGGAGTGGGAGCAGGTTCCGCACTCATAAACACCCTGTAATCCTCGTGGCTGCCAATGCTGTATCTCTCAACCTTCTTATCCAGCGTGCTCAGCCACTTTGCAACCAGGTGGATATTCTGCAACACACACAATTTGACTTTACTTCTTGCTCCCAAATTTGAATCCCGTACAGCCGAAGTCCCTCACAGTGCTAGGTGGGAAGTGCTGTGCTGGAGGAGGTGATGCTATTTCACACCTCTTAGGCCTAGCAGCCCTGAGTTGTTCCCTGTTGTTTCACTGGGATGTGATACACTGACAAGGCCCCATGCTTCCTCTGATGACGTAGTCACCTGTTTAGATTTGACGCAGGTCAGTGGAAGCTGCCCACCAAATACTGTCGTCAGTCTCCTAGGGTTTGTACCCATCATCATCTTTTAACATTTGGATGAATAGCCTGGAAGGCCAGAAGAGACCATGAGCAGCATCCAGTTTGTCCTCCCGCATAACATAGGCCACAACTTCTGGTGGACGTAGAGCAGTGGCTCTCAACCTTTCCAGACGACTGTCCCCATTTCCGGCGTCTGATTTGTCTTGCATAGCCCAAGTCTCACCTTACTTAAAAACGACTTGCTTACAAAAATACAAGTGTCACAGCACACTATTACTGAAAAATTGCTTATTTTCTCCTTTTTACCATATAATTCTAAAATAAATCAACTGGAATATAAATATTGTACTTACATTTCAGTGTACAGTACACAGAACAGTATACACGAGTCATTGTATGAAATTTTAGTTTGTACTGACTTTGCTAGTGCTTTTTGTGTAGCCTGTTGTAAAACTGGACAAATCTCTAGATGAGGAGATGTACCCCCGGAAGACCTCTGCGTACCCCCAGGGGTACGTATACCCCTGGTTGAGAACCACTGATGTAGAGCACCTCTTTAGAAAGAAATCAAGCCTTGGTTTAAAGCTTCCCAAGTGATGGCGTATTCGCCAGTGTTCTTCACTGAAACATTAGAAGTCCTTTACTAAATGATATACAGTACATGCTTCTCCCAGCACTGTGCTGCTATATCAGCTGGATGTCTAGCCATTCTCCTGGGCCCTGAATGCACTGCCTACCACCACAGTAGTCTTAGCTTCTGCTGGCCCATGGGAGTTAAAGATCAGATGCAGCAAATCATGCTGGGTGGCAGGTGATGAGGTAGAAAGGTGATGTACTCCAGAATCTAACCAACCAGGAAGTTGGGTAACATGATAGCTGAAGGCATTCAATACAGACAAGCGCGAGGTAATGCATTTAGGAAAGGACAGTTCACCTTGAGAGGAGAGGCAGGACTTTTGAACAACATGTGTGTTATGTAGAACTCTTTGCACTGACACTGAGAATTTCTGAATGTATAATGGGCTGCTCTAAATACTATTAGATCACTATAGAAACCACAAAGGTACAGCAGAGAACCAACAATGCAATGGTGCTTCTAATACCTGAAGAATGACCCAGTGTCCTTGAATAGCAGCCACATCCAGAGCATTTTCTGCCACAACTTCCTGTCCTTGCCCTAGAGACACGTTGTGGATTTTTCCATTGTCGATGGTAAAGCCTAGCTTTCTTCCTGGGGGGAATCCACAGGAATACATTAAAATTAAAAAAATAAAAATAAATAAAAATCCAAAAATTGCATGCAATGTCTGCTCTTTATTGATAACGTCTTCCATGACTACCATGCTACAGACCCTACTGCTTGTGAAGGGGAATATTGATTTACCCAGTGCCTCTACGTCTTTCAGTGGGTCAACCCCTGGAGAGAGGATAAAGAATATTGCAGTGGATGGGCTGCTCTCTTCATATGATTTAGAAAATTCAACACTTCTGCCTTCTACAAACTTACTTCCCATCTTCTCTTCCACAAAGTTTCTGTGAAAAAGAAGTTGATGCACAATTAGTCCCAGACTTTTTATCCAATTTATTACAAATAACTTGCAGGGCTAGGCCATGTGTTTCTACAGTTAGCCTCGAAGGCAGATCAGGGCATAGGTTTTAAGTACTGTATGAAAACTGAAAATGTTCCTACAACGGCTCAGTAGGTGTTAAGGGCAGGGAGTGGAGCTGCAAACCAAAATAATGCACAAAAATTTAATCCGAGCAAGGAAATCCCAGAGAAGATAACAGAAAAACTGGATTACACAGCATGCCTGGAGCACTTCTAAGGAAAGTATCTGGGCCAGATCTACACCATTGTCACCTTGAACCTTTAGCTTGTGTAACCCACACACCTCCTGGGTGTGGTGTTCTGTCCCACCTAGTGGCACCAAGACCACTTAGTGAGAGAGATTAATGAGTCGGCTCTATTTAGCTCATGCTGTAGAGGCTCATGTACTAAGCTCCAGAGGCTCCAGGTTTGATGCCACCCGCTGACGACCGGGGTCTGTCAGTGTTACACTTGCACAGGGCAAGAGAGTTCCCATCCCCACCATAGAAAGGGTAGCTCCACACCTCCAAGGACTTCATACATCCCTTCAGTGTTCCCCCTCAGCATTGCCATCTGCCAGGGCAGCCTGGGACAAACGAGAGTGTTCGGCCGAGTTCTAGTTGAACAACAACCTCAACAAGTGTCTGCTCTAGATACACAGCGGGGCTGGGGCGGGAAGCCCTAGCAATTGCAGTGGGCATAGAGGAGGTCTCTGCGGTTAGAGCTGGCTGCAGAAAGGATGAAGCTGAGGTGTTGGGGTACATGGCACATGTTCAGGACCACCACAGGGTGCTGGTGTGGCCTGGGTGCCTGAAGCTGGATGTCTCTGGGCACATGCCTCACAGGACACGCTGGCTCTTCACAAGGGGACTAACAACCATAACCCCCCTTTTTCAAACGCCCTTTTGGAAGCCTATTACCATGCGACAGGCCGCATGCCGTCAGCTCTGTGCCTCATCCCCATGCCGCAGGCAGGTGCAGTTACTGCACAGCTGCACGCTCCATCATGTCCCATTTCTACTGCACCACCGTGAAATGCCTCCCCAGAATCACTCCGCGTAGGCATGCCAAGCCCCTTCTGGGCACTGACGGCACGGGTCCCTCCAGGGTCACGAGAGAATACCTGACTGCGTAGGTCATTCTGTCTGGCCTCATGCACCTCATCATACACAGCTTCTGCAGAGCTGATTTATTCTTCCACTCCTTCGGGAACACTTCCTTCTCCGGCGCCTCCGACTCAACGAATTTTTTCCATCGCTTTGCCGAACCTTCAATGTCGCTGTCTAAATTCTTGAACTCATCCATATCTGAGAGGACCTTCAAATACATGAGAAAAGGACCAGCTGCTTATGTGTTCTAGTGCCTCCTCCGGCTCTGTGACCCAGGGGGATTGACTTGCTGGAGACATTGTGGCTTTTCACAGGTGTGGCTGACAGCAGACTCAAGTGCTGAGTGTTTCGTACAAACTGTTGCCAGTTACATGCTCTAGCCCAACACCTGGTAGCCTTTTATTTTTATTTAAAGTTAATTTAATTGATGTAGTGTAAAATCACTGGCTACAGCTTTCTGTGGCATCATGCCTAGGCTGTGAGCTTTCAGTATAAAAATCCTCAGATACTCTGTTGAACACTGACATAATCAAGATATTTGCTGCCATCTGAGAAAAAGAGGGTAAGGTGTGATTAGCATTGGATTCCTGTTGTGGGGGCTTGGGGGTTCTTGTGGAGCAGGTGGAGATTTTGTGATGCACCCAAAATATGCTAACAATTTAGGCTGTGCAATTATGCAAGAAATGAGAGGCACATGAAGGGTCTGCTGTGATAATGGTGATCCATGTTCACCTTCCCTCCAGCCAGAAACCATCTTTGGAGACAGGCTAATAGTGGTATGTACAGGAGAAACTTAAGAGGTAGACATGTCTGAAGAATAGAAGAGAGGTGTCTAAGCTACAGACATGGCACAGCTGGTGGTGCTGGCCAGGGGCGGCTCTATGTATTTTGCCACCCCAAGCATGGCAGTCAGGCGGCTTTCGGAGGCATGCCTGCGGTCCTGCGGCTTCGGCGTACCCGCCGCCGAATTGCCGCCGAAGCCGGGGGACCATCGGACCTCCCGTAGGCATGCCACCGAAGGCTCCCTGACTGCTGCCCCCACAGCGACCGGCAGGCCGCCGCCCGCGGATTGCCGCCCCAGGCACGCGCTTGGTGCGCTGGTGCCTGGAGCCGCCCCTGGTGCTGGCCCAGCCAGGGAGGCAGTGTAGGCACAAGAAAGGGAAGGATAATATTTGTGTTGAAAGTATCATTTTTAAACTCTCAACATCAGGATCGGTATTTTTTAACACCGTCATGTTCTCCCTCTAGATCTTATTCCATTTGCTGACTCTGACTTGCCTTATTCTCTAGGAGTGAAACTGTGGCTCTCTCCAGCACATGCCCACTGAAGCCAATGGGAGGTCCCAGTCTGGAGCAGAGGCATACAGTGCAGCGGAGAGGTGCCACATGGCTGTGTGTATCTACTGGGCAACATCCGTAACTCAGGGGCCAGTCAAACAAACATGAACAATGTTGATTTTAACGCCGATACTTTCACAAACAAAAGGGACGTTAGCCGCTGCCCGGAAACACCTCAAAGCCTGGCTTCTTAGCTTTAAAACAATACCAACTCGCAGATGCCTTCCCAAGTGATGCTGGGTTACACAGTGCTGCATAATTGACTGCTTCTCATGCCACCTTCTGCTATGGTGGCTACTTTGGTGATTAGCTGATTATTTGATTAGGGGTTTTCTAATCAACATTATTTTTAGATAAATATTCCAATAACGCGACTGTTCCACAGCAGCATTTTTAAGAGCTACAACTCCCAAGGGTGTTAGTTTAACCAATAATCTCCAGCATTATTAAACTTATCCTGTCTCCTGTTTCAACCTGCATATTAGTGGCCTCACAATAGTGTGGCCTGGTTTACTGACTTCCACGGTGCAGTGTCTTAGTCTATTCTGTGTAGTGTTTACAAGACAAGAATTTGTACAAAATGTTACATTCTTCAGACGCACCTTAATTCCTCCCCAACCTTGAGATTGTAAGAAATCCACAGGGGACGTCAGTCCAGCCTTGAACGGAAAGCGCAAAAGAAAGTCCAGTTCAACCGGGTTCACTTCTTTCTTCATTAGCAAGACCTGATGAGAAAGCAGAGATTACAATGCAATGTTAGGCCTCTTGCCCAAGGTTACATAATCCATTTCTGAACAGTGTGAGTTGTTAGCAGAACTGCTGTGTGTCACAAGCCCTGTGCTCACACGTGCTGGGAAATTGGACATTGCAGAAGTGGTACAGATGCATGGGCTCTCGGAGGAAATGGGCTGGACCCCTCAGGCTCTGGCAGTGGAACTCTCTGCGGGCAGGGCCATGTTTACTGCGTTTGTACAGAGCCTCGCACAATGGGGCAGGGACCTGGCTGGCCTCTCGGCGCGATGCCACGGTAAATGTTAAACGCATAACAGCAGCAGCACTGGAGAAGGATGTTGGCCCACCAAGACAAGCCCACTGGGACCAATGATGGGGCCACGATGAAGGGAGGAACCCCTGTGGCTTTGTCTGCACTAGCATTCCATTTGGATCATTACTGCCGGCTGGATCGGTCACCTTCCTGCTTCTCCCCCGTACTCTACCCAGTGCAGCCATAAGGGTCATCCCTTTCCTGCTGCTCTGACCATGACAGCCCCTTCCCGCCTGCCCCAGTCTCCTCCTCTTCGCTTCACCCTCACGCACACTTGGAGCAGCCCGCCAAGCACCTCTCCCCACCTCCAACTCACTTCTCCCAGGAACAATTGCTACCCTGCGTTCTCCCAGAGCATCTCAACTCTGCCCCTCCCCACGTGTGCGGGCCCAATCCTTCCAACACGGCTCAGCGCTCACTTACCTGACTAGCTCTCTGGAAAGCAATGGGATTACTCCACTATTGAGCATTGGGGTGAAACCCTGGCCCAATGAAGTCAGTAGGCATTTTGCCATTCTCTTCAGTGGGACAAGAGCGCCACACAAGGGCTTGATGCAGGAATCACTGAGTGAGATTCTGTGCTACGCAAGTGGCTCGATCATGACGGTCCCTTCTGCTCTCACCAAGTGTTGGTAGAACTGGGCCCCGGGGTTCAATGCAGTTGAGCACATTCTCAGGCATCCTAGTGGATACAGGTGTTGGGGCCTGAACCAAAGTCCCCTGAAGTCTGGGGAATCTTCCATTGACGTCAGTGGATTTTGGCTCAAACTTTAGGATGTAAATTCTCCGGGTGAGAGCATGACTGACTGAGCCCTGACTGTAAAGCAGGGTGCGTTTACACACCATCCAGAAGATTAAAGCTACGATTTTGGCATGGAGCTCACAGTGTTCATGGCAATCGGAATTTTAATAAAGTCTGCGACCCTTGCAATGATGGCTCCTGTGGGCCTGGCTCTCTGCTCTGGAAATGGACAGCTGGGCCATGTGGTCAGAGTGCCACTGGAGTCTGGTATCTCCACCCTTCCATAGCTGGAGATGGAGGGGCCAAATTTGATGGGAGTGGTGACCTAGCGCATGGGGTCGCAACGCCCAGGGTGAGGAGCTGGACCCAGCCCTGCAGGTCAGGAACTGCCAGGGCAGGTGGGCTCGCACTCCAAAACCCCTCCCCACAGGCTACGACACTTCCTTGACTAGGAGTTTTTTCCCTGCAGCTCTGACGTAAAAGTTTGCATGACAAAATCATCATAATAATAATTAAGGCTAATATGGGGGACACATGCTTTGCCCCAGAAATAAGAGACCACCATGTATTACATATCTGAAAAGTTGTATTAGCTACTAATTTTAACTGGAGTCCAGTATTACCTGAAAGGCAACTTGGGCCATGAAAATGAGTTTGTCTCTCTCAAAGAGTCCCCGTGCAGTGTACACAAAGACTGAGTAGGTGATCTCATCTGTTAGGTTTATCACCCGGTGCTTTACGTCTTCAGCTGGAGGAGTTCGCTGGATGGCCTTCTCAAAGACTACATTGAATGCCTAGCCAGAAACGGTTAGAGATGGATGACTCAATTGTTGTTTTCAATAAAACACTCAGAATTGTAGCAACAATGACCCTTGTGAATTCTTTGAAAATCTGTTCAGTTACATAGAACTGTCTGCCCCATATTTGTTACTTACCTTTAATGAGAACTGGTAGATGGGGTCAATTTTGTTGAGGTCATTCAGTATAAAGTACAACAAGGATGCCCTTTCTGCAGCTGGCCTGTAGTTTTCTCTAGCTTCATTAATTTTAATTTCTGTAATTTTAGCTTCTCTCACCTTAAAAACAAACATAATGTTACTACAGCAGCTTTGCATGTCCTGGAAAACAACATGTCTCCCAGTCCTCTCCCCTGCTTTGACAGAGTTGGACACCAAATTCATTTTCTAAAAGAAACTCTACTGGTTCCACAGTGTGACCTGCAGGAGCCTTGGGGCAGCTTTCTTACTTTTTCCTCAATTTCTATGGCTGTTTGCTTTGTTGTCTCTAGATTCTCCACCAATGCGGTGTCTCCCAGGAAGTTTCCTGATGCAGCAGAGAGGCGGGCAAGCAAAGAGTCCTCCAGCTCTTTCAATAAAATCTTAAATTCATTTTGACTTTTTGTGAGATTTGCCTACAGCATCAATGCACAAAAGAGGAAAATTAGTTAGCAAGGGATTTACAACTAAAACTTTCATAGCATCAGTTTGGAGTGATTTAAACTAGGTACCCTTGACAGGCACAATGGAATAATGCACCAATTAGCAGGTGCTATTGTTGGTTTTATGTTCTTTTGCATATCAGTTTAGTTTATAATGTAGTTATGGGCTGTATAAGTCACTGAAGAAATGACTGAATGTATTCTATGTTTACAATGTTGCTGTAGTCATGTTGGTCCTAAGATAGGAAAAGATTATCTCACCTACCATTTCTCTCGGAGTGTACGCTACACTTTTGTTTAAAATATATTAGCTGGGCCCGCTAACCGCACCATGACATGAGAATCCCACTAAAATGCTTTCATCACTGGGTGCAATGCAGGGGAGAGGCAGGCCCTTCTTATTTAAATCACAACATTCTGACACATCCTAACCTTCATAGAGAACCAGACAGGGCAATGACACTCCTGTCCCGTTATGGTGGGGTTGCAGCTCCAGAACGATATAGTCAGTTTAATGCATCGAAATAAAAATGATTGTACCCCACCATCTAGTGTGGATTGCTGAGCTTGAATGGACCTGATGCTGCTTCCTTTGTTCCAAAGGGGTAGAGTTATTAGATATAACTTGTAGTAGATCATGTGTTGTCTATTGATCGCTGTTACATGTGTTGTACATGTGACCCACACCAATATTTATCATTTAAGGAGCAAATCTATCAGAACATTATCACTCTTATTGGCACTGGAGATTTCCTGGAGAAAGTACCCAGTATAGATGACAGTGAGTCCTAAGTAGGGCTCAGTCAGTTTTCTGTAAACAGTGTAGGTCTGGCTGGAATAGCAGGTGTGTTTCGCTATCTATAAGTAATGCTACAGCAGGCTCTACCTTCTCTCCAGCAATAGCATCGATACCTTCAGTTGCTCTAGATCTGGCCTCTCTTTTGCAACCACTGCTGCCAACAGCTGATCCTCCAGTCCATCTCTGGTTACCAGGAAGTTAATTAAAGTGCACTGAGCCTGCATCTCTGGCTTGTAATGGGGGTTAAAGTATTTGGTGTGCAGAATCAGACGGAAGTCTGGATGGTACTCCACTTCTTTATCGCCTATCCTAATGTATCTGTTTAATTGAACAAAACAGTGACTTTTGGTAAGTGCTAAACCATTTGGCATTAAACAAACCAACACAGACACTACCCCTCCTACCAATGCCCTAACTGCTAGTTATGAGAGATTCGTTACTTTGAGCCCCACTTTACTGGAGCATATACAAAGACACAGCTCTGCAGCAGAGCATGGACTGGGATTGTCCCGGCAGCTGGAGGCAGTTAGGTGCCCAACTCCCGTTGGACTGCAGCTAGGTTTGAGCAACTAACTCCCTGAGACGCCTTTGCAAATGCCAGCCTGACGGTCTCCATTCAGACAAAGCACGGCAAAGAGAGGGCCAGGGTACAATAAACCCATCAAGCAGTGACTCAGTCAGGCTCTGATGGGTCAATGGGGAAATTCCTGCGGATGTCAGTGGGTTTTGGACCAGGTGCTAAGGCAGCCCCCTTAGTCAATAATGATTAACATCCCCAGCCCTGTCACACAGCAGGAGGGAGTTTTCAGAGAGCTTTGAATGGAGAGATGGAAAGGCCTGGAGAAGGGACTAGAGATGGGCAAGAAGCAGGAGTGGGAGAAGGGACCAAGGGGTGAGGGCACTCGGGGTCGCTCTCAAGGAAAGCCCCACTGCTGGGTGTGTACCTGCATCTGCCATTTAGTGTAAAACAAAAGAAATCTTCTTGTTTATTTCACTTTATTGTGCAGCCCAAGCACCTGTGAAGGCTTCTGCTCTCAAATCGTTAACCAACCGTGACTCAGTGGCCCAGAAAATTAGCCTTTGTGGTAAAACACAGTAAGAGGGACAGTGACAATCCCCCCGAGGAAAGGGTTGTTAAAAAGGGAGGGAAAACTGGTCAGAGAGTCACAGCTCTGCCCAGAAAGGTCTGGTCCCAAATCTGCCAGCACATTTCCGTGGGTTGAAAATGGAACTGCTCAGAGCAGAGGATTTGGCTAGCCATCTGTCTTGGCTGGTTTAGACACAGCAAATGCTACATCTTGGCAGGGGATCGCACTCAATGACCCATACGGTCCTTTCCAACCCTTTGATTCTATGCTAGAAGCTCCGATTCCTTTGTCAAGAGGAGTGAGAATACACTTACTTTCCCTTTTTGATGGTGTTCCTGCCTAGCAAAGGGTCCAGCACAGGCTCCACCGACTCGCCGATGTTCTCAATGATCAGGGGGTGTCCCTCTGATATAGCTTGCTCAATGATATCCAGATAGCTGCAGCACATTGGAGAAGAGCCTTAGCCATGCAAACATTGCCCCAGGAAGCACTATGCGACGGGGGAGGAGCACCAGCACCCTCCAGACCCTCACACACCACGGTGGCTTGCCAAGGTAATCCTGGTTCTCTGCAGAGCTTTACAGAGCTACGTGTGCTGAAGAAGCCCGGGGCCTTGTTCAAATAGAGGATCCAAAGGGGCCCATCACCTGCAGACTCAGGATCCAATGAATAATTCAGACTACGTTGACCAGGGAGGCCCAGCACTGTCAGATGCACAGGGTCTGACAAAGGACCGAACATCACAGATCTGAGCAGCCCCTTATCTCTGGCCCATGTGACCCAAGGCGGCCATCTGCATCAGGACATAGCCAGCCAGGCTCACAGCCGGCAGTCTGAGTGCACTGGAGACCTGGTTTCCTTACACTTCTTTCTCTTGCTACCTGGAGTGCTCCAAGTGTGCTGAGGACCTGACCTCTTGACACACAGGCTAATGGGCCAAACACCCCCCTCCCTCCTGCAGGATGGGAGAAGATCTGTGGTGAGGCTCAGATCCTGGAGCAGAGAGAAGACTGGGTTCCACATCTGCTCAGGAAGTGAGGGGCGGGGGGCAAGGGTACCCTTGGTTCTGGAATGGTGGAACAGCAGAGCATACGCCCCCATGTGCTCTATGTGAGGCTCTGCAGAGGACATGGCATGAAGGATAGTAATTGATACATAAAACAAGCACTGAAGAGTCTCCAGAATAAACCCAGTCAGGTGTCTCCTTGCACAAATAACGTCAAAGGAGAGGGTTCTGCTGGACCTGACGCTGCCTGCTTGGCCTCATCATTAAGGCATGTCTTTCTGGCAGAGGAACTCTGCAGAGTATTGTGAGGGCAAATTATCAGACAGCTGTGTAAAGAACCAGCGTGCCCAAACAAACCTTCTCTGTCCCAGTCTGATTGATTTCAGCTCTTCTCCATATTTGTTTTTAATCCATTTGACCCCTTGTAATTGGGCATCCACAATGAGAGGCCAGCGCTCCGTGTTGCACAGAATCGTGGCGTTTTCGGTAGACATGCGGTCACTGGGCAGCCCTTGGTTATTCCAAGTAGCGATATCTGCATCGTCAGTCAGAAGGCTCAAAGGATCCAACCCTGGTGTAACAGGAATTGGCACCTGCAACACAACAGGTATCTCTGAAGCACCTGCCGATCTAGGGTTGTGGGTGAGGCTCTCTCTAGCTCATCTCAAACTACTGAGCACTAAATTATTTAACAACGTACAGGCCAAAGATGTGATTAAAAACTTAAAGCACCAAGACCATTCTGAGGGCTTGTCTTCACTACCCGCCTGGATCGGTGGGTAGAAATCGGTCTCTCGGGGATCGAATTATCGCGTCTCGTCGGGACGCGACAATCAATCCCTGAATCGATGCACGTACTCCACCAGCGCAGGTAGGAGTAAGCGCCGTTGACGGGGGAGCCGCGGCGGTCGATTTGCCGCCATCCTCACAGTGGGGTAAGTCGGCTCGGATACGTCGAATTCAGCTACGCTATTCGCGTAGCTGAATTTGCGTCTCTTAAATCGACCCCCCCCCCCCAGTGTAGACCTAGCCTGAGATAAGGCAGCTGTGCCCCCTGTCGGCTAGAGTCCATTTGAAAATGCACTGAAATGCATTCCCACCTACCCGAGTCCATCAGAGGGTGCCATGGGCCAGGCTAAATCACAGCCCCTTGCGGGATCTTCACAAATACAATGTAAGGGGGTGAACAAACTGTGTATACCAGCCCTATGCTCAGCCTATATTGCTTTTCCTAGTGGCATGAAACAAACACCGTTGGCTTTATGCCTGTGCTATACTGATTTACCTTCAATTCATTTAAGTATGGTATCCAGTACTTGTCCATCAGCTCAGTCCTATATTTCTTAGTAAAATAGCCAACGTAGGAAACAAAGGCTGAAATCAGCAGGACATCTCCACACAAAGTCTTCTCCTGCTCTCTGAAGTTTTCCACAGCCTCAGCCCAGCGAACATTTTCCGATGCTAATCCTCCAACAAGCCTGCAGTGACATTTCAAAGGAGAGAAGTATATGATTATTACTGAATTTTGACCCCGTGGGCCTGCACAGACTCAGGTAGATCCGTGGTCCTGCCCTGGCCTGGAGAATTTACAGTGTCTCCTGGAAGTAACTGCAGAGGCTGGAAGTATCAATAAACTCTGCATATTTGTCCATTTAAAACTCTTCCTTGTGAGCTCTCCAAAAAGCTTTCTGGGGCTGCAGCTCCAAGATGCTGGAAAAAGATGGTACAGCTGCTGTCTCCGGAGGGCTCAGTGGCTTATGGAGCTTCCCAGTGACTGATATTCGGAGATAGATAAATACAAATATTCACGACTAGTTGAGCACTGCCACTGTCGGGACAAGTCTGAGTAATGAAGGCATAAGCAGGGGAGATTGCTTCCAAGGGTCGCAGAATGGATAGTAACTGGACAGCGATACAAAGCTCTTGATGGGAAGAACATTATTGACTGAAAATGTTGAATATTAAACTGACAAACTTCAATTCTATTAAACCAATTACTAAAGATACATGTTCACGTCAAGTGACCATTCCTAAATGAGGCAACTGAAATAATGCCCATATCAGGGATTTTCCAGCGCATTCATCTTTGTCTTTCATACCATTCGAGAGAGTTTCTTGCCCCAGGAGGTGATGTTAGAGAATCTCAGGTCTGATCATTAAACAGCCGACATTGAAGACTGGTGGTTGAACAGTCCTGGCCAGTGCCAGGGACATGCGTTATGAGCTGGGTGTTGGCAGTGGCACTGTACCTGTTTGCTAAGGTGATGACTCTGTTAGTAGCATCAGCCTCTTGTTGGCATTTGATTTTTTCAGCTGTGGCCTTTTCAAATTCTGCTGTTAGAGTTGCCAAGTTGGCATTTAGGTCCTTTAAAAACAAGATGTTTGCAATTAGCTATTCAATCTGGAACCTGTGAATGCCACACGATCCCGAGGAGGGAGAAAGCTCTGCAGGCACAGGTATCCGTTACAAAGCAAGTCTGCACTTCACAGACTTCTAGGAATCTGTCTCACTTACCTTTGGCTTCATTCTCTGATCCACAGTTTAACCATTTATTACCAATGATGGACAGCAACCAATTTAAACAGAGATATTGACTCAGGTAGCAAGTTTGTGGTTGGATTATTTTGCCAGGGAGAGTAACATGCACTTACTGCAATCTTGTTTTTAATGTGACTGAGTTTATCTTGTGCCTCGGCCAATTCTGCATTAGCCTCCTCTAGCGCCTGCCTCTTGGGTGCGACATCACAGTACACTTCATAGAAGCGAACGATATTTAAACACCAGGAGCACAGACCTGCTGCAGCTGTTGACTTTGAGAGTATGAACTCAGGGTCAAAGGTTGGATCTGACTGATAGGGCCTGAAGAGAGAAATACAAATCAAGATAGCATTAAAGGAGATGGTGTTGGCTAATCTGGGTTATGACACAGATTCTCCTTTGGGGCCTTGGACAAGTTACTTGCAGCCACGTTTTCAGAAGTAGACACTGATTTCGGGTGCCCAGCTTAACCCACCAAGGGCCTGGTTTTCATTAGTGCTGAAATCTTTGGCTCTGGTCCCAGAACTGCCTCATGACAGAGATTCCAGTGATGGAGCGTGGCTCTGTGGAGACAACTGCATGGCCGGGGGTGCTGAAAAACACTCTGGGACCCCCAACTTTCATTCAGTCCCTGCCCCAGTGGACTCCAGCCCTCATTTCACTCACTTAAATGCTTTCAGACAGGGTTCAGGAATGTGCTCTTTATCATACTTCTTTAAGGTATCCAGGAAAGAATCTACTTTCCCCATCATGATTTTAGCTGCCTTCCAGCTTTTGTCCTTTGGTATCTTGCCCCCTGGAGCTGTCAGTATCATCACAGCTGCTGTGACATTAACCACTGCTTCGGGAGGCGAACCGAAAGACTTCAGCTCTGTCAGGTTGTTCTAAGGAGAACAGAAAAGACTGATCAGTTTTGCACAGGGTGGAGGGTACTGAAAAGTGAAGTAACACGTCTAGCTTTGCAACAAAGCTTGGAATCCAGTTAGTCTGGTTCCCACTGGCAGGGGCATGCACAGGAATTTAAATATGACCCCTTTTGGAAAGGGGGTTCACAGAAACTCCCTGGCCCTGGAAGAAGCTTGCTGCCTCCCCCTCCTCTCCCGGCCCCGGGAGGAGCTTACTGCCCCCGGCCCCCTGCTCTGAGGCTGCGGCTCTCTCCCCACCGCAGCCCCGGGGCAGGGAGAATACTGTGTCCCTCACTGATTATTGGGGGGGGCCTCGTGCCTCCGCTTGCCCCCCTTGCGCATGCCCCTGCCTAGCAGCCAGAAGATAAAAACTAACCAGGGAAATCATTTCCTCCCCACTCAGGAAAATATTTACCTTATTGAGAGTGTCTAGAGCTTCTTGTGCTGCTAATAAAGCAGGTTCCGCTTTAGCCAAGTCAGTCTCACAGGCTCTTTGTTTTTCGGTTACATTCTGATGGAAGCAATGCACACAGTGAATGCAGGGCTGCACGAGGGGGTTGCTGGGCTCTGGCTTGTTCCCTTTGCACAGGTGCTCGTTTCACATCACAGCTGAGGCTCGCTTGCCTCTGGTTGGGATGGGCTCAGGCTCGATGGGCTGGAATGGTCCCCGGGGAGTAACCGGGACAGGAGCCGGGGAGGGGGGGAAACTTGAGCTGCCATGGCCCTGCAGTCCCCGTCCTGCTTCAGTCTGCGGGTCTGTCACGCCATCCCTAGCACAAGCACAAACGCCCGGCAGGGACAGGGATGGCTCTGTTCGAGCTAGTCAGAAGCAGGGCACTTGGCGAGGGGAAGGGCCAAGTTATCAACAGAACAAGGGATTCACACTCGGGGCGGAGGGAGCATGTTGAACTTAATGGCAGCTTATTCAAAGATGCCAGTTTGTCCCTTTCTCCCCCAGGCATCGCCCCTGTGTGTGGAACAACCTCCCCCACCAACTGTAAAGCCACTGCCCCTCCTCCTTTGCCTCCCCAATCACAGCTCATGGCTAAAGGCTGCCACAGAACCCTGCTAGCTGGTGATGGCCAGGCAGGGGCCATGTGGGGATGCCTGCTACCCAGTTGCTAATCTCCAAGAAAAATAACCCCAACACATACACTCTATATCTATATGGGCACAGGGTGAATCCAGAACAACAGAGCTCCTGTTCCTGTGAACCTGTCCCCTCCCCCCCGGCCCCGCTTTACTGTCATCCTCTTCTTAGATAGGGAGACCTTTGGGACAGGGACTGGCTGTACAAAAGGGGCTCGTTCTCCCCTGGTTGGGCCCCTAGGAGCCTTCCCAAAGTACAGTAATAACCAACACTTCTCGGCAGACGCCTAGGGAAGAGCGTGAGCTGCAAGAGCTGCAAGTGCCGGGTGTGTAAAGGAACCTCGCAGCCCCTGCCATTGCCGGGCTGCGTGCACGTAGCTCACTGGGCTGGGGACCAAGCCGAGGCTTCAGGGGCCTAGCCACTAAATATCCGTTTGGAAGAAAAGTTGTTCTGTCTCCAGATTTCTTTCCCCTGTTGCAATACAGCAGCTGGCAGCAGGGATGCGCTGAGCTCCTTCAAAACACACCCTTGGGCAGAGGAGCTTTCTCTGTTAGTCAGTAGCTGATGGTCCCTAGTCACGGAGCCTCTTGTGGTGGTGCCATGGCAGGAGAGAAGCTTTAGCTAAATGCACTGATGTCCTGGGAGATGTGAACATACCGTGTTAATGACCTGAACCTTCAGCTCCTCCTCATCAGCAATCACCTTCTCCTTGCTCACTTTCTCAGTTTCAACACCTACTACCTGGATCAGTTTATCTGCATCCTCATTCTTATGCTTCAGCTCCAGCTCTTGGACAGCAAGTTTGGCTTTTAGGTCATCAACCTATACAGAGTACAGTAGGAATAGGAACAGTCTGCTCCCAGACACAGGAAAACAGCTAGGTAATTTGCAGAGGAAGGCAATGCCTGGTATCTACGGTTGTTTTTGAACTGTTTAGAGAAAAGAGGGTTTCAAGTCCTAAAGGAGACAGAAAGAGGCAAGGGGAACACCAGGACCACTGCTCAGTTATACCAAACAGATCATTCACCATTCCACACCCTCCCCATCCTGCTGCGTCTGTTGTCTCTCATCACACGTTAAGGCTGTGAACCATCTGGGGCAGGGACAGTCATTGTGATGTGTGTGCAGCCCCTGGCAGAATGGGGCTCTCAAGGCCACCCCAATAATGATGTCACTGCTCACCCAATGTTTCCAATATACAGAACAAAAGCAGTGGGACTTACAGTAGCACGCGGAATGGGGATGGATCCCAGACATGGGCTCCCTGTCCATTTGCTGTAACTGACCCTGGTCTCTGCCAAGATGAAGAGAACTAGAACATTTCATATCTCATTAGCAGCCCCAAGCACTGACCACCAAAACCTCGGGATCAGAATGGATGGGTGAAGGTGTCCCTGGACACACGTACCTGGGAAGCAGTACTCTGAAGTTTCATTAAGCCATTCTCCAACCTGTCGATTTTTGCAATGAGCTCTCTTCTCTTTTTAAAGAGCAGATTCTGGTAAAGTTTTATCTGTTCCAGAAAGGTTTTCGGGGTTGTATAGTTATAGCGCCTCTCGGTGGCTAGGTAGACTTTGGACATCTCATTTACAGTTTTGTGGACATAGGCCATGAACTGACTGATGGAGAGCTTGACGTCTGGCTGCAATAGGACCATACATGCCATCAGTTACCCCGTTACTAAATACAGGCTCATTATAGACATTCAATGCAAACCCCTGCCTTCATGTAATGTGAAAGTTACTTATTTAAATACCAACACCCAGGGTAGGCAAAATAACACCAACTTGCCCACAGCATTGCTGTACATCAAATAGCAGAATAATCATTGAAAATATGAGGTAAGTTATCACAATTATTATTATTCAGGTCCTTAACTTTTGCATTCCTCAACTTCTGTATGTTCTGCAGATAACCTTTGGTGCATTAGCAGAGGGCCCAGTTTTTTCAACTATTGGATTTCCCTGGGTATTCTGTGTGTGTGTTTGACAGGAAACAAAGGAGAAAAGAGAGAAGAAGGTTTATCCACCATCTGTGCTTGGCAAGAAGGCTGCAGCTGTTCCTTTCCTTCATACTATGAACTCTGTGTACAAATTCACAGCCTGAGGTTTCTACAGCATCTGAACACCTTTGAATTCAGCTAAAACGAAGCAGAAAAGCAGCAGTGGAGCTTTCCAAGGGTTCTCATGTTCGCAGTTGGGTCAAATGCCCCTTGGCGTGAGGAGGGCAAAGCAGCCAGTGCACTGAGATTGGCTGATGGCTCATGTGATGAAGTGGGACTGTTCTTAATGTTTCCTCTGAATACTGTGTGGGTGCCTCAGTTTCTGTCACCTGGCAACTAATGGCCAGGCCCTTCCCCCCTGCAAGGACCTCCTGGCCTGGGGAAAGGAACTCAGCATAGAAGGAGGGGCTGGAGGGGGTTTCAGTTTGGGGCTGGCTGGGGACGGGGAGTGAGGGCAGATGGGGGTGTCTGGCTCGCTGGGCCCCAGAATGGACCCGGCTGAGGGATCCCGTTCTTTGTACCTACAAGCTCTGTTTTAGACCTCTGTTTTACTGGCTGGCTAAGAGTCACGTCTGACTGCGAAGGGGGGGTGCGTGCAGGACCTCTGGCTTCCCCAGGACCCCGCCTGGGCGGACTCGCTGGGGGAAGCGCACGGAGGGGCATGTGCTGAATGCTCCAAGGTCAGACCCAGGAGGTGAAGCCGTGTGAGCTTCTTGCCCTAAAGACAGTCTGCTCCGAGGGAGAGGAGGCTCCCCAAAGTCCTGACTGGCTTTGTGGGGAGAAGTTCCAGAGCATCTCCCGGGGACTCCGTGACAGCTCAATTGTTGCCCATCAGACTGGTTCATGACACGCGCTGCTAGGGACCACAGCACTTCAGGCCAAGCAGGCAACTGCTCACCTCAATTCCCTCCGTTTCCTCCAAGAATCTGCCACTGACGGACACCAGAGCATCTTCAGGCCATTCATGGAACCAGTCTATGGCCGCGCAGTTGACCACAGCAGGGAATTTCCTTGCACGTACCCGCAGCGTAGAACCCACAGGAGAGAAGCACAGGATGACCTGGGACCATAGCACATTACAGCACATGTGACAAGCTGGCATCAAAACAGAAAGATGAACACGGGGGCCAGACGTCCTGCTGTACCCAGCACCTGTTCAGCACAGCTTAGGGGTCTCCTTGCCCGACCTTGCAGCTGGCTCTGCGCTGGCCCGGTGTAATGCAGCTGAAAGGCTGGTCTAACCAATGCCAGCTGCCTGTATCCTCCATGGAGCTGGGGATCACTACAGCGCAGGGGTGCTCTAGCCAGGGTCCCTTCACACTCTCCACTAGGGCTGCTGTCTCCACACCAGCTGTGGACTCCTTAAAGCCAGCACACACCTCAGCTGGAGACCCCCGGCCAGGGTACAGCCCGTCTGTGCTGCTGGCGTGGGAGAGAACCTGGTGCACATTCTCCACTTGTGTTTATCACATCACATGGGCTAAGCATAACCCAGTGCAGAGTCACTTCCCTGTAGGCCAGGCTCGCTGCCACACTGCTCGGGAGGCCCCGGGGGATGGAATCTGCCTCTAGCTACATTACGGTTTGCTACTGCTGCCCATCACCATAGTATCTGAGCTCTCTCTCATCTGGTGTGTGGGAGTCAGTGTGATCAGCCCCGAGACCACCCCTGCAGCCCCCGGCACAGGGCATGTTGGGTGGGGAGGGGAGGAGGTGTGGATGGAGCATACTGATCTCCAGCTGTCCTCCACTGACTCACAGCTCCCCAGGCTAGGCAGAGAATCAGGGAGACTCAGCCCCTCTTTGCTGCACTGAGCGAGAACTGTGTGCAGCAGGTGACCTGGTCCCACATGTATAACAGCCACTCGCAACAGAGAGATGCAGATTTGGACATGACAATCAAAATCTGCTCCTGGGAATGGCACATGACAGCATCAGGGCAGGAACATGGAAATGGCAGGTTAATAGGCGTGGATGAAAGCATTAACTCCGACGTCACTCTTTACCACTGTGAAGAGTAGGAAACTCCAGCACCCAACCAACAAGTTATCCCCAAACTGCCTCTCACTCTACATGCCCAAAACCACGCCCCCCAAGGTCTGTGGATTTGGGGCCATATCTTCAGAAGAATTCAGCACTCACCTGCGGGACCAGATCTTTAAAACACCAGCTCCCACTTAGGTGCTTGATATTGCTGGATACTGAACTCTTTGAAAGTCTATCTCTAGATGGCCAGCTCCCCGATGGGAGCGAGCACAGTTTATTTACACACACCCAGGTCTGAGATGGGTAAATATTTAGAATGCAAAACTTGCACACTCACGAGCGTGGAGGTATACATTTAGGGGCTGGGCTGAGGTTACTTTGAAAATGGGTTTCACTAAAAGTTATCACACTATAATACAAACAGGCAGATAGCAATGCCTGGGCACTGGTTCCAAAAAGCTCTGGGGTTAAGACACAGTCAGAACTGCTGGGAGCCCATGTACATTCTAAACAGACTCACTCCTACCTTTAACTGCCGCCTGACTTTGTCTATAAAGAATTTCCAGCAGTTTTCCCTTGTATCTTGCATTCCAATAGATTTCACTTGTGGCCTCATAGCACCGATAATATTTTCCACTTCGTCGTCCTGAAAGAGTCCTGGGATCTCTCCAGAGGCTAAGAGATCATTGATCAAGACCAGGAATTGCTCCTCAGCAACCTGTGAATCTGTCATTAGGAATACGGTGGGTGTATTCTTCACAGCTGCTTTGATATACTGAGAGGCCAGATCCAGCTAGTGCAAAAGACAGAAACCATTACGCCTCTGTCACCCAGAAACTTGTCCTATTAATCACGTTATATGGTTAGTTCTCCTACAGTAAGCACCTCAGTCTAGGGTAGGGTGGGAACATCTCTTCCTAGCATAAAAAGATGACAGGACTGACTGACCCAGGAGGGAATAAGGAGTCTCTTGTTCAGGGCAAAGCTAGGTTCTCACGCTTAAGAAGCCACAGCTTCAGCTGGGGGCAATGGTGAGACGCAGCAGCTACAAACCTAGAGCTGGGACAAGCACCCTTCTTGTGATCAGGACAGTCAAACTCAATAAGTCCAGAACTGCTCTGTCCAAAGACTGTGTGGGGGCAGGCAGAGTAATTCTGGCTTTTCTTACACAGGAGGAGGGTGGATGGACATCTCCTCGGCATAGCTGCTTTGAGAACTCATGGGAAAGCATGTTAATCTCCTACACTGTCACACGTGTCCAGGGAACACAGAGCCGCGAAGAATCCCATGGTCACTAGATGCCACACTGGCTCTGCACAAACACATTTGAAACGCACATGGGTTAAACATGCCTGTTTCTTGTACTTCTATTGCCAAAAGTAACTTGGAAGCCTGAAATGGGTCTGACCCTACAAACTGCTCTGTGCACATGCACAGGGTCTGGGGCCCTAGTCTGCAGTGTGCGCCCACACAGGAACGAGCCACAAAAGGGTGTATGTTGGCGATAACGTACCTAAGGGAGGCCCCAGTGTGAGACAGGCTGAAAGCCAAGTGCCTTCAGCCCCCAGAAAGGCGCACCAGCAGCCCAAGCGGGAGTGCTGGCCTGGCTCATTGCTCTGGCAGTGCCACTCTTTGTTCAACGTGAGAGTTTGGTGCTGGAGGCTGAAGCAATGATACACTAGCAGAAGCAGATCCAGTGGGCGGAGAAGCAAGAACAGTAGGGAGACGGGTACGGTGACATTTCCCCTATGGTTGCTAATACATCCCTTGTTTGTTAATCTTTTTTCTACCTGGTTCTTTCCTTTATTAGTAAGGTACAACCTCCCCCCTCTGTTTGGGCCCAATTCTCCCTTTCCTGACCCCCAAAGCCCACTTGCCCTCCCAGCAAAGCTGGTAACTTAGCAGTCGCTATTGCAGACACTAGAGTAGGAATACTGACTGTTTGCCTGCAGAGACCTGAGCAGCCCCGCTGTGCTGTACTGAGGTGGATGCTTTCTGCTTCTCCAGCTTACAGCACATGCCTCTAGTTAACTGGCGTCTACAGAAAGCAACCAGTTCAAGCCTTTCACCTGAAACACGTTGCTGCATAAGTTAAATCCAGAAATCAGCTGAGTGGAATGAGACCAGCATTGTGACCCCAGTACGCTACAATATTCCCCGTCTCATCTGCCCAGTGATCAGCTTCTCCTGCAGCCCCTCTGTCCCTTTTTCCAGGTGACTCCCTCCCCTGTGCAAGTCCGACCCCTGTGAGCTCAGTGCATGGCCCTTGCCCTGTGTGTGTTTAAATCCCTCTGCTGTGCTGCGTACAATGACCTGAGCGGATGTGTATAGAAATTGCCTAGTGCTGTTCCCCTTCCCCAGTCTCTTTCTGTTCTTCTGTGTGTGGGTCTCTCCAATGTAAGCGCCTCAGACCAGGGATTCCTTCCGCAGGGTTTGGGGAGTGCCTTGCCCAGAGTGGATGCCAGCATAAATACCCGATAAATAAGATAATGGAACATGAAGCCTTTACAAGCTTATTTTTGGCCATAAGATCAATGTGAGGCGCTTGCCTAGCAGGCTTTTAGCACCATTTATCATGTCCTCTTTTCGTGAGCAGATTGGATTTCCCCAGCAAAGGGTGAAGAAAAGCCAGTGCTAACCTTGAGGTCAGGAATTCCATATCCTTTCTTCAGTGTGATCTGAAATACATCCAGAGCACTAATATAGGCTGCTAGTCGGGAAAGACTTTGCTTTCCGCTCCCTCCTACTCCCACCAATAAGGCATTCCCTCGGGGAGACTCTAATATCCGATTAATTCTGCAAATGTGAGACACAGCATCTTCAAACAGCACCTGAACAGAGCAGACAGGAGAGGCCTTTGCTAGTCTGAACCAACATAAGAGCTTGCAATGAACTCCACTACATCAAAAATGAAAAGCATATGAAGCAGAGAGAGCACAGGTGTAAAAAAGTCAGATTTCACCCCAAAATGCTAGGAGAAATCTCTTGCCCTAGCATTTCACTCTTACTGCCAGTTCACACTGATACTCACCAGATTCATCACGGCATTGACCTCATTGTATGTCTCCAGGGCTTCCACTAGCAGCTTGTTCAGATACCCGGAGTCTGACACAGGGAAGTACTTGGGCTCGCCAATGCCCTGGGCAAAGTGACAGTAAATGTTGGGCTTCGCAAACAGCAGATTCTCACCAAGTTCCTAGTGAGAAACACAGATAAAGATATTCCACAGCAACTGGCCACCCTCACTTTCCACTAGGGCGCCCCCAGACTGTCTGTATCTCCGACCCAAATGCTGCAGTCCGTTCACAAGCACAAGGGCTGGGTGTGGGGAAATGTAAGACCTGACCCCTCCAGCCAGGGGATAGTTTTACTCCACAGCATAAAGTTTCAGTCCATCTAAGAAATACCCTGTTTCTAGGGTAGGGCCTCGACCTTGCAGCTGCCTACCCAGACACTGGGGTGCACCTATGCACAGAGCCCCATTGAAGTCAATGAGGCTCTATGTGGGCACAGGGGTGTCCTTGCACACACTCAGTTGCAGGATCAGGCCCTCCACCCCAATGCTGAATGATCACGTATGCTCTCACAGCCCATTATTACTTCTGCCACTAGCCCTCCACTCTCCCTTTCCTCGGTCCCACTTATCGTCCTGGATGTGCAGCCAGAAGTTCAAACAGGATCACGGTGAGACCCCTCCCTCCCTTCTCCATCACTGCGGAGGAGACCTCCATGTTGATGGCTATCCAGGCTGTCACCTCCAGTTCCTTGCCAGGCCGCCACCCGCCATCTGGGCTGAGGCCATGTCCTATCATCTCGTCTTTGTCTCCCACACCCTCCAGTCCTGAACTGGACATCAACCGTGGTCAAGAAAAACAATGGCCAGGTAGTCTTAAGCGGCACCTACCAAACCTGCTGTTCTGGAAACGGGGCCGGCTCCAGGCACCAGCTTACCAAGCAGGTGCTTGGGGCGGCACGTCCAGCAGTGCGGCGGCAATTCGGCGGAGGGGCCCTCACTCCCGCTCGGAGCGAAGGACCTCCCGCCGAATTGCCGCCGCAGATCGCGATTGCGGTATTTTTGTTTTGTTTTGTTTTTTGTTTGGCTGCTTGGGGCGGCCCAAACCCTGGAGCCGGCCCTGTCTGGAAATGAAAAGGACATCCAATCCAGGCACAGGCCAGCAAGTGCTGGAAGCCCCTTTGCAAAGGTCGATTTCATAATTCATGTGACGAGAGATAGGCTTGGAAAATACACATTGAAATAATCTCTGGAAGAGTAGGGTTCTAACTGTCATGAGAACCCATCCATAGCGAGCGGTTACTAACTGGCAGCTATGCTTGCCACGAACTCTACAGCTAGCACCTTATGACATTTCTGAGACGCACTCTAATTCCCATCCTGATAGTTAGATTATGGGTCAACTCCAGAGGCAATATGTATGAGGCATGAATTACATATTGGTAAGTGGGTCTAAATTGGTACTAATTTACACTCCAAGCAGCTGGAAGGTGCAAGTTAAATGATTTAAACATCACCGCTGAACCCAGCTCTGTCACCATCACAGACTCAGCACAAACATAAAAGCTCTTAGTATTTCAAAACATGGCTTACGTCAAAGTATTTTTTACAGGTAGCTGCTAGAACTCTTCCAAAGCTTTCTTTATCTTTCTCGTCAATGAGTTTATCTCCATACACTCTCTCAGCTTCATGCAGCCAGAGCCGGACTAGGTCAAGTGGAGTTTTGAGGCATTCAGCAGTGGAGAACAACAGTCCCTGCCAAACATACAAATCGGTCAGTCCTAGTTTCTTGATTGCTGCTCAGAATGGAAGAGCCAGCGCTGGAGAAAGCTAACAGCGAGAGACGGCAGGGGCATGGTACATGTGAAAGTGGTAGAGAGAGAGAAGACAGACATAAATTAAAATGAAATGACTGAAATAAAATACACTCTACCTGAAATATGTTAGAGAGGTCCCGGAGGTTGAAGACGTAGTGAAATTTGATGGCCGTAGGCAGAAATGTTGATGTAATTTTCTGATGTAAGGCTGTTTATGGGAAAACATCCTGTATGTGAGAGCAGCCAGATACCCAAAGAGTACACATTTTAAAGTACTCTTCAAACATGGCTTGAGTTTTCAAATAAACCAAAATTGAAATTTTTGCTTCATCATTCTTCAGTGAAATTACTGTGTAATTTCAATGCAAAGATGAGAAAAGTGGATTTTTTTTTCACACTCACTCAAAACCCTAAACAACAGAATCAATTTTGGTGAAACTTTAAAACAGAACCATCTTTTCATTGAGACCATGCTTGGACCATTTCACCCCAAAATAATTTATTCATCAGGTTGTGAGACACAAAATAGGAAGGTGGAGAGGAAACTGAAACTTGACCTGAATTAAAGCCACAGCAAAACCACACAGAACCTAACCACCACAAGCATGGAACAACAATGCAACAAGAGGTTTCTTGAAACCAGTATACGTGTTACAGAACCTAGACAGAATTAGAATGAAACCAGATCATTTTCATAAGAGTTTTGTATCATTCATGGTACTGACAGGGGAGCTTTAAAAATGTGTGTAATACAAAGAAATACTACTGACTGACTCACAGGTTTCCTACACTGTATGGTAAGTTTATTTAAAATGGGAGCAGAGTCTATAGTTTCACAGACCATTTACTTTACCAACTGTGTTTTACAGCTACTCATCCTGATGCCAGTAAAAATAGTGTACCATGTACAGCAGCAGCATCAACCAGATGGCCAAGATTTCCCAAATGTGGGTCTCTACAGATAAGCACTAAATCCATATTTAAGCCCCTAATAAGAGGCCTCATTTCCAAGGTGCTGAGAAACCGAAGATCCTGCTGATGCACATGAAGCTGCAGGTGCTGCCAGTGGCATAGACAGGGATCTGTGTGTGTAACATTAGACATCCAGTGTAAAAAATATATGCACACAGCAGGAGAAACAGGACACTAGAGCCCCAGGTTAAAAGCTGGACTTTGTAATGAGCCGGGGACGTGGGGCTGGGTTTCTGGGGAAAGGATTCAGCTCCCCAGACCATGAAGCAGCAGCCTACGGTGGTCGCATAAGTACTGTGCACAAGGAGGGATTCTGTTCCATTGTTTCTGGTCTATCCTGGTTCTTATCCCGTCCTCCTCGCCAAAGCATTCGAGCTCCTCCTAGGGGCACGTTAAGCAAAGGGGCTGACACTTGTCATGTGTAGTTAGTGGCCGTGGGATACATGGAGTTGTAGATTCCTAGTCCCCCCCATCCTATCCATGGGAGCAAAGCAGCACTCCCCACTGCACAGGGCTCTGCAGTGCCCAGGACTGCACTCCTCCCCATAACCTGCCTCCCACTAGCATGGTGCAAGCCCATTGGCTCAGGTACATCCCAAGCTGTCTGACTCCCCTCTCCAATCCCCAGAGCAGCTCTCTGCTGCCTCCCCCCCAAGGCATTGGTGTCAAGGAGCACACGCAGTAGAGAGCTGCAGTACAGGTGGGTGGAACAATCCTGCTGCAGTCCCAACATGCATTCTCTCGCTAAACAGTTCAGGTGGGATTTTCACACGTGCTCAGCGTTGGCCTAACTCTGCTTCCTTTGAGTCAGTGATAAACCTTCCATTGGCGTTCTGGGAACAGAGGTGGGGCGATGCCCAGTTCACCCTTCCACCCACACGGGGGCACAATCAATACCCTGTACAGTTCCAAAGTGCTGCACAGGACTTTTCCGGGAGGTGGTTATTTGCCCTCTTTCCGACACAGTGTGCACTTTACAAACACTGGTACAACAGGTACGATAGATACTGATGAAAAAACGAAGATAGAGATCTGCCCTATATATGCTGCCTTTCTAAACATTAACGTGCTATTCCTGCTTACCCAGCACTCCCGCAATTAGTGGTGACAGGATCTTCTGAATGGGGACCGGAATGTTACGGATTGCCATGTGCTGTGCAAGGATGGTGCTGTAAATGGTCACAAGTGCTTCTTGGCCAGGAAAACTCACAGCAAACACACAAAAGTGTCGCTAAAACAAAGCAATTTAAAACCAAACCTGTCAGGAGAGGGCGTGACTTCCATGAGAACCCCCATGTTTCCACCTGCCAGGACACACATTGCCTGGAAACGAACCCACCACAGCAAGTGAGATGGTGGATGTCAGACACAGACACCACAAACTAGACACTCCAGCCTTCTACTAGTGTCAAAGGACCCATAAAAGGGGAGAGGAGGTAAAATCTAAAGAGAGCCAAACTGCTGGCGAAGGGGTGGCTACCACTGAGACTGAAGCTAACAAAAGCCCAACCCCATCGTTTCTCCATTGCATACCTGAAGTCTGGAGTCAATCGTAAAGGATCCAGATGTTGGATTCATGCAGGCTACATACTGACAGTTGTGAATGTCCTTTAATGTCAGCTTGTTTCTGTCATACCTAAACAGCAGGTGAAGGAGAAGGATGTGTACATGTCTTTATTCTCTGAAGAGTAAAGGAGCTGTCCCTCCCGTAGTATGAACCTGGCCCCAAACAACTTTCACACACACTGATCCCGCCCAGACGCCTTTACAGAGAAGATCCAGGGGAGAGATCATCTGCCCAGTTTCCTCTCTTGGCAGAGCATAACATCTATTGCATGGGAAAAGACATTTTTTGCTGTCCAGAAAATACTTACAACTCAGGGCAGGTCTACACTTAAAACACTGCAGCGGCAGAGCTGCACTGCTGTAGCACTTCAGTGAAGACACTAATAGGCCAATGGAAGAGTTTCTTCTGTCTGCATAGTTAATCCACTCTGCGAGAGGCGGGAGCTGTGTCGATGGGAGAAGCTCTCCCACCAACGTAGTGCTGTCTACACCAGGGGTTAGGTCGATAAAATGGCATCACTCCAGGGTTGGATTTTTCACATCCCTGAGCAATGTAGTTATTCCGATATACGTTTACAGTGTAGACCTGGCCTAAGAGTAAAAGTAGGAAAGGCCAGTGAGATGGACCCACTGCTCCAATGCCACTGGGCAGCACTTCTAGGGGGGCTCACACTGGGCTCGCTATTGGCAATTCTGGACTGTCCTGGTCTCTAGGGATCTCATGATCCAGAACTGCTATGTTATGGATCATTCTCTTTGTGTACTTCAAATGTGCTGACCTAAGACTCAGAAGCCCCAGTTCCAATTCCTTGCTCTGCCACAGACTGCCTGTGTGACCTTAGCCAACTCCCTCAGTCTCTCTGTGCCTCCGTTCCCATCTGTACAATGGGGATAATAGTACTGCCCTGCCATACCTTGTGAGGATAAATACACCAAAGATTATCAGGCACTCAGATACTCTGGTGATGGGGCCAGATACACTCCTTAGACAGACACACAGACCCCATCACCACAGTAGCATAATCTGAGCAAGAGTAATTCAACACATGGATGAAACAACTGAAGAGTTTAGCTACACAATTACCAGTGCCCATGGTCTATATGCTGCCTGATCAGTGTATGAGGAGCTACTGTGCCATATTTGTCCACTTCAGGCATATTCATATCATCTATGAAGTAAATAAGCTTCTTTGTGCCCGGAGGACCAAAATTTCTCCCGGATTTCTTCTCCAAGGGCTTCTCGAGAATAGCTGCAGAACGACAGCAACACCAATCCACTAACTTGTGCAGTCATCGCTTCCCGGTAAGATGAGCCTGTTTTCAGGCTGTTTCCGGCTAACCACCTTACCCTGCAGCATGGCCGAGGTCGTGTAGAAGTTAAAGGGGACAGCCTGCAACAGGTAGTCCTCAGTGTTCAGAGACTGCAGTTTGTCCACCATCATGACCGACTTCCCTGTACCTGCATTCCCCACTAACATCACAGGCCATTTCTTTGCCACTAGCAAATCCATAAAATAGCGAATTCGGATGGTTTCTGTCGTATGGACCACGGAAGCCTGTTGAAAAGTCATCAATGAAATAAATTATTTTAATCAAGTTTAGTCAAACTGGGTTTGATGATAGATTGTATCTGAAAGTGAGATGTGGAAATGCTTGTGCGTGAACATCTCAGGAGCCGGATTCTTCGAAAGGTTCTGCAGCTACAATTGGGGCTTGCGGTTGCAGAACTGGACAGGCTCCAAACACGGTTTCCGAAAAACCCAGCCCTTGTCTTCCCAGCTTTGCAGTCAGTCAATGCACTGACAGGCTTTCCCCCTTTACTGGGGTTTTCAACATGTACAAAGCCAGAGTACAGCTTGTGAACCAGGAGCATCTTCTAACACTGCACATTGTATCCAGGTGATAAACGAGCCTGTTGATTACAGCGACTGTTTCCTCCGAATCAGCCATTGGCATCGGAGCACTGAAGGCTTCATCTTGCAGTAAGCAGCCCAGGAGACGGCAGTAGAACAGCTCACATGAGTATGGGCTGTCAGATCAGGCCCTAGATTACTGAGGCCTATGTAAACCCAGAACAAGCAGCAAATGCTCCCAGAAATAGGACGTTAATGGCCAACTTTGCTCCGGTCTCACTGCAAACCATTGCAGAGCAGCACTTTCCCAGAGCTGCTTCCTTCCCAGCGGGAGCAGATTTCCAAGACAAAAGTGCTGACTGCAGGGCACCATGAATACTGTGCAACGCATGCTCATAGAACGTTACCGTACCCACAAATACTGACACCAGGAAACCCAGAAGTCAGCACTTAATAGTTGCAAGGCTTGTGCCAATGATTTTCTTAACCATGCCAAATACAGCCTGGGCTCTGCTGTATTTCCTCCTCAGTGTTTCTGTTAAAATGTGTCGTCTTTTGGACCTCGTTATGCTCCCATAGCATGCCAACCGGACAGGCATTAGACTCGGCTCCTTGTTCCAGTGTCATATAATGCTGGGCAGGGTTGCTGTGCTTGTGATATATTTGGGCTGTGCTCCGTAGACTTTTCGCTGACCCTAAGTGCAAGCTGCAGCGTGCAACTCAGCCACAGCAAAGGCTGGTTTGTGTGTACAGGGTAGGTTACTTAGCTGGTGCCTGGAGTCAGAGTTGGGAAGCTCCACTCCCACTATTTGCATTTGTTAATTCACTCTTTCTTTAAGCCAAGTGCAGCGTGCTTTGCCCCTATTTGCCATCTGACTTTTTTTCATTTCCTGAGGGTTAATAGTCTGGAGCCAATATGCACTTGGGAGATGCTCAAGTCTCCCTCCTGTTTGGGCATCCATAATTCCCATATGTTCCCTTCCAGTTTTTCTGCCCCATGTCTGGAAACAGGTGTTTAAAGACAGGATTGAGAGCACAAAACACACCACAGTGAGGGACACCTGAGATGTGTATGAAATAAACAATAGCCCAGTGTAGGACTTGCCCAGTGTAATCAGAGTATGGGCCTTTTTAGGTCAGCAGCCTGCCTTTCTGTGGCAATGGACTGGACCAGATACTTTAAAGAAACCAGCCCGCTCCCACCATTCACCTAGCCAACACTCGCCATAGGGAAACACCATTTTCCAGGCACTGTACATTACCATCTTGCATCCTAAATATCAGACTGACTGACCTACGTCACTGGCTGAACTTGCATAGCCAGAGGTTTAGTAATGGAAATAAAATAACCCATGTGTATGCCATGCTGTTCTTGTACCTTATTGTGATATTGTCTGCAAGATCTTGCATAATTTATCAAGACGCCCTTTACTCCAGTGTGGAGGGGGGCAATAAATTAGTAAGTAAAGTAAAAAGAAAGACTCAAGGAAGATCATTTTGGGGAATTACCTGTAAGGGAATGTCTGGGTCCAGCTCAAATGTTGGCACTTTATCATTCCAAAGCATGAATTTCTTACTTTCTGGATCTATGTAATAGTCAAAAATAGTCCCTTGAGACGGAAACTTGATGGTTTTAAATTCATTCACCCACCATTTACTGAACTCTACACGATAGTCCACCAGCTGAGGAGGAGAAAAACAAGCTCATTATACAGTTTCTATTGCCTTTGTGGGACATGTTCAGTTAGTCACTCTGGCCCAAGGCTTTGCAGCACAGGCTGTTTGGAGCCGAGATGGATTCTGCAGGCTTAGGTGGCATTGAAACACCTTTGTGGAGTGCTTTAAAGTAAAGCACAGAAGTCTAGCATGCCTGCCCTTGCAGGAGCCAGACACAAACATCTTTACTCAGCCAAAGCCAGGGTAAAGTAATCTCCCCACAGCCAATTCCATAGAGGAAGATGAAAAACACTGTCTCCCTCTCAGCTCCAGCCCTGGCCTTCAAGATCCTGCCTCAGCCCCCTGCTCTCCAGAGTGTGTCCTCGTGCCTCATAGTGAGAGGGGGAATTAAATAATTCTCCCCAGCTGGCAGAATCCAGCTCCCCGGCCAATTCTTGCTCTCAGGCCAGGCAACTCTTTTACATGATTAGTTTTCAGAGTATGACCACACTTAACTTCTCCCCCTCGTGCCTTCATAACAGGGTCACGCACTATAGAACGTACAGAACAGTTCATTAAAAGATTGTTATACAGAGGATAGGGATCAACTGTTTGCCTTGTCCACCCAGAATTGAAGAAGGACTCAGCCAGGGAGATTCAGGTTAGATATCAGGAAACACTTTCTAACTCTAAGGGTAGTTAAGGTCTGGAACAGGCTCCCAAGGGAGGCCGTGGAATCGCCTCAATGGTCTAGATTGACTTGGTCCTGCCTCAGTGAGAGGGACTGGACTAGATGACCTCCTGAGGTCCCTTTCAGCTGGACATTTCTATAGTTCCCTTTGTGTATTTGCCAAAGAGCATGTCACAGTTCCCAAAGACTCCCTTGGATTTGGGCTTAGACATTAAAACCTGCACATTTATATTTACTGACACTTTCTATGTTCAGGCCTAGATCTCAAAGTGCTTTACAGACAAGTGTAAATATGATTATCCCCATTGCATTCACAGGGTCATCAAGCATAGGCATTGATTGTTACTTGCCCAAGGTCACGCAGCAAGCAAAGGGCAGATTCTGGGATAGAATCCAGGTCTTCTGACACCTAGCTCTGTGCTCAGCCCTCTGGCCCAGAGCCAGCCTGGTATTGGGGTTTCTGTTGTGTGGAGGGGTCCTCCGGCCCCTTTCAGCTCCAGCCCAGCCCAAGCTGCCACCTCTGCTACACACAGCAGTCTTTGGATGTAGATGGTTACACAGGGGAAGCCTGAGAGAGCAGATGTGAGCTGTGTGACTCTGCTCAGAGGATCTCCCTCCCTAGGGAATTCCCAGGAAGAATCCTTTTCAGGAGAGACCTAAGCACTTTCTATTACATTGTTTTCTGATCAAATTCTCAATTTTTGCATTAACAAAATGTGGGGAAAACACCAAGAATGTTGCTACTTGAGCTCCTTCTATAAAGTCTGTGAGTCTGATCTAGCGGCAGCTAAGCCACTGGCTGTGTTACCCTTTTGAGCATCTATGACTCTGAATCCACAAACACATAGACATACGCTTAACTTTAACCACTGACTTCAGTGAGAACATGCCTGGGCTTAAAATTAAGTATGTGCATGTGTTAGGTTCGGTCACAGAGACCACCTTGGGACTGTCCCCTGATGTGCTGAAATTACCACTGAGCCCGTTTTCCCTGATGGCTTGGGACTCCAGAACCCTGCCTTGTTGAGCCAGACATGCCAGTCTGCTGCAACACAGACCCAGGTCTGAACCACGCCCCCAAAGCTGCGGGCTTTAACTGAAAACCACTCAGCTGGTATTTCTGTCTCCAGCACCCAGACACCCAGCTCCAAATGGGATCCAACCCCCAAATAAATCCGTTTTACTCTGTATAAAGCTTATACAGGGTAAACTAATAAATTGTCCGCTCTCTATAACACTGATAGAGAGATATGCACAGCTGTTTACAGCTGGCATGCAAGCCGTTACTGTCGAATGCTGTGTGTGAGAGAGAGGCGAGGGGGGAGGGTGGGTCTGCTGCTGTCTGAACTTACAAGACAGCATGCTGACATGCTCTCAGCCCCCCCAAAACCCACTCTCTCTCCCCGCACATACACACAACACACTCCCTGTCACACTTCACACACACACCCCCATTTGAAAAGCATGTTGCAGTCACTTGCATGCTGGGATAGCTGCCCATAGTGCACCGCTCCCAATGCCGCTGCAAGTGCCGCAAATGTGGCCACGCCAGTGCGCTGTCAGCTGTCAGTGTGGACAGACTGCAGCGCTTTCCCTACTGCGCCCTACGAAGGCGGGTTTAACTCACAGCGCTCTGTATCTGCAAGTGTAGCCATGCCCTCAGTCTCGGTAAGGCCGTCAGTCAGCAGCAGCATCTTGCAGAACGGGAACACACTGAGTGTCATGAAGTGGTTTCATATGAGATGCATTTCATTTGATTTTATGGGATCCTCTCTCAGTAGCGATCATCACGCCTTTGACCATTGTGACCGTATACGGCTCAGGATAAAAGGGCGTAGAGTTTGTTGTGAAGCTGGAAGTTTCTGACAAGAACTACGTCCCTCACATTGAAACATATGGTCCTGGCCTGTCTGCAGTGGTTGGCATATTTTACATGATGAGCTTCACTTCATTGTCATGCTGATGCAGAGATTCATCCTCTGCCCTTATCTCAACTTGTGGCAATTTTGTTCTTAGCGGTTTGCCGAACAGGACAGTTGAACAGTGGGGCGTGGTTTGATAACTACGGAGGAAACGAAGTGACTCCTGTGCATGTCTAATCTGTCTGCTGCTGCAATTCGCAGCACTTTCTTGAGTGTTCGCATAAACCTCTCCACTTCTCCATTGGCTTGTGGCCAGTTTGGAGTAAGTTTACGATATCTGAAATTGGGTGAATTGCGAGCCTTGAAAAGGAGGACCATGTTCAGCTTTAATAAAGATGGGTATTCCACAGGCTGAGAAAATCTTGGCAGAAGTAGTACTGACCCTCTCAACTTGTGGGTAACGAGAACAGTCACCTATAACAACCAGCAAATGTTTTCTATTAGGGAAATCACAAAAATCCCTGGTAACTTTAATCCAAGGGGATGTGGGCAGAGGAGATACAGGAGGAGTGTGATTTTGAAGAACTGTTGCCTGGCATAGTCTGCAGGACGTATGTTTCAGTAAGGCTATCAATCCCAAAGAACTTGACTTTTTCTCTGACCAGAGATTTTATTTCTACCAGTCCACGGTGACTTTTGTGAGCCAAACTAATCATGTGATCCCACCACAAACATGGAAGAGGAAGTCTTCTATCTCAGAGTAGGAGATCACCACCTGTGATGGTAAACTCACCTGTAACATGGGTAAACAATTATAGAACAGCTTGTATTGCAGGAATCAAATGTTGGAGGCTACACAGAAGTTCTTTCCATTGACCACTTTAAACAGTTTTGATGACCATTTGGAGACTTTTGTCAGATTCTCTGGAGGTTTTTAAACAAGAGAGCTTAGGGAATTGTGTGTGAGAGGACGACGTTTACATGCACTGCTGCTTTCTCTGGAGTGTTACAGTTGCTAGCTGTGTGCCTGGAGAATCAGTCAGCAGGGTTATCCTTTCCAGGATGATAGATAACTATGTAGTCATCTACTGCTCAGTGGGCGCTGGTGGGCAAAAAGAGGGATTGTTGAACATAAATTCAAGAGGTTCACGATTATTCTGAATTGTGAAATGACATTTGTAAGTGTATAAATGAAAATGGGATTGTCCCCATTCTACAGCAAGAGCTTCTCTTTCCATCTGAGAGTATCGTTGTTTAGTGGACAAAAGAGCCTTGCTGGCATAAGCAATGGTGTAAGTTGGATCACATTGGTCAAGCTGTGTGAGGACTGTTCCTAATCCAACAGGGCTGGCATCTAATAAAAGTTCACTTCTCTTACCAGAATCAAAATATGACATGACTACATCACTGGTAAGGGATTTCTTTAGTTCCTCAAATACATGTTGATGTTCACCTGACTAAACCCATATTTAATCTTTCCTGGTAAGATCTTTCAGAGGCTGTGTAATGGTAGCTAAACTTGGAATGAATCTGCCACAGTAATTTGCAAGCCCTAGTAGGCTACGAACTTCACTGGAGTTTGTGGGCATGGTGGCATTGTGTATGTCCTTCACTTTCTTAGGATCTGCTGAAGCCCCATCTTTGGAGAATGTGTATCCAAAAAATTCGAATGTGGGTTTATTGTACTCACATTTGTCTGGGTTTACTGTGAGATTCTGCTCCTGCAGTCATTCAAAACCAGCTGCTAGTCAAGTGTCGTGCTCTTCAGATTGGTGCCAAATACTAACGTGTCATCACTCGCATTAAGAGCGCCAAGGATTCCAGCTAGTACCTCACATATGGTGTTTTGAAATATTTCTGAGGCTGAAGAATGCCACAACTGTGTTGTTTATAGTTGTGTAGACCCACATGTGTCATGAAGGTTGTTATGCGTCTTGACTCTAGGTGGAGCTTAAGTTGATGGTATCCTACTGTGAGGTCAAGCTGGGAGAAAAAACTTTGCTTCATTTAGATCTGCACTATTGTCATGCACAGTGGGGGTGACGTGTCACTCACACTTGATAGCCGCATAAATGCATATCCACGCAAATCTGGATTTTGTTTGGTTGCTTTGGTTTCTGGGCCACTACTATAGGGGAAACCCATGGTATGGGGCCTTCCACTCATTCAGTGATGTCAAGCTCTTCTAAGTGTGCTAGTTCTTCTTCCACCAGCTTTCTGACATGGAAAGGAATGTGTCTGTGTGGTAGTGCTATGGACTGAACCATGTCGTCAAAGTGCAATTTTATTTGCTCTCTCTTCAACTTTCCTATTCTTATGAACATATTCTCAAGACTGGACAAGTTGATTTAGCCTGTTAGGCTGTACCCTTTGGATGGCACAATTAATCAGTGTATCTGTGCTATTAGGACACCAAGTACATTGCACTGGTAACAGGCCAGTCCTTAAATACAAAATGAGCTGAGACTACGCAACACATTGTCAGTGGGGCTAGATTTCCATAGGCGTATACTTTTTCTGCCGTCGGTTGTATACGCGGTTTCTGTGGCATGCCATCATACGTATGTTGATCCATCACATTCACTGATGCACCAGTGTCACTTAAAACTTCAGTCTCATATCCTTGTATGATGATGTGGCATCGTGGCTCAACTTTGTGTTCAGAAGACTTGGTTCTCTCCGGGAATACTGTGGAAACATAAGCACTGTCATTTTCTGAGGTGTCAGCTTGGAGTGAATTCATTCAATCTTTGTTGTAAATTTGTCTCGACTTGTGGGAGAATAGTAGAGCTACAGACTTTTGCAGAGTAGTTTTGTTTTCCATATTTATGACAGAAGACCCCTTTTGCTGAGCAATCACCTTGGTGTGGGTATGAGCCTCCACATTTGTAGCATTTTACACTTGTCATCTTCGTGGCTGGACCCTGCGTTTTCTGGGGTTGGTTACCATCTTGAGCATGCCACACGCAATTCCTGACTGAGCTCTTAGAGTGGAGTACACGTGCTGTCTCTGGGCTTGGTGCCAGCTGTCACTGCTCTAGTTGTTGAGCATGTGTTTCTGACAACTTGTTTGCTCAAGCAGTGTCCAGGATTCTGACAAGTCATTTGTGGGGGTGTCTTGGAGAGTTTGTCTTCTCAGCTTATCCAACAAACATCCTTGTATCATTTGGCCTCGTGTCTCGTGACTCACCTTTGTGAACTCACATGAACTAGCCAAGTGACATAGGTGGGCATGATACTCATACATGCTTTCCCCTTCTCACTGATGTGCTTGACAGAAGGTATATTGATCATAGGTAATGTTTTTATGCGGTTTAAAGTATCTCGTAAGGGCTGGTTTTGCTTTCTTATTCCTTGCTATCCCCAATGTCAGGCAATGTTTTAAAAATATGGCACATCTCACTTCCAGAAAAGTGTAGGATCATAGCTTTTTTTGTGGTAGAGTCAGCTTCCTTCATCACAACAAACAGCTTTTCTAACCTTTCAAGCCAAAGTTTCCATCTGTGTCTCAGACTGGAATGAGATTCATGGACAGGAAACTCAGGGCAGTTCAGGAACTTTTTTTCTTTTTTTTAAGTGGAGACTGCAGTCTAGCAAAGCGTATGTGTAGCTGTGAGAGATGAGGTAGACCCTGGATAGATTTCTTGTCACAGAACCTTGGTTAGCAGTGTTCTGTGAACACTGTTCTGTGTGTTCTGTTTTTTTTAAATATCAGACAAACATGTTCAGGCTTTCTGATGCAGTCTGGCGGATAGGCCACACTTCCGACGGCACGCGGGGTCTGACGGAGCTAGGCACATTCGCTGCAGTGATGATTACAGCATGCGAGGAGAGCTCTCTGCCAGTACAGTAGGGAGACTATTGTTCTGATGGGCAGCTCATCCCTTCTTTTCTTAGGTTGTGGGGTTTTGTTTGTTTTCTGGTTCTTGTTGATCCTGGTGGCCAGTGCTGTGTCCTCGCTGATTAGGAGCTTCTGGGATGAACTGCTCAGACACCGTTTAAAGTGAGAGTCCCCAGGCTACTGGATCCATCCTGCAGCACCCACTCTTTGTAGCTAAGGGAACTCCCTCTCCCACCAGTCAGAACCAAAGCCTGGAATGGACTCATGTGACCTAGCTGCTGTACTTGCTACTCTAAAAGACTGGCACAGATCTCAGAATGGATTCCCCATAAACACTACGGCAGCCAACGCTGCTCCTGTGTTCAGAAGATAGGAACTGCCAGACTGGATCAGAGCCATGGTCTATCTAGGCCAGTGTCCTGTCAGTCTTTAATTGTGGCTAGAACCAGATGCTTCAGCAGAAGGTGAAAGAACCCCCATTTCATTGCAACTATGAACTAATTTCCCTTTTGCTCTTTTTGTTTTCTGTGACTCAGAAATCAAAAATCATTTAAAAATACAAACCGCCTTTTTTTTTTTCCCCCAGTCACAAACCCCAGAAATCTCGTTTGATTTCCTCAACATTTTCCAGACAAATTCTACGGTAGGCTTAGACCAAGCATGAGATATTTCAGAACCAAATAAAATAAAAAAAAGACAGGCGATTGAGTAGCATTAACTCTGGGGTCAACACTTCAGCTTGTTCAAGCAAAGAGATCTAAAAGAAAATTTTTTGTTAGCATCCAAGTTTAACTGGCCTTATATTACAAGCTGTCACTAACCTGGTCTTGAAACATTGCTCCTCCAAATGCCCAGAAACACGCAAAAACAAAGTACAGTTCATATAGCTCTTTTGAGGAGTCCGGAGGCGTGTTAGTTGGAGTCAGGAGACATTCCAGCAGATACAGTATGGTTTGTATGACAGTAATTTCAGGGACTGGGGTAATCTTCTTGAACCCAAACCTCAGTTTATCTAGACATGTAGGCAGGTATTTATCAAACAGAATCATTAAGTTGGCTTTTTCAGACTGTACATTTCGCTTCTCAATCCAGCTGCTTACCACACTACAAAATAATGGACATATTTCACATTTCAACATATGGCAGTAAGTAAATATAGCAGTAATAAGCCTTTTCCTGCTGTGCGACGGGAAAACGGGCTGCACTTTGAAATGTATGGCATTCACACTTCAAAGAGGGGAATGTGAAACAGAACTCACGGGTTCCAGCCCAGATCTGCAGGGTTGATGTAGAGAATTCCAGCCCTGGATACTGTTGCTGGCGTTGCTGTCCTCAGGTGGCTGATCTCAAAGAGGAGTCTCATGGTGGGATTCAGTGGGATTCGCTCATTGCTCGCTAAGGTGAGCACCTAAGATGAAGACAACCAGACAGAAAAAAACACGGCGTTCCGCAGGAGCAGAAATACACATGAGCTGGTTAATTTAAAATCATCCTCAAGTGAAGTTCTCTGATTTTTAACTCCAACAGCAGCTCAGTACTGACCTTATTATCATCCATGACAGTATTCAGAGATTCAATCCACATGGGATCTATATCTCCATCGAGAATGATCCATTTGGGACCAAGGTGAGTGATGTTAGCCAGGTCTCGCATCGTTGTAGAAAACAGACCTGCCCAACACAAACAGTGTCTTTGCTTGTTTTTTCTTTCTAGTACTTGGTTTCTTCATTTAAGCTAAATTGTTCAGGAGGAGGTGGTCAAGAAGCAGCCACAATATTTCCTCAATAACCCTGCCAGCCTTGCTAAAAATTTTCCCTTCTAATTCTAGGGAGAAGCCAAAGAAAAGATCTTCCCATTTCTACAGTCATTTTTAAAAGGTTTATGTATTGTTATGAATGAACTGCTTGCTGAGGTTTTTGAAATGCCAACATTTTCATTCAGTATAATTTGCAGTAAATGCAGCTACTTAAACACTAGAGTGCATTGATTGGGAGACGGTCGATTTCTTACCATCTTTCCATTCTCTAGTAGCTGGATGAATAACTCCAAATAGCTCATCACAGGTTACAGCTTTAGGGTCAAGGTCCACAGCAACGGGCCTTTTTTTCAAGGTTTGGTAAGTCTTATTCAGGGATTTCAGTACCTGCAAGGAAAGATGGACATGCTCATACAGGACTGCGGTTCTCTAAAGAAGGCATCTACATCCTTTGACATGGTCTCTCGGGACCAAGCAATGAAAGCCACAGAAGAGAGTGGTAGTCTTCCCCCTTATCTGATAGGCTTTGGCCCTATGTCACAAATGGAGGCCCTGGAACCACTGAAGATGTCTAGGCCCCTCCAAATGGCCGAAAGCCAGTGAACAGCAGCAGCTGGAACTACTGCTGAACAAGATGATGGACATTTCCTTCAGAGCAGGCAATCTCCCACCCTAGAGCACACTGCACTCTCTTCACTCTGAAACGAACTGGCTCTCAGAAGTGAAAGTGCCAGCTCCACTCTTTTAATGAAGAACTGAAACGCAGGCCTTCCTGAATGATCAGCAATCTCCCCTTGCCGACACTCCTCCACTCTTCGCCTCCCCTGCTAACAAGCCGGGCACCTACTGTCCTCTCAAAAGGCCTCATTCCAAACCCATTGAAATCAGTGGAAAGACTCCGATTGACGTAGTGGGTTTGGATCCCTAGGTGCCAGGGGAGGAACATGAATTTCCTGCCCATGCGTAATGCACTGGCCACGTGGTTGTGATCACGGCTCCCACTACTTCTACCAGCAGCACAGACCTGGTGCCCACAGGGAAGGAGGACGCTGTGTAGAAGTGGCACTTCCTTTACCATTACACTTTGCTTTTTGAAATGTCATAATTAGGCTTGCTCATAGTTCCAAGGTTTTGCCTGCTCCCGGTCAGCATTAGACATCTGAGGTGGGAGGAGTGAGGAAACTAGGAAATGTATTTTAATCGGAGAAGGGCTCACTAGCTCCTAGAGTTTGGAAAAAGCTACCGCAAGAAATCTCTGCCCATTTAGTCTGCCCCCCTCTCCCCGCTGCCCCGTACCTGGGACTTGCCACTGCCTGCATTGCCAATGACAAACACCGAGTGTCTCACTTGGAGTAGCTCCTCAAGCTGCACCACCTTCAGCACAAAGCTCTCTTCTGCCTGCAGCTTGAGCTCAAGGATGGACTGCTTAATAATCTATGACGTTCAGAAAAGAGAGGAGAGCTTGTCCTGAGCCACTGCACAGAACAGAGTCACTATACAGATCGCAGCCACTACGGCCTTGGGAAGAACCAGCCTTTGAGGGTGGGGATATCACAGGGTGACATTGGCCCTTTGAGAGAGAGCAAGGCCTGTGACTCACCAGCTCACTGCAGTTGGGTTTAAAAGAAGGCACCTGGGCCATATAAATGTGGGAGAGCCTGGACACAGGACAGGCGCATGAGTGCGGAAAGAGGCCGGTGAGAGAGAGAGAGACTGCAGGCCCTCCCTGGGAAGATGGAGGAACTGTCTAGGAGGCCAGCACAGGGCTAGTTTGCTGACTATCCTGTCTAGAGAGCAAGTGCCATAAGGCTGAAAATGACAGAGGGTTAGGAACCTGGTGGAGGGGCTAGCCCGCTGGCCGGACTGGAGAGGGCTGAAGGCTGAGAGATGCCTTGAGAGCTGAAGCTGGAGGCCCAGAGAGGGCGGAAGGCTGGGAGTGAGGCATGGGGAGAGACACTGTGGCTGGATTGGAGAGCTAGGTGTGGTGAGACACACTGGGGCGGGACGTGGTGGGTTGCATATACTGTTTGGACTGTGCTGGGGAATTCTGGATTATGGTTGAGGGACTTTTGTTAGGATTTATGTGTATGGGACATGTGTAATAAATTAACCCTGTAAGGACTATATATAATTGGAAAGCCTTTAAGGGCTATTTCTGGGGACTCTGAAGGGGAAACTGAGGCAGACAGGTTTGTTGTGCCGCAACCTGCTGCAGGAGGACATGCCAGGTGGGTGTTGCCCTATGATAGGAAAAAATAGGAGACCCAAGAGCCACCTCCCACAACTAATCTGAATACCAGAGGTCAGCAAGGCCCGTGCCCCTGTGCATTCACCTTTTCAAAGTTCAGATCCCGTTTTCTAGGTACGTCCAGTGCTGGGAAAAGGTCTCCAATTAGTCCCATGAACACCGGCAAGTCATCCGTCACAATCTTGGGGATGTTGAAGTCTCGTAAAGCTCTCATTAGGACTTGATCCTCCGGACGGCCAGGGTCGCCTCTCTTCAAGGAGCCTGCTACCACCAGCACAGACTTAATCGCTCTCAAGCCCCAGTCATAATGATCCTGGCAAACAGTGAGCAAAGCCTTACATTGCATTTGGATGAAATAAAATGGTTTTAAATAAAAGAACCAGAAAAACCACAACACCGTCCCAAAAAACCTAAACTCCAAAAAGTCTCCACAGCACCCAGAAGAAATGCCATTAAGTGTGTGTATTTGCAGGGGAAACGCCGTTCAACAAAGGAATGAACGAAACCCTAGCAACCTTTGGCTGGGTAGTGTGTTTTGCTTCCCTGGAAGCAGATTTCCATTAGCTTTTAAGTCAATTGACATGAACAATGTGAGGATGGAATCATCTGGACAGGCTTTATTCGACTAGTAAGCACTGTGTTGCATCTCTTCATTTTCCTGTTGCCTGTCCATGCCGCAGGCAGGCTGAGTCTGTCGAAGTCACATCAGTGTCTGAGTGGAATTTTCCAGCAATGTAGCTTAAAATGCTTGGAAAAATATAGGCCAAGTTGCTACTAATAACTTGCGATTTTTTAAAATATATGTATGTCAGATTTTAAAATAGATAAACTCTTCCTGCTCAAAGAACCATGGACCAATATTAAATTACCTGCTTAGAAAGTAGCTCTTTGCATAGTGTATAGAGAGTAATAAACTTTCTAGCAAGAAGTCTGGCATCAAGAAAACCTTCTGCAACAAGCATGATTTCACAGATAAGCTCAAAATCTGGGACAACCATAGCACAGGGTCTAAAGGAAACAAGGTGAACAAAGTTCCATGTCAAATTTTGCGAAAATTAGCCTTTGCCCACGTACATTCTCCGCGTCCCCGTCTCTGACATACATATGCACAGAGCTGAGCTATAAGATGATGGAATTTTGTGTGTTTGGATTTTCAGTATAGAGTCTTCATTATATTATATACATTATGCGTTTGCACACACACAGTCTCTCTCACTCTAATAAAAGTAAAAGAGCCCTTGGTACAGCACGGTGGCAAATCAGAGTGTATACTCAGCATACTGTCAATTAACAACCAGGTTCTGATGAGAGTCATCCACACACAAATACCTGAATAAAGCCTTTAGATTTTCAGGCAATTCAGTCCGGCCTGCATAGCCGGGGTTCATTGTAATGAATAGTCCAACTGTTGGTATAAGAGCGATTATCTCTCCAAGGAAATTAAATGTTTTCTTTTTGGCACGAATTGCATCTTGCACACATTTTACCTACACAAGTAAGAGGAAGATTCAGTATCAACAATGTAGTGAATTACAGTGTGTATCTTAAGCAACCAAGCAGCACTGCCCTGTGCACTCTAAAAACCCTTTAAGACAAGTACTAACGGAAGGGCTTATTGGGTGCAGTCACCCTTACTCTGAGCTAGACTGTGACTTCCTGTACTCACATTCGCTAGGAATTACTCCCAAGTAGTCCCATTGACTTCAGTAGGTCTATTTGGTGAGTAACTGCTCCTTATTCTGAGGGTGGGACTCAGCATCTGGCCCTGCGTGTGTGGTCCCATTGATTTTGTGTAGCAAGGTGCTACTCAGCCTGAGTCGGGGATGGAATCGATCTCTCAGGGAGCACACTGATTTTCATGATAAAGAGATTGCACTACAGTACTTGTATTAGGTGAATTGAAAAATACTATTTCTTTTGTTTTTTACAGCGCAAATATTTGTAATCAAAAATAAAGTGAGAACTTTGTATTCAGTGTTGTAAATGAAATCAATATATTTGAAAATGTAGAAAACATCCAAAAATATTTAAATAAATGGTATTCTATTATTGTTTAACAGCACTTAATTTTTTTAATCGCGCGCTTAATTTTTTTAATTGCTTGACAGCCCTAATATATATATATGCATTAAGCACAAATATTAGAGCAATTACATTGCCTAAATTGGCCTATATCTTTATTATAATTCCATTCACTTATGCTAAGTATCCCATAACACCTTGCATTTGTTGAATGGCTTAAGTAGACAGGGAAATTGTCACAATCAGGACAGATGAGTATTTACCACAACATCACAGTAATTTACATAAAGAATAGCTGGAGACTGGAGAAAACTTCCTACCTGCACAGCAATCACTGATAAAACTTCCACTGAAATGCGATTGAATTCATCAAAGCATCCCCAGGCTCCAGTCTGTGCTAACCCTTTGTAGATATTTCCACAGGACTAGAGAGCAAAGGGATTGGAGACGGCTGACTGCACCGTGGGTGTTCATTACAAAAAGAACAGTTCTAAGGAATTAATCTGGCATTTACACTACACACTGTTTCTCTAGGATAGCCTCACACAACATAGGGTCATTCAAAAATAGAGAGGAAAAATCCCCCTCCTGTAGGGAAATTTTGCCTTCTTTGCAAAAACTCCTTTGCAGCTACCGAGGATTTTCCTCTAGTTTCAGCATGTGCTGTCCAGATAGCTGTAAATGCAGGAACTCCACAAATGCTCCAGTCCCGGCTTCCTGCCAGAAAATGCCTGAGACACACAGACTGAATGTTCTCCCACTGAAGTCAAAGCCAGAACTCCCATGGACCCACAGTCACTACAGGTGTGTGAATGACACTCCACAGCATAGAGAGGTACCCCTGACGCCTGGGCTTTTCCCTAGCAACTGGAGTGGGAAAGGAAGCTCACCCCAGCTGCCAGACTGTGTGAAATGACAGGAGTAGCAGTGGGAAAGGGCTCTGCTGCTCATGGCACTGTGTTCCCATGCCTGACTTTGGTTGCAAAGCCACAAACTATTGCAGTAGCTAGCACAGCTCATGCAGGGGACACTCGGAGGCACGGTGGAGGGGCCAATTAGAAATGAATAGGCGAATGCAATCTCCTAGCCATTGCTGCCCTCAGCACACATTGTGCATTGCTTGGGAAGATAAGACACTGAATTTGTCATGAGGGGGAGGAAAAGTATTGGAATTCAGCTTGCTGTGCACTCCGTTTGCTGTACCCCTCCCCGAGAGATGGTCTCCGAGGGGCTCACTCCTGCCATGGTTCCAACACCGTCAATAGCCTCCTGATGAACTCAGATGGAACAAGGCTCTTAGACCTGCTAATCTGTCCCCTGGCCAGTCTGGGCTTTGTCCCTGCGATATATTGGCTAGCCGTCTGTGCTGTCTAGTTTCAGGTAGCTGTAGGGAGAGGGCTCCCCCTGGGTTGACTGTCAAAGGTTTATACACTCACTGGCAGGAAGCCTTGCCTGATATTTAGTCTAAGTTTTCCAGCCCCCATTCCCCAGCAGACCAGAGTTCATGCTGACCCTGTCACCACCACTTTGCCAATCAGTGTGTCCTGGGCAAGACTGCTTCAGCCACAAACCTTTGGGGCAGGATCCTTAGCTGCACCCAAGTTCCACACAAAGCAGGGGAGAAGGTTGGGGGTGGAGGTTCTGAGTGGGTGCTTCAAAGCATCTTTGCTTTCCCTAAGTCCTGGAGTTTTGCGGGGCTGGTTTAGCCTCAGGAGCCTTTTCACAGCCAGCCAGAGGCAGAATGCAGCAGCACTTTGAACATGCCCACCCCCATCCCCACCCCCTTCGAGGACTGCTCCCTGACATGGCCTGGGGAGGGGGCTCTGGGATCCTATCCACTGAACTCATTCATTACTTTCACTCATTTGAGTTTTACCTTGTAATCCATTTGCTCAGAGCAGTTGAAGACGTAGACCATGATCCCTACAGCTCGGCCCAAGTCCTTAGTGGTCTCCGTTTTCCCTGTACCAGCAGGGCCTGCAGGTGCACCCCCCATTATCAGGTGAAGGGACTGGGTCAGAGTGATGTAGCATCTGAAATGCAAGGCAAGTGCATCATGTCTAAATGGCCAGCAACAGTCCCCTACCCGCCACTGCCCAGGCTACTAAACTGCTGTTTCCCACAACTGCTGTCTAGTTTTAAGGCAAATCTCGACTGCACGGATGTTAAATACGGATGTTAAGTATGAGGAGCTGAACCTTGCGTACCGGTCTGTAAGTGGAGTAATGACCAGTCGAGGGGTGTTACCCAGATATTCATAGGAATACTGAAGTTGAGCATCACATATATTAGCATAGCAATGCCTTTTTTCTTCATCCCACCGATGTCTGAGCTGGGACTGCCAGGTGAACGCTTGAGAATTCTCCACCTGCAGAGCCAATGGAAAATGTATTTACTTTTTCTGTGAATGCTTTCAGTGAAAATGCACCCTAGTGATTCATTCCCCAAGTCGTCCTCATATATATTAGAGTTATTTATTTATTATGGTGCTCAGAATGTGAATAAGGCACCAAACAGTACAAACCCCTCACCCTGGTCCCTGCCCTTAACACATTAAGGTTTAAAGAACATGTATACATTACCCAGTCTCCTGCGAATCCCTGTTTGGTTGTTACCTCACTGGATCACATGTACTCTTAAATTTGCAAGCAAGACTATTTTGTTCATGCTTTATTGCTCAACTCCATTTGGAGTATTTTTAAAATATTTGAAAATAATAAAAGTTATTACAGGAAAACATTTGTTCAAAAGCACCAATGAACAAAGCAATGAAAACGTAGCCTGTAACTTATACCTTAGCAAGGATCATTTTTGCCACGACATCTCTGGCATGTACATCTATGGTACAGATTGTCATGATCTTCATTCTGTCTCCTGAGGTTAAGTTCCCAATGAGTAGTGTAATTAGCGTGTTTAACTGATTAATCTAAGAAAGAAAAGAATGGATTGACACAGGAAAGTGATGTAATATTTTGCCTAGTTTTCCTGCCAAATAAAAGCTATTCTAAGGAAACTGCACAGAGTTTGCTGCACTACAGGTGCAATCATAAATATCTGGCTACACACCTGCTTTTTGTTGTAATCTTTAATTGCATTTTCATAACCTTCCTCCAGTCTTGAGAATGCAATGCCGACCTCTGTTGTCCACCAGATCTGAGTGCAGGTTAACGCAATCTACCATAAACCGCATAGAAAAAGGGTCACAGACTAGTTGGTGGCAGAATATTTCATGTTCAATGACAATGCTGTTACCTGTGCCCCTCAGCCCCAGCTCTTGCCTGTGGTCTTTGGTCTTTCCCATGCTCTGGGCATCGGCATGGCCAGCGCTCAGACAAGCACTTCAGGGAAGGGTCCCTGTGCCACACCTCCGCCCAAGAAGCCTAGCAGTGGGTCTTCTCCAGACCCCCACTGCCTCTCCTCAGAGGCCAAGATTCATTTACTTTTTCCAGGACAGCTCTGCCTGCTCCCACTGCAGACAGAAGAGGACCCAATTGTCTCAAATAAAACAAAGTTTACTAGAAAAATCAAAATCAAAGATAAAATGGTCCAAAGCTAGACCTAAGCCCAGCCCAGGCACACTCAAACCTTTTAAGAAATCAGAAAATCCTCAGCTCTCTTGGCTTCTCTGTGAGCCTGCTAGGCTTCCCTTAGCTCATTCACACCAGGAAAATTCTGCACAAATGTCTTTCCATTGCTCACGGTGGTGCCACTCTACCTCCCTTGCTAGTAGGGCGCGGAGCCCCAGACAGACAAACTACTGACACGTCCCACGCCTTGCCCTCTAAACCTGTTCAGAACTGTTCTCCCCAGCTCCTGGGGTATTGGCTGCATTTCCTTGCTTCTGTGTTAAACACTAGGGCTGAAATTCTGGCCCCAGCAAGGCCAGTGGGAATTTCAACAGAGCCAAGATTTCACCCTAAATCATTTGCTAGTCTCAGTCTAAGCCAAAATTTCAAAAGGGACCACAACACTTTAATTGTTCAACATTACTCAATAATTCCAGTTTCCCTGTAACTTGAATTGATCTCAAACATGGTCCCTGGACAGAAACCAGCCCACCTCCCCTGTCACAACTCAATATCCAGCTAAGAAAAGCGATACTCCAGAGTTCAGGGTTAAACACAGTATCTATGGCACATACGGTGACATTCCTGTTGCGCTTGACTATTTATTTTATGTGTGTTGCACATGTTGAATACATCAAATAAACCCCATGTTCTAATCACATGACTAGTTCCATACCTGCGCTGGGTAATCAAATAACCATTGCTCTCGTGGTTTTTCTTCGTAAGTCACTACAGCCTCCGGAATTTCATGGCGTAATGTGGAGCACATTCTCTCGAGCACTCGATTTAACCAAACCTCAACCTAGGTACAAAGCCCCATTCTAATAAGTGTCCTTGCTAGTATAGTTCAGCATTACTTGCCTATTTTGTTTGTCTGTTTTTAAATTGACGGCAGCTGACGTAGACTTGTAAATCTTACTGTGGGCTATGGTGTTTAACTGCAGTTGTTCTCTTAACAGGATGTACCTTACAAAGATCCTGGCATCTGTCAGTCACATGACTTTCTGTACAGGAAATCAGGGCTGCTTTTAAACTCTTGGGGGTAGATTCTGGTTGGCACCTAGAATAACGGGCCCCCAAACAAGTGCTGGGCTATATGGACACAGTTCCGTCCAAGACCTGTCCCTGCACAGATAGGAATAGGCTGTCTGTGGCACTGTGCTCACAGGCCACTGCTGGGGAAGGGACAAAGATGTGGCCCACCCCCTGGCCTGCATACAGCATTCCTCTGAAGCGCTTCCCTGCAGAGAGGCCTCTGTCTGTGATGCTTTGGAGGAAACAAAACAGGGGCAGACAACTTAGGCTCTTCTACCCTGTCTCTTGCTGCAGGTTTCTGGAGTGCATGTAGGTGTCAATTAGCTCCCCCACTGCCGCTGCCTTTCCCCAGGTGTTTTTAGAATTCCCTCCCTAGGCTGCCATCTCAAAGACAATGGAACTTGTGTGTGTGTGTGTAAACCAAGAAGCTGGATGGTCTTTTCAGGGGGCTTTTCCCTTGACTTTGAGATATTCCGCATGAAAGAGGCTATGTGGATTGCCTCAAATGGGATGTTTTCAAGTCTAACTGATGAAGCATGGTCTCACTCAGATGAACAAAAGACAGAGGAAATAGACTCCCAGTTGATTGACTAGTTAAGGTCCCAGCTGATAGCAGCAAGGAGAATTCAGGCTTAGACACATAAACCACTTTATTCTTGTATTAGTGCAATTCAACCTGCATGTTTAAAATGTAATTTTAAATAACTCCACTAACCTGCCCGGAACAGTCACATTCCTTATCAAAATCCACATACTCATCCTCCTTACTGTACATTCCCAAGCCAATCTTCAAAGGCTTGTTGTCTGGATCCATTTTGAACTTCAGCTTGGCCATGCTATCAAACAGTTTAGACAAGTGGCGGCATACCTTAGAGTAAAGCAGCACAAGGATAAATCAGGAATTGCTGTCAGTGCACAGAAATATTTTACAGTTTTGATTAACTTTTCATACTTTTCTTTATAATCTTGCATCTCTGACACACTGTTATAACCAGGCTTGGCAGAATTTGATTTTTTAAATAAATTTTGATGGATAATATGGATATTGATTTTAAAGCATTTTTTTCTATTTTTGTCAATTTAAATTTTCACAGCTGCAGGAAACTATTGGGGGCTTCAGACAATAATTATTTAAAGACAGTAGACACAGATTCAAAAAGTTAAAGCTTTACAACCATTAAGACACAAACTGTCAACATCATGCGTCAAAATATACAAAGTCAATATCCTTAAATCAATCTCTAATAAGTTCTCACGCAGAATTTTTCTTACTTTGCCTCTCTGTAAATTTCAATTTTATTGATGGAAATATTTTTTAGTTGGGTGTGTGCGTGCAGTGAAATTGATGTTTACCAACATTTACCAATAAAATATCTACTCCTTCCAAGCCTAGTTATAAATTTGGTTCAGCATTTTTAATCCTTTCAGATTAAAGACATTATAATTACATTCTAAAGATTTCATGTAAGAAACAAAGGACTATCCATTAAATTTCAATCCTACCTCAACAGGGTCATTTCCATTTGATAAAATATCCAGCAGGTCTGCAGATGAAACAAAGTAGAACCTGGGAAAAGCCAACCTTTTTGTCTCTAGATATTCAGCCAAAGCCTTTTCACAAAGTGCCAAGCTAACACAAAGAAAGGGAAAAGGTGTAGTAATTTTATTCTTTGCAAAGTAAAGGTTGTGATGTGATCATGCTTCGTTGACTGCAGTGGAACAAAAGCCTTCATTTAGCCTTAGAACAGGCAGTGGCAATTTCCCCATCTGACTTCACCAATATGCCTCAAACCTTCTCTACAGAGCCTAGGGGTCAGAGGGCAGCAATAGAATCAGCACTTTGAAAATATAGCTAGTATAATTCCGCCTTAATGACCATTTCATCATTAGCCTCTTTACTGAGATCCCAACAATCTGGCCATTTGTGATGGTTGCTTTTTGAATTGGACACATGTCCAACACAGGAACTGGACTGAGTCTAGTCTCTGATTTCACAAACTACTGAATGGCCATTAGACTAAAACTGAGAGTCACTACTGATCTGGGGTAAATTTGGCCTAGTGATCTAGGGGAGTGAGGCTATTAGTCCCCATTACCAATCCAGAAAAGCATTCACTCCCAGCAGCTAGAATTTATCTGGATGTTTTTAAAATTGACCAAATGTTTCTCCCAAAATATGGCATCATCCTAACCTTTTCTGTAAGGCCTCTAACTTCTCATAAAGGCCTGGTTTATTTGTTGCTTCAACTACATTAGGGGTTTTTACTGCTTCAGCCATTAATTCCTGCAAGAAGAAAAGATGATCTGTGACACATTAAATTTAAATTCGTCCTTCAGGCTAGAATTGTTGTGGGGGAGGGGTGACACAGACTTGCTCACTTTAAAATCTCTATCGATAGAATCAAAACGTTTAGAATCTTCTGGCAACTGATTCCGGATGTCTTCAGAACCAATGAAGATGCTCTCCAGATGGCTCCAAGTTCTCTGCACTTCAAACCAGATACTAATAACAGAGTCAGCAGTAGATAATTTCTGTTGCCAGCCTGACACCTCCTGAAGAAAGTGAGCCAGATACTTGGAAGTCATCAGGTTCTGAAGTTGCACTTGGTTATCCTCCAAGGTCTCTACGAGTAATTCATCAGATTTGAGCAGCATGGTACCAGTTCTAGCATGGGGTTCATGTTCAAACTGCATGGTTGACCACGTACTATCCAGGGCTTTCAATACCTTTGAATAAAAAGATATCCAGAAATGCTCTGAACACAAAAGCTTTCAAAATGTACAGAAAATAAACAACATTTCAGGAAAGAAAAGTCCTAGAACTTAAAATGTGTGTCTCAGCACAGAAGCACTTCATGGAAGGGTGAGAATCTATGCATTAACCTTCAGCCTTTTCATAAGAGTGAAAAACTGAAAGTTATAGCTTCTGACTGTGCTACATCAGAGTGAAAGGCTATTTTTAGGAACGATGTGGTAGAAATTGAACGGAAGGCACAGACGGTACCTTTTCCATTCCTGACTCTTTCACAGCCTTGTCTACAATACTGCGAACTTCATCCTCAAAATTGTGTAGATTCAGCTGCAGCAAGTCGGCGAGGGTTGTCTTGTCTGACATTATAAAGTTCACCTGGTGCAGAATGGACATAGTCAGCAATACTCTTCACGGGTGACACATCTAATATTTTCTCCCACACTAGCTGTCTCACACAATACTTAAAGGCTGTCTTTGTCTCTAAGATTTCAAACAAATACTTATGGACAGTCACCTGGTAAATATTATTTCTGCAGTTCATTAGCTTGTTAAGATTAATTTCTCTCTCTCTCTCTCTCACACACACACACACACACACACACACACACACACAAGGGCCGGCTCCAGGCACCAGCGCAGAAAGCAGGTGCTTGGGGTGGCCAATGGAAAGGGGTCCGGGTCTTCGGTGGCAATTCGGCGGCGGGTCCTCAGTGTTTAATGCCAATTTTGCTTCTGTTTTCACTAAAAATGTTAATGGTGATGAGATATGTATCTCAATTAATATTAATAAGGGAGAAGGAACACAAGCCAAAATATGGAAAGAACAGCTTAAAGAATATTTAGATAAGTTAGATGTATTCAAATTGGCAGGGCCTGATGAAATTCACCTTAGTGTACTTCAGGAACTAAATTTTGGAACTGTTAGTGATTAGTCTTGAGAACTCCTGGAGGATGGATGAGGTCCCAGAGGACTGGAGAAGGGCAAACAAAGCACCTATCTTTACAAAGGGGATAAAAGAGGACCTGGGGAACTATAGACCAGTCAGTCTAACTTAAATACCTAGAAAGATACTGGAACAAATTATTAAACAATCAGTTTGTAAACACTTGGTGGATAATAGGGCTATAAGTAATAGCCAACATGGATTTGCCAAGGACAAATCATGCCAAACCAACCAAATTTCTTTCTTTGACAGGGTTACTGGCCTAATGGATAGGGGGAAAGATGTAGATGTGATATATCTTGATTTTTAGTAAGGCTTTTGACACAGTCAAAATTCTCTACAGTGATTCACAGTTCAGTAGATACAATCATCACGCTTTGTTTAATTTTTGTTTATTCTATATTTTGATGAGTGTCCAGGTTTGATATGTTTGGATACTTGCTAGAAGTGGCCATCCAGCAATAGTAAATCATGTGACAGATCATTTCAGTATGAAAGGAATGATATTAAAGGTCTGAAGTAATTTAGATGCTTTCGAAAATGTTACCTAGGAGCCGAAGTTGCATTTTCAAAAGAGAAGGAGGCACTTCATGACAAGAGTTACTTTCGAAAGTGGGACTTAGGCACCTATGTCATTTAGGTTCTTTTGAAACTGTTCCCCCTTCCCGGGATTGGGGAATGATGGCATTTACTTGTCAATACATTTTTGAAACCTGCTCAGCTTACCTTGGTCGCTTGCATGAGCTCATGCCAATGACGTTCTCTAATAGCAGGATTCTGAAGGTCACTCACAGCTCGGAGGGAGGTTATCATGTTTTTCACTGTGTTATCCAATCCTGTGAATGCATCCCAGGGCCTCATTTCTTTATCCAGACTTCTCACATCTTTAGCAAACTTTTTAGAATCAATATCCATCTGCTCCACATTAATCTCTTTCCATTTGGTGGTCTTCCAGTCATCGATGCTTGCATTAACCTGAATTGGGAAAGCAGTTCCACATGCCATACTGTTAACAAACATGCAGATCAATATTTTCTATCACTTATTCATCCTAAGTGTATTATTGTTCCACTTTCACAATTCTTACTCCTGTTTCCAAAAGACTTTAATGTTGCTTTCACTCCAACACAGCACTGCAGAGCACACATTCGTGTTCCCCTATGTTTCTCCTTGTTGCAAGGGCTGAGCTGGTACAGTCTGTGGTGACATGACTGGCAGATGGCCAACTACCCCCAGTAGACTGCTGAGAAACCTGGTTAACAAGGCTTCTTCATTTTCATCTTCCAACAACACAATTGTCTGGGGAACTACAGGAGCGTCCCGCTTTGGTTTGTAGTTTGGTTTTGTGTATGTAACCCATGCCTGCTCAGTGTGGAACTCTGTCTCCCTGACCCCCCCATGATGGCTAGGCTAGCTAGAGATTGATGAGCCTGCTACAGAGCTGGCTAAGTGACATCTGTCTTTCAGCTCACGTATTAAGCTCAAGAGGTCCCAGGTTTAATCCCCGCTGCCAGCAGGGTTACATATATTTTGAATTTGCTGCTTGTACTACCTTGCTGGAGACTCCTGCCAGGTTGGTGCCACTCCGGATTACAGCAGTATTCCCACAATAAAACCTGGTTGAGAGTAATTTGTGCTCAAACAAGAGCCTCCGGCAAACTTTCCCTTTTTGGTCATTCTGCCCAGCTATGAAACTGCCAACATCTAGCCCCACACGGGGCCTTGGAAAGGGGATGTTGCCACCTATAGCCATTGTGATTTTTAACCACACTAGCACACAGAGCGTTTGCTTTTCACACACAGTCATTTAAAAAATAGCAACTTCAGTATTCTGAGTGCCAGCCCCAGCCTGTTAAGACATCTCTTGCTTTCTGTTTGCAGGTCACAAGTCCATGGGGTTCAGTTTAAAAAGCCAGCAAAGAGTTTCTTTCCCTTATTCTGAGCTTCCTGCAAACACATTCTCTTGTCTGAAACAGTGAGCAATCTCCCCGGAGCAGGTGAGATCACCAGGCAGGTGCCGTTAGTATTAATATGTATTGTTTCTCTGAGGGTAGTGCATAGCATCCCCGACTGGGGTCACAGCCCCAGCATGCTAGGCCCTGCAAACACAAAGATAAAGACAGTCTCTTAAGGGGAACAGTGAAGTGATCCTGATTAGCCTGGCAAGTAGCAATGTCTCAGCACTTCAGATACATTCCAAAGTCAAACACTTACCAAGACAATCATATCCCAGAGCTCTTTGAGTAAACGTACTTCTTTATGGCATGCTTTGAGTTGTTTGTAATCTGGGACTGACACCTCAAACAACCCAGCTGATTTGGACAGGGCTTCCATTTCACTCTCCATGGCAGTGATACTCTTTTGTTGCTAGAACCAGGAAAAGAAAAGGACTGAGCCGGCAGCGAGGTGCTGGTGCGGCCTCACTGTGCGTTAAGAGAAATGGAACATCTCCACTTTTATAGAATAACTCACTGGCCACAACATACATAAAGGGCCAAGTGCTCTCTCTGTGCATGGCCCAAGCCTGTAGGGTGGGAGTCTAAGCGAGAGGAACCCTCATCCTGCACATGTAGTCCAGACTCACAGAAATGTAGGACTGGAAGGGACCTTGAGAAGTCATCAAGTCCAGCCCCTGGTGGAGTAGCCAGTGTTCAGGAAACATCTCCCTTATGCAGGAATGCACTAGGGGTGGCTCTCCACAGCCAAGCCCCTCCCCCTTCCCTAGGCCTCGGTCACAAACTCTAATCAGAGCAGAAGGGCGGTGCAGACTCCTGGAACCGTGCTGGCCATCTGTGCAAGAGAATTGTGTCCGTTCTGCGGCAGCCACAGCCCATGCCAGGCAGGTGGAGAGAGGATCTGCCCCAAACGCCCTCCCATCTCAGCCAATTACCGTGTTTAAGGACCGATATGGATCTGGGTCAGTAAAAGAAAAGGGAGCATCTTCTCGAAATTTCTCCCTGAACTCGTGTTGTTTAATCTGCAAGGAAGCAGAGACAGAGAGCGTCACATGCAGGCGGGGGTAGGCACATTCAGCAGTTAGAGGCCCGGGTGTGGAGGAGGGCTAGCTGGCCGAGCCAAGACCCACTTCAGACTGAGCCAATTCAGCATGTTTGGAGCTGGGTTGCAGCTGCTGTCATGGACAATGAAGTGCATCCACTGTTTACTAGCAGACTCACAACGCTTGAACGACCAGGCAGCTGGTGTGACCAAGAGCACTGGTTTCCCATATATGCTGGTTTCCAAGCGTGTGCGTTTTCTTTTGGCTACAGGCATCCAAGCCGTGCTGTCATCTCCAGGACAGATGAGTCCAACATGCTCTTCATGGGGCAATACTTTAAAACCGCTCGGAAACCACTTAGTGCAGGACATGGCTGCTTGCTTGTTGGGCAGAGTTGCAGACAAAGAGCCAGTTACAGTGCCGCTCTGGGATCTGCCCTGGTACCTGTCAGCTCCCTGCTGGAGAGGAAGGGATTAGCCTATAAAGCCCTGCCTGGCTGGGGACCGTATTGCCTTCAAAGCCCCTCTCCTTCCCTATGCACTCCACAGTTGTGATCAGGGTGGGGATACTGCACTACAGCCCTCTTGCATTCAGCAGGGTCAGGGCTAGTAGCCTGGGGCGCTCCACGAGAGGCCTTGACCGGGGAACACTTCCCCACCCATTCTGACAGGGCCTGGATTCACTCCTGGCACATGGGGAGGGATGTTACTCTGTTGGCTGATGTGGGGTGACCAGGACTAGTCTGGTGGTTCAGATATGGGCAGTTCATTGCCTGATTGTTTAGTGGTTATTTCCATTACTGCCTTGTGTTGAGGTTGTAGCTTTTAAGCTTTGTGAAGTACGTAGAGTCTCAGGGACAGGTACCTGAATCGAAAATGTCTGCACAGCGTTAATGTAGGTTCACACGAATCCTAGCCTAGATGAGAAGCTGAGGCCAATCCACTCAGCCCATTACAGCGAAACATCCAGCATCCCACAGTAACAGTACCTCAAACTGCTGACACTTCCTCCGAAGGATTGCGACCTCAGTGGCCTGCAGAGGAGCCACATTCTGTTTCACCTGGAAAGATAACTTCTTGGTGTTGTTCCATTGCTCCGGCAGATCCTACAGCAAGCAAAAGTAGAATCAACACCAAAACCCATTTCACCCGAGAGAGGTAACAGACGCTTATGCTTTGTCTGGCAAAGATGAACCCAAATACATCCTGAAGTTCCTTACGAAGGAGAATATGTGGGCAGCAAACAGGCAGGGCAACATTTGCAGATAACAACATTATTTAGGTTAGTCGAGACTAAAGAACACAAACCTGGGAGGAACGTCAAAGGGACTGGGCAAAGCTAGGTGAATGGGCAGCACAAGGGCAAAGCAAACTCACTGTCGACAAACATGTGGAACGGAATTATTCAAACTCTGCATACACAGTGGCGGTGTGACACTGGCAGACCAGGTGCCAGCTCATGCCAAGGTTCCCAGGTCTCAATGGAGCACTGACAAATACAGAGATGGAATCAGCCTGGCTCATCTGTGTTTTAGCACTGTTAAAATAGGGATTAGAATTATGTGTGTGTGTTTAGGGTTTAGATTTGAATGCATGCAGCAGTTCACAAGCATTCAATAATCTCAGTCTATGTCTACACTACCGCGGTAGGTCAACCTAAGTTATGCAACTCCAGCTACGTGAATAATGTAGCTGGAGTTGACATAGCTTAGGTCGACTTACTGCGGTGTCTACACCACGCTGGGTCAACAGGAGACACTCTCCTGTCGACTTACTTTACTCCTCTTGTTCCCGGTGGTGTACTGGGGTCAACCGGAGAGCACTCGGTCATCGATTTAGTGGGTCTTCACTAGACCTGCTAAATTGACTCCCGGTGCATCAATCGCCAGAGCGTCAATCCTGCGATAGTGTAGACATAGACATAGCCTCACTTATAATATTAGTCTCCCATATTGAAAGGGAATATTTGAGCATTGGTGTAAGACTCAATAACTATGTAAATCACCACCCAGGAGAGAGACATTAACTAGTGTGACATGCCGATTGGGAACCAAAGGTGTTGTGTCCTGCTCAACAGCAGCCAAACTATTGTGGAACATTAAAGAGGACAAAAGATGTTGTGCTCTGCTCCCCCACCTCCCATGAAGATGAGTCATGCAATGGATTCCTCCAATCAGCTGAGTTTACAGCTCAGAGCACATGGGAGGAGGGGAATAAAAACCCCTAACCCGAAGAAACTGTCTCTCTCTGCTGCTAGGACTCTGCGAGACAAAGTTTCTGGGCATACACAAGGGATCCCCAGAGCTTAGAGCTTGCTTATTATAGACATTTCTATTACTTTTGAAACTTAAGATTGTAACTCATTTGTGTATCTATGTTTACCTGCTTTAACTTTGTAAATAACTCTCTTATTTCCTTTTCCTGTTGAATAAATCCGTATATAATTTATTACAGGATTGGCTACAAACATTGTCTGTGGAATGAGATCTAAGGTGCAGTTGACCTGGGAAAGTGATTGGTGCTTTGGTTCTGGGAGTAACCTGACTATTGCAATGATTCTTGGTATAAGGGACCATCTATTACAAAGGCAAGCTCACCTTGGTGGCGAGACAGACTGGAGTTTATCCCAGGGGACTGTCAGACTCCTGGTGCCTGAGGATTTTACATTTAATAATTGGTTGGTGAAATCTAAGTCTAGAACTCACCACCAATTTGGGGATTTGTGCCCTGGTTCTCAACAATCTGCCCTGAGGTTGGTATTCACACTCCTGAGTCACTGCAGGCAGCTTGACAGTGGGTTCTAAATTAACTCAAATCATTCAGGACAATGATTTGGGCGTGACTGCGGGCAGCTCCGTGAGCATCTCTTCTCAGTGAGGAGCAATGTTGAAAACAAAAAACCATGTCAAAAGTCTGATAGAATGGAAGAGAAGAGAGGACAGACTCCTCAAACGCCCTTGTCTAACCCAATGGGATCCCTCCCTGAATACTGTAATGCCCTCTGAAGCATGTGGTACCAGCCACTGTCAGAGAGGTCTAGACAGACCCTTGGAAGATCCAGCAAGGCCATTCCTATGGTCCTTCTGGTAACAAGTAAAGAGTGACCATCTCAGAGAAAATGTTTCCTGCTCTCTTTTATAACAGATACTTATTTTTGCAGCACAGTAACAGATGGCATTAGTAATGCAGTGATTGATTTCAGTCATTTTCTATAAAGAGTTAGAACCTCTTTGCACCTGAGTGTGCAATAAAAATGATTAAAGGTGAGTTTGGATCTCAGCCTACTACAAAGAAGCAAATTCATCAGATTTCATTATTAAAAATACCCCAAAGCTAAGCGAACAGCATTAAATAACCTACATGCAGCTGCATATGAATTTCTTCCGGCATCTCTTCTCCGTAAGTCTTTAGCAGCTCGATTGTTTGCTTTAAGGGCTCAAACATGTGGTCTGTAGCTGTCTGTCTATCTTTGACTCTCATCAAGTGTCCCATCACCTCCACCAGCCCATTATAATCTCCTTCTTTCAAAGGTTTAGTCAAGCCCGCATTTGCGTCTTTCATGAAAGCTGCTAGCTCCTGGAGACTAAAAGAAAAGAAGCCAGTGGGAGCCTCTCTGAACAGCCAGTTAAAAGGATCAAGACAAATCCAAAGCCTGGTTGCTTCTGCCAGGCACCGTGGCTCCCTGAGATATCAGCCCAAATGGATCCACAGCCCTGGCTTATGGGGCTCTGGCCAGGGGAGCAGCATCCAGCGGGGCTACACCCTTTCCAGGGGCCCCAGGAGTGGGGCTACCCGGGGCAATTCTCCAAGGAGAACAAAAACTGGCGTCTCAGATCCTCAGTGTGTGTAAATGGAGCCATTCCACTGGCCTTCAGGTCTGAGCACGACCCGCTAGCACCTCGTTAAACATGACCTACTCTGGTCTACACTGGGTGCAAAGCGATATCATTTCATATCATGTTACTTTGAATTTCTTGGCCACTATGTTTAAAACACACCCCATTTTCCTAGTCCAGAACTGACCTTAGTCTTGGTCTCCATGTATGACAGTCATTGGCACAGCTACAAAATCCTTGCCTCCAAGGTTAATCTTAACCCCTAGTTCCCATCCCGTGTGTGTTAGGCAAGATTTGCTTTGGAGAACCACTCTCTTGTTTTACCTGGTAGTGACGTGGTCAATGAGATGCTGCTTAAACATGAGGCTCCAGCGCTTGATAATATTTAAAAGTGCTTGCTTGAATGGACGGCAGTCGCTCTGCAGCCAGCCATTGAACACCTTGGTGTTCTCAAACTTGGACACTTCCTCGTAGAGCTTCTCATAGGAGTCAATCTGAAATGCATGTAGAAATGACACGCATGGAGCAAGCTCAGAACTGCCAGTGGGGCTCTTGTCTGGGGGCTTCACAAAATCATTTTTTGTAATTCAAGGTTTTTAACAGTAAAACTTTGAGCACAACTATTTCTAAACTATTCAAGCCCCAGATTTTCCTGTGTTCGGGGGCACCTAGACACACAGTAATGCTGCATTAACAGCTCTCAGGGAGGCTGGAGCAAAATGCTGTCAGGGCAGCTGCTACCAAAGCCAGACCCCTCCATACAGGTGCCTTCCTGGCTGCTCTCCCACCCGAACTCCCAGGCAGCACAGGGCTGCTGAGCTAGCGAGTCCCTCAGCGCTGTGCTTTGAAACGTGCTTGAGGGACAGGTTTAAATGTAAAAAACCCAACATTTTATCCATCCTGGGCCAGATCTTCCAGCTGGTGTAAATCGGCACTGCTCCATTAGAGTCCATGGGCCAGATCCCCAGCTGGTCTAAGTCAGCGTCACTCCACTGACGTCCGTGAAGACTGCCTTTGTTACTTTAATGGAACTACATGGATTTGCACCAGCTGCTCGCTCTCCCCCTCTATTTCAGGGGCCTGATTCTCCACAGTCGTGCACCTTGCCTCACCATTTACACCTATGCAAAGTGGATACAGATTCTCTATTCTGACTTGGTGACCCTGTTACACCCACTGTGGACAGGCATAAATGAGACTGGGGCAGGGCAGTGGGGGGTGGGTGGGGAAATCAGGCCCTAGATGTCTATCAGTGCATTAGGGTTGGTGGATGCATGGTTGTTCTCCATACAATGGCAAGATGGAAAAGAAACTTGTGCCCTGGGCCCCTGTGAGATGGGTATAGAGCAGAGGTCCCCAAACTATTCAGGGGGGTGCAGTGGGGCCCAGGCCAGCCCCCACTGGGGATAGGGAGGGAGCGTCACCCAAGCCCCGCTCTGCTCCCAGCTCTGCTCCGGCCCTTAACTATGCCCCCCAGCTCCCAGCCCCACGCCAGACCCTTCCCCAGACCATGGCTTCGCACCTAGTCCCACGCCCTGTTCCCGGCCCCAGACCCACCCCCAGCCTCAGCCCCATTACTCCTGTCTGCATCCCCCCTTCCCCCGCAGGAGCTGCAGCCCCATTCCCGGCTCCACGGGGGGCGTGGCCCTGAAAAGTTTGGGGACCACTGGTATAGAGAGATTCCCTCAATGGTGTGTGTGGGGGGGTCCCTCTGCTCCCCTGAAGAAGGATGGAAAGAGCTTGGGTGCCATGGGAAGGATGGTCTATGAGGGGGCTGGCTGGCCCTGCACCAGCATCGCTGCTGTTCTCCTCATAGTACCAGGCTAGTATCATAGACCTGCCATGCACCTAGCCACAGCTCCTTTGCTTTGGGAGTTCTCTCACCTGTTGCTGGAACTGCTCTAGGGTGGGTGGGATGCGTGGTAAGTAGTCCTCTGCATGAGACTCCAGCTCCTCTGGGGTGAACACATGACCAAACGTGAGGAAGCGCTGCATAAACTCGTGGTGATCATCCATCCACAAATAGGAATATTTCTCAAAGGAGTCTTCATATTCCTCAGCTTGTTTCATGGCACTGACAACTAGAGAAACCACCTCCTCTCTTATTTCAATTAGATCTGACATATCTTCCAGGTCACTCTGAAAGACACACACTTCTCATCAGGGTCAGGAAGTAAACAAATGCAACATACGACATTAAATGTCACATTAGGGTCACACGGTAATGCTCAACGCAATACATGTAAAAGTGAAGGTTTCTCAGTAACATTATCTCACCTGCATTGCACATACATACTGTTAATATGCAGTTACAGTGTACATACACCAAAAATGATACACATGTGCAGTATGGGAAATCTAGTGTTACTATGACAACCTTCACTTAAGCGTTTCTTGACATATTAGTGTTTTAATCCATAAGCATGTTAGGTTTCTCCATTTAATTTCCATCATTTTGGTTTATTCAGAGAGAGTGAGAGTGAGAGAGAGAGAGAGAGAGAGAGTGAGAGTGAGAGAGAGAGAGAGAGAGAGAGAGAGAGAGAGAGAGAGAGAGAGAGAGAGAGAGAGAGAGACTGTTTCTCTCTACCAAGGTCAGCATGGAGTCAACATCTACATGCTACGGTCCTCACCACCCCGCTGCTCCTCTTGTTCAACTGACCGTTCTGGATCCCAGTGTGATGGGTTGGGTCACAGAAACTCCCTCAGAACTGTGTGCTGGGATACAACAGAAAACAAACCTCCCACCAGAGAAGGCTTCCCTCCACTCCCGTCCTGCTGAGCTAGACACACCAGTCGGCTCCAGCACAGACCAAGAGGTTGGGCCACACCCCCTTCAGTTCACAGAAACCAAGATTCACCTAGCCCAGGGGCTTCTCAGTTAACAGGGACTTTCCCAGCACCCAGTAGTCAGTCTTTCTGGGAGCCTAAACCCCAAATAAATCTCTTTTACTCTGTATAAAGCTTATACAGGGTAAACTCATAAATTGTCCACCTTCTATAACACTGATAGAGAGATATGCACAGTTGTTTGCTTCCCCAGGTATTAATTACTTTCTCTGGGTTAATTAATAAACAAAAGTGATTTTATTAAGTATAAAAAGTAGAATTTAAGTGGTTCCAAGTAATAACAGACAGAACAAAGTAAGTTACCAAGCAAAATAAAACAAAACACGCAAGAAACTGAATACAGGTAAATCTCCCCCTCAGAGATGTTCCAATAAGCTTCTTTCACAGACTAGACTCCTTCCTAGTCTGGGCCCAATCCTTTCCCCTGGTACAATCCTTGTTAGTTCCAGCTCAGGTGGTAACTATGGGATTTCTCATGACTGGCCGCCTCTTTGTCCTGCTCCACCCCCTTTTATAGCTTTGGCACAAGGCGGGAATCCTTTGTCTCGCTGGGTCCCCACCCCTCCTTCTCAATGGAAAAGCACCAGGTTTAAGATGGATTCCAGTATCATGTGACATGATCACATGTCACTGTAAGACCTCATTCTTCATTACCCACAGGCTGGCCCACATGTCCACAAGAAGGCTTGCAGGTAGATAAACCATCTACAACTAATTGTCCTAGTCAATGGGAGCTATCAAGATTCTAAACCACCATTAATGGCCCACACTTTGCATCGTTACAATAGGACCTCAGAGTTCACTTCATATTTCTAGTTCTAGATACAAGAATAATACATACATACAAATAGGATGAACACACTCAGTAGATTATAAGCTTTGTAATGATACCTTACAAGAGACCTTTTGCATAAAGCATATTCCAGTTACATCATATTCACATACCAAGCATATTTTCATAAAGCATATGGAGTGCAACATCACACCCAGGTTGCACCTGGAATTGCACATGGCTTCACAGTCAGAAGTGCATCTTTTTCATCTGCGCATCTTTTTCATCTGCGCTGCGTGTGATACTTGTGACGGTCTCTCTGATATTCACATCATCACAGTTATCCAAGCCTTTACCACTGACACACTGTGCTCTATATAGGGCTAGCCCTGAAAACCACTCTGAAGCTACAAACAGTGCAAAATGCAGGGGCCTATTTACTTAGCAGAGCTGGCCGTAAGGAGCATGCTACACCCTTGTTCCAAATACTGCATTAGCTCCCTATTCACTTTGGGCTGCAATTACAGATATGGATATTGATACTGAAAGCCCCCTATATTTTGAGTTTTGAAACCCTAGAAACAAGCTTTCTCCCTATGCACCATTACAAAGATTCATTTTCTTGTAATCTAAAAGCTTATATGCATGTTCCCCGAGAGGCAGTGACAAGTGCATTGAAAAAATCACCAAACAAGCCAGTCAGTCATTCAGCTCTCAGGAAATGCTGGTGCGTGGCAAGGAGCTCTGTGCGTGGCAGAGAAACATGGCTAAGGGAAAGAGTCCAGGTCACAGAAGGACTAACCTTGTAGCTGAGTTTCCCCTTAGCCAGCCGGGGTATAAGTTTAGCCGTGTTATAGATATCATTCATTAGATTTTCCACCACTTCCAGAAAACCATTATCTGCTCCCACTTCCAGCGATGGACGGTATCTTAATTCATCATTATGTAGTTCCATGTGCACTTCAAACAAAGGAGCTGCATTGGCCTGAGATACGTTAGTGCAAAGCGCATTACTGTCTGCCTTCCAAACACCTGCCCTCAGCCCCATCTGGAATGTGCTATTTAGCCCACTACATTAACTGCCCCATTGCTAACCCTCTGTCTGACCCCCTTTCCCTGGCTTCTGCCCCAGCACTCCACCGACTCTGCCAGTCGCCTCTTCTCCACGCTCAGGCATGGCCTCTCTGCTCCCCCCTTAGCACCTCTCTCTTCCCCAGAGGTCTGGGACTCTGTGCTCCCCTACATTGTTGACTGCTCCTTATCATTATCCTCTCTACAAGGGGGGCTACTGCAGTTGAACTTAAGGCAGAAATTAATGGCATGGAGCATTTTAATTATCAGGGCCAGATTTCTTTTCTATTCCATTCTATACAGGTTCTTGGACTACGCTCGTTACCACAGTATCTGAGCAATTCAGTGGCAGCCTGGATGTGTGGGTGAAGAGGAGAGACGTGTCAAAGAGGACACTGATGTTATGGCCTATGACAGGGAGGGGAACATGGTGAGAGCCCAATGGGGAAAGAGGGAAGGGTAGAAAGTGTGTAGAAGAAAACACAGGAGCTCATTTGGCCATGTTAAGCAGCAGGGTTACACAATGATGCATCTAGGACTAGACAGAAGGGGCAACGCAGAGGAGGAGAGGCTGATTAATGATTGCAGAGCAGAGGAGAAACTCAGAATAGAAGAGATAGCACAGGGCTGCAGATGGAACTGGGGACTCCTCCACTGTCTCAGCTGGGGGCACTTCTCCTCCCTCTC